CCTCTCGTTTCATTGAATCCTGTCTGTTAGGGATATTGTCTTGGTAAATTTTAATAACATTCGTTGAGTTTCCTGTGTTTTTTTATTTTTTATTTTTGAATTTTATTTTTTCAATTTTATAGCTCCCTATAGACATGTATGGACTGTAACATAGCGTGCGATGATAACGTTGATGGCTACACTAGGAGATGCCCAGTGGAGAAAGGGATCATGCTTTTAAAATAATTTCAGCACAAAACAAAAATCAATAAAACCTCAACATATCAGTAAAACTCCTATGCTATATGTAACATGTTGTTCTCCGCCCCCTGCAACCAACTCAGTCAGACAGCCAGCAGGGAGGTTATTAACAACGTCTAACACTAAAGTAAAAGAAACGGCAACAAAAGACTACTCCAAAGTCTACTGCACATGGGATTATAGATAACTAAAAGCATTTTCGCTTTCGTTGAATCAGCGGCGATGAGCGATAACCCAGCAGTCCGGTGTATATTCGTGGCCTCTCAGCCGGTAGTAGGATCTGCTGGGTGTGTGCCTGTCATAATGTGTATGGCAGTATACATGCACATCGAGTGGAGAAACGGGGTAATGCGTGGAAGGGATGGAATTGGGCGTTCAGAATCCGGGGGGATTGACTCGTTGGCTGACTCGGGTCCATTTGGGGAGCTCTATCAGGTCGAATCGAATGAGTGGTTAGAGAGTGACATCCGGAAATAGGGGGGAAAAGAGAAACGTATTGTCTAGACAATACGAATCCCGTGAAATCAATCTAGGCGCAGAAGAGTGCGGAAGCCAACCAAACCACCACCACAAGAAGAAGAAGAAGAAGAAGAAGAAGAAGAAAAGGCCGTCCAGAAGATGGATGATGAAAGCCTGACAAAAGAAACAAGCACATAGGCGCACAGGAAAAAGGAAAAACATACTATGTATCCCCTTCCGATACTTCTTCTCCTTCCGGTCGAAAATCGTATACTTGTCCTTGGGCAACATTTCCTCCTCGCGCGGCATCTCAGCAAACCACCTCGTCACGGCCTTGCTGGTCATGCCCTTGCGCTCCAGCGCGGCGCTGACGGTGTCGACCACCTTGTCGACTGCCCGAAGCCGTTTGCGCTGGCGGGCCTTCTGTGGGGCGGAAAGACGCCACGGGATTTTCCTGTTTGCATATAAAGGGTATTTGGTCAGGAGAGTTATGAGGGAGTGGAAGTGTCATGATATGAGCTTGGGTTGCGGAGTGGCTGCGGAATCAAGGGCAATTGGTGCGGTGGTATGGGGAAAGATGTAATTTTCATACCAGAGGAGGCCCCCCATGAGGGGAGAAGTGGGTTTGAACATCTTCGCTGCGCAATAGGAGGAGTAACGCAGGCTGTTCTTCTCTGCTGCCAGTGGAATTAATTCGACAAAAGACGTTGCGGAGTCCGTTGAAGTTGGATTTTGCGGGCCGCGGGAAAAAAGGGCCGGGTGGTCCGTGCACGGCCCTTGGGGCTGCGCGTGCGGGAAGCTTTTCAACTTAAATGGGGAAACTTGATCAGTTATCCTCGATTCTCTATTCCGCCATAGGCTTCTTCTCCTACCTATTCTCTTTTGGATATATTGCTGGATATATCGATGTACAGTGTTTTCTTCATGGAAGATCGGCGACGGCATTCTCACAATGCATCTCAGCCCGGGAACCCTCGAACAGCCCTCGGGCTTCTGGCGGGGCTGTTCATCCGCAACCATGTATACAGTGGCAGCAGCGTGCCGGGCTTTCCTCTACGCCGCAAGCAATACGGAGGTTAGCGGGCACGACAATTTTATAAAACTGCTAGAGTCTCGCGCAGATCGAGAATCACGAAAGCGGGGTCTAATAACAGGTACGGGAGGTTTAAATCCTTTCATGTGCAGATGCAACCTAGCAGGGCTATCGGGAGTTATTTTTGCTCATGGCTAATACGATGGGTGGAGACAGTGTCAAATCATATAAGCGTGTACGTGGGAGCAATACCGGCTGTGGTCTGCCAGTTCTCGGATATGCGACGGGTCTGAAAAACTGATTTTTGGGGTTGCTCTATTTTATTTACAGAATGGATGATCCCCTAATGTGGGGGACTATTCCGCTATTGAACCAACGGGCATTCCAGTCGTTTAACCGCAGATGGGCGTTTGGGAGTCACGATATCTGCTACAGCCATAGGTTGGGGATATTCCATATCTATTTCTGGCTAGATATCAGTATCAGTGCTTTCCTGTTAAATATACGAGAACTTATGCACTGACAATACAATTAACATTAGCATCCTTGCTCTGTTTTTCACTCTAGGTCAGGTCCTCCCTACACACCGTAACCTCCATTCCCGCCATGGAGGTTTATTCCAACCTACCATGACACAAGCGATACGCCTCCTCTCACGCGGACCTTTTTCTCCCGAACCGTACATGGCGCCCCCCAGTCGGCAGCACTGGAGTCTACAGAATGTCTGTGTCGATCCGTTTTCAGAGGTGGCAACAGCATATACCACGACAGGCGAAGATTCTCATCTTGCGCCGTCGGCATACGCCTGTAATTCATATTCGTGGCTTCACATCTTCCCTGAAGGCAAGGTACACCAGGCGCCAAACAAGACGATGAGATATTTCAAATGGGGGGTATCGCGGTTGATTCTGGAGGCGTCTGAATGCCCCGACGTCGTTCCCATATGGATCGAAGGCACCGATGAGGTCATGCATGAGGATCGAGGGTTCCCACGATTCTTACCCCGTGTCAACAAAAACATCAGCATAACCTTTGGTGACCCCGTGGACCGGGAGGCTCAGTTTGGCGACTTACGGCGGCGGTGGCAGAAGATAAAGGCAGAGGCGGAAGAGGGACATCAAGTAGCGCCTCTTGGGGTCTTGAACGATGAACTCAAGTATGGTAAGGAGGCGGTTGAGTTGCGGATCGAGTGTACCAGGAGAATCCGGCAGCTGGTTCTCGCAGTTCGCAGGTCGAGGGGTTTGCCAGACGAGGACCCTAAGGAAAGCCGGGTCGAAACCTGGCTCCGTGAAGGGCCAAAGGCCGAGGGAAAAATGGACGATGGATCATGGATACGCGATGCCTAGATTCATCTGTACACTATTGTTTGCTGCCTCCGTAATTATACCATTTAGAACTATTTCGTTATCTCAATCAACATGTTTGATCCCATTCTTTTGACCCAAGAATATGATGGTATCGCCCAACTATGATATTTGTATACTTGTTTTCCGTCTTAAACAACACTCTACGTAGATTCACATTCGCGGAAAAAGCGTTTGATAACGGAAACCGTTATTCATCTTCATAGATACTATCATTTTGTGGTATGTTATTTAACGCCATATTTTTGGACATATTTGTCTACTGTGGCGTCTTTCCCTTCCACCTACGTAATATGTCATTAATTACCAGGCTTCCACACACCACCAACCCCCTCCAGCATTCCATCTAACATTCCACCAGCCGACAACGATATGCCCAAGAAATACCACAAATTCACAAACTCCAGGCCAAGTTCCACCATCCATCCATCGCTCACCTCTTTTGCTGCTTTAGGCGCCAAAAATAGCGGCTCCAAGGCTGAAAGCGGTCTCTCCGTGAATGATCTCATCCATCACCTTCGCCGCACGCAAGTGTCCAGACATGATGAGGCTGTCGCAGGACCTTCGCTGGTGGCTCCCAGGTCTGTCCATCCCTCGATAAGGAATTTGCTGGAGCTCCCTGAGACTCCTCCTCCACGCCCGCGCCCCGGGACCCGGGTCGTTGGTGAGCGGAGGGTGCGGAGAACACCTGGCCCAGCTGCTCCCATGAGCTGGCTGGCACCTAATAATATGGCGGATAGAGGGCAACCTGAGGGCGAGAATGAGCACGATGATGCTGGCAATGACATTGGCGGGAGAAATCTTCGGTTAGATCGTCTGCCAGGCATACTTTTCCCGCAAGAGCGTAGCCTGCAGCATATGATTTTGAAATCGATGGCGCTGAACTGGGACTCGCACCTCTTGTACGATGGTGTGTTTCTGTCTGAGCTTCCAACCCTGTTGAAGCAGCTGCTCCTTAGTTACATTGCTACATATACACACCACGCTTCAATGGGGATAGGAATGAAAGGCTTAAAACCTCTGTTCCTGGATGGTTCCGAAGACGATGTCACAGAGACCCCTTCGGATGTTATTCGTCTGGACCTGGGCTCCGCTATTGGCCGCTGGATCACACTGAAGCAACTAACACGAGAGGTGAAGGCTACGGATGGACCTGAGTCCCTCTCCCACTCCAAAAAGCAAGAGAACACACCCCCATTCTCCTGGGAAGAAGAAGCAGAGGCACAACAGTCATCCTCCATTATCTCCGCAACCCTGCCTCAACCCCTCCAACAACGCTTCCACAACCTCAAATTCCTCTCCCTCGCCAACCCCATCCCCCAAGAAGCCAGCTGGCCCTCCCTCCTCAACCTCCTCAACCACCTGTCAACCATAACTCACCTTTCTCTCGCCTTCTGGCCTACCCCAACCCTAACGCCAAACTCGCTCACAGCAAGCATGAAAAGCCCAAAACTCAGCTCCCTCTCCTTCGCCTACGGCGGAACAGATATGTATTCCGCCTCCGAAAACAACTGGATCGAGGCAGCCGCCGTCCTCCGCAAACTCTCCAAGGCGACCTATTGTCTCAAATGGCTGGACTTGGAAGGGTGTAGCGACTGGCTGCCAGCGCTAAGCTGGAATGGGATCGATGCGCATGGGAATTTCCACGTCACGGCTGGCCCGGAGTGGAACGGGGCGTGGAGAGGGGTTGAGTGGCTGGCTCTGGGACCGGGCTGGTTCCCGGATGTTTCTGATGTGGAGGACTTGTATTTTATTTACGAGAAGGACAAGGCACCTCTGCGTGGGGTTGAACCTGAAAGCGGTGACCCTCCTACACCTGGATCATCGAGGGTTCGGGATAGGAAGTTTTGCATAAAGGAGCGGGATGAGTATCGGAGGCTTATTGGGTCTGCGGTTGAGGTGAAGAAGCAGGTGCAGGCAATTAGGACAAAAGGGGGTGGGAAGTGGCTGGAGGTTTCTCTAGGGCCGGAGAGTGAAAGGGACCTTAGGATGAGGGTGTGTGGGGATATAGTAAAGTGACGAGTGGCACTACGCGAGTGGGTGTATGAATGGGTCGTTGCGATGCTATGTGAGACCTCGTGTCATGATATCTATGATATAATGAATTAGTACGATACCTAGCTACCTCAACTTTATAATACTCGTGGAGAGCTGTTGCATAAAACTTTTGGATACATTTTGGATATCTATCTATGTGCTGCTCATTAAGAGGCATTCGCAAGCACTTCTGCGCACTTTTCGTATACTACCCAGAATACCCACCACTCCTCTACACAGAGAAAAAAACATAATAATGATATTTCTGCAACCATATATATATATATATTCGCTCCAAGTATACTCAACCAACCCGGTCAATGCTTCCCACCGGAATGAAACGTCTTCAACGGATCCACCCTCTTTCCACTCTTCCCCCCTCTCCCTCCCCTTCCCCTACCCCGATTCTTCTCCCTCGCCCTCCGAATCCGATTCTCATGCGTCTTTTTAAAACCCACAAACCCAACATCCGCGCCACTACCACCGGCAAGACCGGCTTTCCCCTTTGTCGGCATCAAGTAATCGGGAACGTGTTTCAAATGTGCCTGCACACGGGCAGCCCGCAACTCCCCATCATGCCGCAGCTGCCTCAGCTCCTCTGGATTCTCTTCAAAATGGCGCTTGAGCTTCTCGCTCTTGAGAAGTTCCTGCCGGATCTCTCGCGCGCGAGCTTCCTGCACGGCGATACGGGTGACGGCACGGAGCGCATCGGACATTCTGTACCGGAATGCCTCGACCTGCTTCATTTCGAAGTGGTAGGGCTTCACCTCCTGACCGGCCTTGGCCTGTCGTTTGGTGATTTTGGCTAGCACTGCTTCGTCGCGCTTGGCGGAGGGGAAGCTGGTGGGTTTGTGCTTGCCGAATTGGTTAGAAGGGACAACGAAGGAGAGAGCCATGCCTGTCTTTCCGGCGCGGCCTGTGCGGCCGATCCGGTGGGTGTAGGATTTGGCAGTGGTGGGGAGATCGAAGTTGAGGACGCAGGCAACATCTTGGAAATCGATGCCGCGGGAGATGCCGTAGTCCTTCTCCTTTACGGATTTTTTATATCGTTTACTTGGGTGCTCTTGGACTTCTTCATCGCTGGAATCCTGGGCGCCATCTTTTGACGTCTTGGTATCTGGGTTTTCTTCACTATCTTCCTGCCCTGCACCTCTGGCCGCTTCATCTGATTTTCGGTTTGGTTTCTTGGATTTCTTTGGCAGTTCACCTAGAACTTCCTGATCGTCTGCAGCTATTATAATATCGTAGACACCCTTGTTGAATTCCTGCACGACGTGAATGCGAGAATTTACCGGCAGTTCGGAATTAAGTACGCAACTTCTGATGCCAAACTGTTCGAGAAATAGTTTTAATCGATAGCATCGGTCTACATCTCCAACAAATATGATGCATTTGCCCTTGACAAGTTGCAGTTTAAATATAACATATGTCAAGAGAAATTTCTCATCTTCGGCACATCTAATGATACGATTAGTAAAGTGCGTCTGAAAAGGTAATCCACGCCAATAGGCACCATACCTGACAACGAATTGGCTTATTCCAGCCCCTTCATCGTCCTTTTCCTCCAACTTCAAAATAACTGGATTTCGACAAAATAAACCTTTCAGCGTATCTACTTCGGACGAAAAGGTCGCACTCATCAAAAAGGTCTGAACACCACGAGGTACCGCTTTGGCTAGATTCTGCATATCCTGCTCGTATCCATATGAAAGAACGAGATCAGCCTCATCAATGACTAAATGTGCCAAACGCTCGAGAGACAGCGCGGAGCTGTTGATATTGACGACTGCCCGACCGGGAGTGGAGATGACAACGTCGGGAAGGTCGGCAAGGATCGAGCGTTGTACAGCGTCAGAAACCTTCTGTGTGAGATTCGCGGAACGTATATTTTTACCCGCAAAGGCGCAGAATGAGGCCACTACCTTCTGCACTTGTTCTGCCAATTCCCTCGTTGGCACGAGGATTAAAGCCTGGACGGCCCTGTTTGTAGGATCATCCTAATTGAGCTGTCAGTTCCCATCCTTCCAACATGCTTATCGGGTTAGAAAGCGGTACCGTCTGCTTTTGAAGAATTGACTGCAAGATGGGCAATAGGTAAGCGGCGGTTTTTCCGGATCCGGTCTTTGCGCGAGCTGCAGTGATCTTAGAAAGGCAATTTTTGAGATTCAACGGGCTAATATACTAACACACCTAAGACATCTTTCCCGTCCAGAGCCAGCGGGATGGCCTCTGCCTGGATCAGCGTTGGCTTCGTGAATTTCTGCGCGGTGAGGGCTTGGAGAAGCCTGGGATCGAGGTTCAAGCTCTCGAAACTGGGGGTGCTGCTGCTTTTCTCCGCGGGATCTCCAGGTGAAGGGACATTGTTGACATCTAGCTTCCGCTTCATGATGAGCAGCTGACAAGAACTGTTCCTGAGATTGGATTCTGTATGTCTGCTCCGTTTTTTGATTAAGGCTCTCAAAGAGGAGTCGAAACTTTCACAAGTCTTGGCACTATTTCGGCCCTTCTATTAATCCGGGTAAGTATATTTATTCATTGAACTGACGAACAACCGTCCAGTTATCAACTCATCAAGTTATTGGACTCTTTGAACCTATCTTGTTCCAGTTTAATTATGCTGATCTTCTTGAAATATCATTGCTGATTTTGCCTTTCGTGCTAATAATAGATACCCGAAATGATTAAATAGAGGAGTGGCATAATGGGCGAGTGTAGTTATATGAACTGACTGCAATCTAGTTAACTACTGACTGAGCTTGTTGGATGAGTAGTCACACCACTTCTGAAAGCTAAGTGGGGGGCATCTTCGAAGCAATCAAAAATCAAAGCAACAGAACGAACGGCCAATGGCAAGAAGCACCACATGATTTAATCTAGAGAGATTGAGCAAATTCAGAGGTGCAGGCAAGAAATGAAAGAGAGGATGGGGCAAATAAAAGGGGTGGAATCAATTTTTTTTGCCTTTGGGACGTACCTGGCCGGTTTTGAAATATCTCCTCGGGCCCTCTCTCACGCAGAAGCCTTCGAGAATTTAGCGCTTCTCACTTTCAGAATAGTTTGCACAGTGGTCATTGCATACTCTCGTCCAACGACACTCCCGCGTCGGTTGGTCCGATTTTCCGTCCGGGGTCAAGATCTAAGTACGGGAAGTTTGTTTAGTACACACCCGTATGGGTATTGGCATCCGTGCCCAATGAGTTTATGGGGTGGTGCAAACCTTCTTCCGTTCTGCTCCAACCGGGAGCAGCGTCTCTGCCATGTCCCTGGAATGTGGATCTGTGAGTAATCGGGTCGTAATATGGCGTACCCCAATTTGGTACATATGGACTTGACTGGTGTGCATTTGGATATTGCGGCCGGGGGTTATGATAACCCGGAGGATGGTTATCTGGGTAAGGCAAGCCAGAGAATGCTGGTGGAAAACTATAGCGCTCCTCAGGGTGGATGGGATACGCTGAATAATATCCAGGTTGCGGGTTGCTCGGGCCCCTATCATATCGAGAAACATCTGGCGGGAACGGGGAAGCCGCCTGCAGCAGCGGATTGTGTGGTGTTGATGACAGATGATAACTAACGTTCTGGTGCGGATTCTCAGGATCCAAGTTGTACAATTTTTGTTGGGACATACGATTGCTCTCTCGACTACATGACCTAGCCTGTCGCGTGTCATGGGTACTCAAACTGAGTCCCCGAGTCGATTCCACTACATCGTGGTAACGGGTCCTCTCGGCATGGTCGTTAACGGGATATGCATTATGTGACGTTCTGCATATTTGCATCAGTTAAACTAAAGTATTTGACGCTTATGCCCTTGGATTGTGGAATATTAAGAGTCAAATACGTCAGTGTCCTTGGAACATTGGGCGACTGGATGGTAAAGAGCGGTACATCCGATCCCCTTTTGACTTGCCCAGCCAGCAGAGGACCTTCCTGACGGGATGCCCACGGTTCTCGACCAGGTTCCTCATCTTGTTCTTCATACTCTACAGGTTGGTCACGACGCCTATTTCTCCGGTTTCTTTGTTAATATTGCAGAACCCGTTATCTCTCTCCAAGTCCGAATACATACCTAGGCATGATTTTAGCCGACCCGCGCGTCTAGATTTAGTTGTGCAGCTGGGGATACGATAGGAAGGGGGGGGGGAAGGCAAAATCTCTATCGGATGCTTGTCCTTCGACTACAGGAACATGCGGCAACTCTCAGATGCCTCTTTTTCAACCCAGATTCCAAGTGTAACAGAAATAATGCGACCCATAAGTAAGCCAGCCGGCATTGCGGCTCCGCAATTTCGTTCAACTGGAGGTGCACCAGGGATGCATGTTTGTGCTGGTCCTTCTTGGATTGATGCGAACCCGTGTAGGCCTGCCCTGGCAGCTGGTCGATATGTTCCGTACCCACGAATCATGGGGGGACGCTAAATAACCCCGATGATTCCTTCATTCATCGTCATGCACGATGACTAACATACCTTACGCATGTATACCTACCTCTGAAGCAGATATGCCTGATGACAGGGGAGTTTGTCAAATAAAAAGGGCCCTTGCCTGAACTTGGTTTAACCCCGGTCGGCGGCATCATGGTCAACGTTTCGATCTCGTCGATAGTGGAACACGTATCCCAAAGCCTCATCTGTATCGCTGCGCTTGCAATCCCCTGTAGCAGCCTGTTTAGTAACCGTTCGATGACACCTACGGGACAGGAGCCTGTCTAGCAAGAGATCGGTTATGCTGACATTGCGGGCAGAGTTCCCAAATTGTCCTTGCAGATGCTGGCAACTACATGAACACGTTCCGGTTACAACCTTGAAAAATATCTGCACTTTCAACATCAGTCTAACTTTCTACCAACTTCCCGCAACTTTCTATGAATTCCGCTAGTTATCCTCCCCGCATATTTAGTCAGCCATCTGGCCTGTCCCATGTGAAGAAGACCTGGGCGGATGGTGGTTATCGAATTGCAAAACGGTCCTGGCTGCCATCACTGTATTTTTTAAAGCTTGGTAATTCATACCGTACAACGATTACCCCTGGATAGATCCGCTGTCCAAAAGCCAATGAGAATTCAGCGACTGTTCCCCTTCTTTCAATTCAGACAATGATGGTCTTTATTTTCACATTTTTCGGGGCGTCATCCATCACATCGAGATTGTGTGTTGCCTTTCAAGCGTTTCATAGTTCACATTCCGTCCCTTATCGAACTTGCAGAAGCAGCTCTAATACCAACCTTGATCTCAAAACAAATCCAACACAGTGCTACGACACTGCTATCTTACCCTATCGTGGGTTTTTTTTTTTTTTTTTTTTTTTTTTTATAATTTCCTTCAACAAATTACATGTGTCGCTGCGCTGTATGGTTGGTGTCGAGGAATGCTTTGTAAGTCCTTCATGCACGAGCTTCTACGACCTATAAGGGAGCAAAGAATAAAATTACGAGTAAAAACAAATAACCGCTGAATCAACAAAATTCTGTCACATTTCTGAAGATTCCGGGCATCATTTCCAAGGTTTATTTATTTCCACCAATCTCTCCACAAATTCTTTCCAAATTTTCAAACTTGGCGCTAACTGAGTAGTAGTGGCTATCATCGTCCCCGAACGCATATATCCAAGGAAAAAATATGGATAATAATAACAATGCTAATGACCGTAACCTATTCAGGGGATCGAATGGCTCAAAAGCCCCAATCTTCCTCAGCCTTGATCCTGGTCAGGGCTTTCCCGGGCGCTTATTCAACAGCGACTAAGTTAGTTGACTACGCGGGAAGTTTGAAGGACCAAGAGGAGCCCGGCAATCCGTGTCGTTGTAACTAACAGCAGGCACAGCGCCCAGCACGCATCACCGTTCCACTCAACTCCTGGTGGGCCGGATGCTACATCGCCTCACGACAAGCAAAGGAATTTCCAAAGTCAAAGCCCATTAGTTAGATATCTACTGTCCATACAGAAGCCAATGTGGGGCATTCATACGTCCTTCCCCCAGCCGCTGTGATCTTGTCAGAAGCCCCACAGTAAATATCCCACAATTAAACCACGATGGAGATAGAGAGGACACCCACCGGAGTTCTTTTAAATATTTTAGAAACTGAAAACGCCGAATTGTAATCAACCCTCGAGGAATGTTGGTAATGCACTTACCGTTCAACTTCTGTATCAGTGCGGTTCTGGGGTTCGTGCAGGAAGCATGCAACGCGCCGGCCCGCGACCTATGAATACATAGCTTTCCCATTAAGACTTTGCACCCATGGATGCTGATTCGGGACTCGTGTCGTTAACTAGCTAGTTAACTTGGAAAGGGGATGAAATCCCATTATCTCGATATTCAATTCACTCACTCTACACAGATCCCGATGTTCAATCCTCCCAGTTTTTCACTTCCATAATCTATCTCGCCTCTCAAACCATCGACCACCCTCCGTACACATTGGATTATACAGATTATATACACGGATTCTGCACAGGCCACTAACAATTTTTAACAGATTTAAGCTTGTTTTCATTGGCCCCACTTAATGAAACTTAAACGCAGTTAGACTTTTAGGCTCCCGCAGCCTAAACCAGCCCCCTAATCAGAACAAAAAAAAATCTTTCTCAAGTCGCAGGCGGTGAGGTTGCGGTATCCCAGAAATTTAGAAGAGGGGCTGGCGATGAATGTTCAACAAACATCATGATTGCTACTAACATACTGATATATGCGTAAAGCTTCTTGCTATCCTGATCCCAGTCGTCAAATCACTGCCACGAACCCTTAATCCCGCGCCGATTTGCTGGGGGTCGGCAACATATGGGGTTCGCTCCCTTTTGTAACATCTATGAAGTGGTGTTGCTCTGGCCTGCTGCGGGTAGGATGCAATCGAACTGTTGAATCCCCCGCAAATGGGCTTCAAAGTTCTTGAGGAACGCAGTAAGGCTGGACCAGTCGTTGGAAAAAAAAAAAAAAAAACTGCCCGGTTGATGCATGGGCTACAACTTTATTTTCATGTAGCTACAATTAGTTACAAAGAGCACGATAACATGCACTGGGGCGTGAAGATTGCAAAATAAGCAACACATCCGCAGAACTACCTCTGATTTCTTATTTTCAATCAGCAAATCGAAAAGCGACGCACGCCATCTTTACCTTTTCGCTGCGTTTACCGTACGTACCCTTTTGCGGAGGTTCCAAAGATGGCGTTTCCAAGTAGACGTTGTTTTGTACGCATTTATACCTACAAGGGGAATCCATCCAAAGTTGATGCGCGCCGCCCCATAGTTAAGTTAGTTACGTGATAGTCAAGCAACCTGTTGCTGATTCCCAGCGACGTTCACGGACTAGCGTGACCATGAACAATAGTAAAATACATCCAACCGAAATACAAATACGAAAGCTCCGCAAATCTCACACTTCATATGGAATTGGCGGACGTTTGGAGAAGTTTGGGTCAGTTCAATCGAAGGCGCTGAACAAGGAGGAGACTGGGGAAGTGCCGAGTTTTGTCACAGGGAGTCTCCCCCCTTGTTGGAGGTGTTTTGCCTATCACGGTATCTGAAGCGACGAACAGTGACGAATATACCTATTACAGGCAAACTCTTTTTTTATTTTTATTTTTATCCAGACATCTGGTTTATGATGCTCCTAGATGTAGCAGGCTGAGGAGTTGGGTATTATTAATTTCCCAACCTCCAAGAAGCCTTAGCCAAAGAAAAGAAAAACCATATGAACCAGAATCGCTCGTTAATAGCGTTGAAAACAAACAGTGCTACGTTGTACCGTACCCGTCCATACCGTAGAATCCAATTCCATCATACATTGTCAGCTATGCATAACTACATAAAGAGGCAAATGAATGAAAGTTAATATTTTACCTTGTTCAGGTTTTTTGTAGCGAAAGAGGGAGAAGAAAATAATCGAATTGAAGAAAACAAGACTAAAAACCCATTGAAATCTCTAGAACCCAACCCAGCCCAAATCCCTAAGACAACCGACTATCATCATCCTCCCCCTCACTCTCGCTCAAACTATCCCTCCTCCCCCTCCCCCCTCCCCTCCCACCACCATCCGCACGCCGATACCCCTTCGACAAATTGGGGATGGGATGGTGGTAACTCTTCGTCCCTGTCCCCACATCAGGCCCCCCCAGACCAACCTGCTCATACATATAATCCGAACTATGCACAGACGACATATCCAGCGGCTCTGCATAGCTACCCGGCATAGAGCTTCGATCCCGCTTGCGCGGACTAGACTGACGGGAGCGCGTAGCACTTGCCCGTGGCCTGCGTGGGCGGGATGGAGGAGCTACAGAACCGCGGCGGTCACGGTCATGGCGCTTAGAGAAAGCGGAGTCAGTCAAGCGGCGTTCCTCAGTGACGTTGCTGATAGTATCAGCCTCCCCGGTGGTGAAGGAGAAGCCAGAGGTGTTCCGTTTTTGTTGGCGCTGCGGCTGGTGGCGATCCGGCTCACGTGTGACATCCTGCAGCGGACCAACTTGGCTATGTGTCTGGCTCTGAGCCCGCTCGCTGCCCTGATGGCCGTTTGAACTCGTGTAATCTGAAGTGTGATATTCACCGTCTGGTTCGCGGTTGAGTCCACCCACCCGTGCCGGTTTCTCATGTCTGTATGCGCGCATGTCTTCGTCACCACCGCCTTCCCAATGCTCCTCCTTCCGCCTGCGCAGCAACTTCTGCTTCGCCGTCTCCCTGATCCCTTTGCGTTTCAACTTCTCACCAGTTACAGTAGTTGAGCCGTCGACTGTCGTGGTACCATCGCCAGTGCTATGATAATCGCTGTAACCTCTACCAACGACGCTTCCGCCACCCAAATCCGTGCTCTTAGTCACATCACTGAGGGTTCTACCGTGAGAATCCTTACGGCGTAGCACAGTAGATTTATACTCTTCCCAGTCACCCTTGCGCCAAACGAAGCCACCGTTCTTCGCCCAGAAGAAGAACCAAATACCGGCCAACACGAAAGCGGCGCCTAGAAGGGCAAAGAGTGCCATTAGGCCTTGCATATTGATGTTGGCTGGGTTGACGATTCCTCGACTTGGCTCTACTGTCTTTTCCCCGCGTGTAACGAGTGTCTGGGCTAGCTCTGTCATGGACGAAGACGACTTGGATAGAGTGCGTTCGCGAAGTTGGGAGGTTGGAAAATTGTGCGAAAGTTTGCGTTTTGAGAGAGCGGTGATGTAGTCTTCCATGGAGTCGGAGCTACCTCCGGGTTTGGGAAGAAAGGGAGGCATGGCTGTGGGAGTTTTAGGGGGGGGGTTGCAAGTTTGAAATCAGGCAGAAGGTAAGATCAAGGTTTGAAGAAAAAAAAAATTGCGAGAAGAAAAGATGTGAGATCCCAGGCTGGGAAGATTTGTCAAGAAGATGGTTCAAGACAACATACAGGAACCACTCATTCAACGAGCTTCGTTTCAACCCACTAACTTCCCGTCTAACGTGATTTCTCGATCCAGATTAAAGAAAGCTGAGCCCAGCCAGCTCTGGCTGGAGGAGAATCAGCAAGGGCACTCCAATCTCAGTGAGAAGCCCTTCTTCCTCCACCCATTTAGATATCGTAGGAAGAGGACGTTATTATGCGTCGATCCGAATGACGACCAAGGGCTCACCTGTGATGGATATCTTATCGACGTATGTACTGAAGTAAATAGAACGGCGATATGTGCGAACAGCGTGGCGTGCGTCAGTAGTGATGATATTTGGGCAATCCCCTTCCGCAGCCTTAGCAGAGAGGTATAATATCCAGCGAGCAATATAAGGAAACCGGAAAATTGGATCAAAAAGAAAAGATAGCAACCCGCCTCCACTTTGTCTGGCTCGTCTCACCAAAACTGCAGTTTTTAATTAATCGAGGCTGGGGAGTTTCCCGGAGTTGTTGTTGTTGTTGTTGTTGTTGAGGGTGACCTCATTCCCGTCCCCAGCCTCCTTTTTCGCTTTGTTTACATTGGGGCCGTTGCAGGGGACAACGTCGCTTATGTCAGCCACCGCAATTCGGCAACGTGGTATGCGGGAGAACTAGGCTGAATACAGCTAGCGCGAATTTTGAAAGTTAAGGTTGTGGATCGCGCGGGAGGAAAGTCTCCAGACTTCGAAAAAGTATAAAAGTAGACGTCAAGTGGAGTCGAAATACTATAGGTTCAGAAATGGGGAATGGCATACGCTTATGGGAAACGGTGGTATAATGTTAAGAAGGCTTCCATTTGGAAATGTGCATAATCCATGTTAGCTACATTGTGGTATTTCAGCCTAACCGGTCCATCAGGGATTCATGCAGGACTGTGAAAAATTCACACTGAAAGTGGCTGAATATAAAAGCAAGTCGAGCAGCTGGCTAAGGACCATTGGGAGAAAACCAAATTAGTCGCAACAGAATCGCAAGCATATGATAAATTTACTAGAGTGATTGTCGAAGAGAAGAGGTGATTGAGCCTACATTACACGCACAAAAGACAGGAGGGAAAAGAAGATAATAGATACAAAAATTTCGCTAGCTCGATGTCAAAAGTTGAACACGGATAGAGGACACCAGGTGAAAAGGGGCAGTTTGTTGAAATGCAGAGAGTCAAAAGGCCAATGCGGGGAATATAGGACCTGACGGGTAATATCAGAACGGGTGAATTAAGGGGCAAAATCCAAAACTATGCTGAGAATATGGAGAGTGTTGAGACAGAAGGGATGCGGGAAAGTAAATCAATATTCACGTAGACATAGATTCTTAAAAAAAAAAAAAGCTTGCTTGCTGCATGAGAGTGTTATACAAAAGTAAACAGTGGGAAACACAGAACTCGCATGGAAAACGATGAAAGGAGAGCAAATCAAAAAATCAAAATAAAATAAAAATAAAAAAGACGATGGAAGATGAGTGGGAAAAAATACAGAGACATCAACACTCATTGCAAATCAATTGAACATCGTACAAATCATAAAAACTTAAAGTAAAAGAAATACAAAATAAAAAAAAATCAAAACTCAATCTTTTACACGCATTAAAAAGTAAGAAAAGGAACAAAAAAGGATTAGCAAGGACGGAGAAGACTAAAATTCAGTATACATAAGCGAGCAGAATATAAAATAAAGGGGAAATCTAGAATCTAAGTGGAAAAGACAGCAGGAGGATATTGAAAAGAACATAATACAATGAGGAACAAATAGACGAGGAGATCATGAATAGATGACGGGACACAAGTGATCAATAGCTCAAAACGGTAAAGATACATCCAGAAAGATGGCCATGGGAGAGAGAAGGGAAGCAGTGCAGAAATGAGAAAGGGGTATCAAGGAAGCAATAAGTCATAATGAGAGCAATAGACAGCAAATATGATTTCCAAGCAGATGTTTTCTATTTTTATTATTTTCCATTTATTTCTATTTCTATTTTTTCTGTTCAAAACCTCAAAATCACATTCATATTCACGCTAAATGGGTATATCGCAAAACAAAACTAGAAGTAAAAGGAAGAGGTGTCGAAAACACTTTTTTTTTTTTTTTTTTTTCAAGAGCATCTTCTTGGTTTGCGATTAATACTCCCGGAAACGAAGTCGAAGTTGATGTTGGGGGTGAAGGAACGTGGCGGACACGTTTGGAAAATAGCCGCAAAATCGAAACCCAACTCAACATTTCCTCTGGCTTTGCTTCCACAACGACCGTGTGACTTCCACGAACAACCACAGAAGAATTCCAGGACTGGGAGGCTTGAAGTTGACTCCCATCGAGAGTTGCCCTTTTTTTTGGGGGCCCAAATATCCAGTCCACAAAATGAACATCAATCAAATGACCGGAGTAAATGTTTCGAAAAACCTTACCCACTACAAAACAATCCATCAAACAGAGGGCCCTCTACACATCTAACATTCCCTGCCCGCTACACATCCAACATTCCCCGCCCGCTACACATTCAACATTCCCCGTGCGCTAGACATCCAACGTTCCCCGCGCGCTAGACATCCAACGTTCCCCTCCCACTGTATCCAGACCGACTCGACTTTCTGCTTGTCCGATCAGACTCATTATTCTGTCGAAGCCGCCGAGTCGCATGGTCCTCAATCTCCTTCCTTCTGTCGCCATTACTACCTCCCAGCATTTCCGATTTCGAGACAAGGTATCTCTTCGGCCTGCTGCGGCCCTCGATATTCACCTCAAAACGCCCCCTCCTCGCCAGAACGCACATTGATCCGTCCATCCATGTTTTCCTTCGACAACCCGATCGTCAGCCCTCCAAACATCACCGTCATACCGTCATCCTCTTGCCGACTAGCCCTGGCGCTGGTGGAAGTTCTAACCCCCAGGCCACTCTTGATCTTAGCATCACTGCCGCGACTTCTATCTGTTGGCGTGCGCAGGCTGCCACTATCGCTGTCCGCGAGGTTAGTGCGGCGTGATCTTACAAGAGTGTCTAGTGATACGGGCATCGCGCGGGAGGAACGGGATGATTGATATTCTTCCGCCTCGCGCTGTTTCTGGTCGAGGATGTCCTTAGCCTGTGATTGCTGCTCGAGGCCGTAGACAGAGGAGCGGCGGCGGCGGCGGCGGCTGTTTTCGACAGAGATGCGTGTCGGGGCGCTGACGTGGCTATTATCGTTGTAGGAGCCGGTGCAGACGCGGTTTTTTCCTGGGCTGCTGGGTGGGTGGTATTCGGGGAGGATTGGATCTCGGGGCATTTTACGGCCTGGCTGTGGTTGTGGGAGGGAGGCACGGAGGTCTTTGAGGTCGAATGCCTCCGGACGTCTGGCGGTGAATGGGGTGGAAGCTGTTGTAGTTTCTTTACGGGCGGGCGGACGACGGGGGGAGATTATTACCTGTGGGGGTGGCTTGTTTTTGGGGACCTGGGGTTGTGTCGTGCGGTAGAAGTCTTCGGCGGTGTCAAAGGATTGAGACTGACGACGTGCACGAGCTTCTCGCGCAGAAGGTCTCCGTTGTAGCGGGTCACTTTTATGTGAGGGGGAAGGAGGGTATTCCACTGCCGGGGTTCCATACATTGAGCCCCTTCTGGCAGATGGTTGTGTTTCGGGAGAACGGGAGGTGGAGGATCCCCGAGGACGTTCGAAGATAGGATGTGGCCCAGAATCATATGGCATCTGGGAAGAATGTTGTACGGGTATGACAGACCCGTGGGGAATGTACGGCTGCATATAGTGTGCATATGCAGACGTTGAGATGGGTGGGCCATGTTCGTAACTTGGGGGGGGAGGCATTTGCATATACATGCTCATGTCTCCCATAGCCCCCGAGTGGAAGCTGACGGGTCGATTTTGGTGGAAAGAGTTCGACCCGTTGGGGTGAGATGATGCAGCCTCCTGAGTAACAATCGCCGGGTAGTGGTATGGACGAGGGAATGCAGGAACATCATAACCATAGTAAGAGTAATCCATGGTATGATGATAGGGAGGGTGGCCCATATTCACAGTGCTGTAACCCATAAGATCACAGCCAGGGCACGTGTCGGGAGCATAGTGTCCATAAGACATCCCCCGTTTTTTGGCCTTGGACGAGGGCTGCTTGGGGGCTGGTCTGCTGGAACTTCTATGCTGACTTGGGTGCATTGTCGCAGCGGTGGAGGGTGAAGAGCTGGATTCCCTCGAGTCTTCCTGCTTTTCTCTCTCCTTTGCCATCTCCTTTTCCCTCTCCTTTACCATCTCCTTTTCCTTCTCCTTCTCCCTCTCTTCTACCCTCTCCTCTACCCTCTCCTCTACCCTCTCCTTCTCTCCAACCTTACCTTTTGCTTGTTTCTTGTGTCTATCATTGATGACACGGCCTCTTACTCGCTCGAGATCACGATTGACAATGGCTGTATCCAACCGGGCTAAAACAGGACTCTTCTTCAGTAACTCGGCGCTGCCAAGAGTAGCTGCGGTCCGACTCGAGTAACCGGAGTCGCTCGCACCGTCAGTGCTTGTCGCCAGCGGTCGAATATCAGACTTTGGTGATGACCGTTTGGCAGCAACGTTGGCAACTGTCTTACTCTCTGGGATAACGTCGTTGGTATCTTCATCGAAGTCTTCAAAAAAGGCAGCGTACGATCGCTGTTGCGTCCTGGAAGACATGACTACACTGTCAAACGTTGGTAGGGCTTGCAGGTATGGTTCGTTTGGGAGAACCCGTTGGTGCGATGGTCTTGACCCAGCCTGGGACTATAGATGAACCGTCGAATCGTTCTCGACCATCGATTTGCCAACAAACACTTCAGTGTCAAATGAATAATATTTGTCTCTTGAATTAATACAAGAGTGACAAATATTTATATCACCTTTCTCCAGTCAATATTTTTTCCAACCACCACTATGTTGCCTTTTTCTTGTTATTTTTCAGGGTGTGTCGGTTATGGTATTGCAAGGATGAAAGGAGTGTATGGGTTAAAGCGAAGGAAAAAATTGAAGTCAGTTAATCAGTGGAAAGACAAAATCTTAGATGCAAGCAATCACTTGTACACAGTGACTCTGAATTTCAATTCTGAGAGGATATCCACTGATGCAGTCAAGTGCTCCATCGAGGTCTTCATGGAATAAGGACGAAGTAATGGCGGATCGAACCCAAGCTCAAACAACTTGTGAGCAAGAGAAAAAGAGGAGGTGGTCGATGGTTTTTTTAAATCTTTTCGTTTTTTTATTTTGCCCACCCTTTGAAGTTTTAGAATTTCTGGCTCCCTTGCGGGTTCCTCTAAACTTTATATATAATGTTCTGTGGAAGACTGAAGCTTATTTAGCAACCAGGAAATACGTCAGAGCGAAAGAGAGTAAGGTGTGTACATACCTGGGTAGGACAGGATGGGGCCACCTGATACAATGAAAGAGCGAGCAGCGACAGGCTGAGAGGATGGAACGGCTATTATTATTCCGCAACCAATGCCGAGATATTCAAGGCAAGAAACTGGCGGAACGTATTTTATGTTTTTGAACCTAGCCTCAACCGACGCAAGTGGCTGCAGCGGGGTAACCGAGATCACTGGGTCCGGTTGGACAGCGATGAGAGTGCGGTGCATAAAGCGGTGGTTGGCTGAGAGCGGTTGGTTTAGCGTGGAAGGATGAAGAGAGGTTGTCAGGAGGTGCGTGCGAGGCCCACGAAAGTCTGCGAAAAACGAGCCGAAAAACCGGTCAACGAGAGAGCTCTTAGGGTTGTTGACGTGGATGGCCAAACTATTTTGTTTTATTTTAACCCTTTTCTTTTTTTATATTTAGGTGACGGTAGTATCTAACTAGGTGTCATCAGGAGAGCAGACACGGTGGACGATTAGATTAGTGTCGTTTCAATGGGCGATGAAACCCCGACAAAGAGTCCCTTTTTCGGTTTGGTGGTTGGGCGGGCCCAAAAAAAGAAAGAAAATAAAAAAAATAAAAGGGGGAATTGTGCAAAGGCGATACGGAGGCGCCGCAAGACAACGCTGAAGATGAGGCGATGAAGGGGCGGACTATGAGAGACAGGAGTGAGTTGTTGCAGCGGAGAAAGAGAGAAAAACGGCTTAGAAGCGATGTTGTGCAGAGAGGAATGTCGCACGGTAGTCGTGGGTGGTTGACGATGGATCGAGGGACGGGATGGGTTTTTATGGGTTGACGCAGACTCGAGATATAGGATAATAGACTATGGAGAGGGTGGAGTTTGAGTGCGTAGAAAATTATACAGTGTTGTGGTACATAGACGATCGTTGGTGGAAGTAGGGGAATATCGGGATGCTGAGTGAAATACAGGTTATTTCAAGTGGGGTTTACATGGAGGGTGGGGACTATGTGTGTTTATATACTGATGATATCAACGGACTGTCGAGATATTCCAGTCTGAAATATTGCTTGATCCCGGGGGCGGGGGAGAAAAAGGGAGGAGAGGATTCAGGGGAGAGGAAAAGAAAGGCAAATGAGAGGAAGATTGTAGACAGAAGAAACGAGAGCAAAAGGGGATTGATTGGGACGATGACTGGGTGCCGCTGGGGAGAGTGACTTGCATATCCTGCACAAATCTGCGCTGGCCTCGAGGTATCGTTTCCCACCAGAATGTAAAAATAACTACCTGTCAGGCATCAACCATTTCAATTGACCAGTTACAATAGCTGCATGTTACAACAGTCTGTCCATCTGATTTGCAGGCAGACAGGTTCATTGGGTTAACTATCGAGTCAATCTTCACTCTGTTTTTCCCTTACTCTTCCTGTCTCGGACCCCTCGACACAATCCCCTCCGTCTTTTCAGCGTCAAAACAAATATCAATCTCTCTCTCTCTCTGCCTGGATCATCCCTGGCATTCCTGTCTCAGCAGCGACCGGGGAATCTGGAATAATAAAACAGACCATGCACACAATCCGCCACGCCCGCAGCGGACACGCTGTATTGATTTATGTGCATAAATGAGAAGCATCTGCTATGTCCCATCTATTATTATGATTAAGATTAAGATTGTTATTATATTATTATTCCAAGAACACAAAACACACAAATAAATAATAAATAGCTACTCAGAAGTATTCTATAAACAAACAAATAAAAACCGTGCAAAACTTTTCCGCAAATTCACTTTTCGTTTTCGCTGGCAGTGAGATAACGTAAACCGCCACACAACGCACGCCGCCACACAACGCACGCCCCAAAAAGCCGATTTTTGAACCCAACCTTCCACCTTCAATCATCTACAACATGCCAACCAAAGAAGCTGTAGAGCTCGCAGTGGCTGAATTCCTTTCGCAAGAGGCTGGCAATTATACTACTGTTGCAAAAAAATACGGAATTCATCGAACTACGCTTATGCGACGCGTTACGGGCAAATCAGTGTCTCGAGAAACTGCCGACTCCCTATATAGACAGAAACTTACGAACTCTCAAGAGGAAGAGCTTATTCGATATATAAATCGTCTTACGGACCGTGGCTTTCCTCCTACACCTCGAATTCTTCAAAATCTAGTTGAAGAAATCCTTCAGGAGCCGATTGGCGAGCATTGGATCTCTAGATTTTGTCAACGCCACAAGGATCGCATCAAAAGCCTATATTTACGAGCAATTGATCAAAAACGCAAGAGAGCTGATAATTCTGAGTATTTTCAGCACTTTTTCCAGCTTGTATTTGATTGATTTTTATTTACATTGCCTGCAATTTAATGAGGGGTTGCTAATGCTTGAGCATCTTAGCTAGACGAAAAGGTCAAAAAATTCAACATTCGACCATCTAATACGTGGAATCTTGATGAGAAGGGCTTTCTTATGGGCGTCATGCAAATCAGCAAGCGAATAGTCTCTGTACAGCAGCTTAAGAGCGGGAGCTTGCTAGGCACGATTCAGGATGGGAGTAGAGAATTCATCTCATTGCTAGCCGCCATATCAGCCAGTGGAAGGTCAACGCCGCCAGGTCTTATATATCAGTCAGACTCCGGGGATTTGCAAGATACGTGACTAGAAGATTTTGATTCTAAAGAGCATGAGGTCTTTTTTGCTGCCTCCCCGAACGGCTGGAGCAGTGATCAATATGGATTACATTGGCTGCAACGGGTCTTTAATCCTCATACAAAGGCTAGGAATGGAGCCTGGCGCCTGCTCATCCTTGACGGCCATTCTTCTCATGTCAATATGAAATTCATCAACTACGCTGATCAAAATCGTATTATCCTTGCTGTACTGCCGCCTCATTCAACTCATCGCTTGCAGCCTTTGGATGTTGGTATTTTTGGACCTTTATCAAAGGCATACTCTCAGCAGGTGGATTTATTCTTACGCTCAGCAATGGGAGGTGTATCCATTAAAAAACGCAACTTCTTTTTATTATTCCACAACGCCTGGAAGCAAGCTGTCACGAAGTCAAATATAGAGTCTGGATTTGCTGCTACTGGCATTTATCCTCTCTCACCAGATCGGGTGCTTAGCAAGCTTGCTAGACCAAGCACTCCAGTCACAGCAGAGCCAGTCACACCCACTACCATACGAGGACTGCGACGGGCAGTTAAGAAGTTAAATCAACGGCGAAGAATCTCTACTGGGTTCCGAAAAATCGTTCATGCTAGTGAAAGACTAGTTTTTGAAAAAGAGATTTTGCAGCATGAAAATAAGCTTCTATACGAAGCTTTACGAAAGGAGAAGAAGCGCCGCCAACGTGGAAAGCCTCTAGGTCTTGTGGATAAAGAGAATTCGCGTGCTGCTCAATTCTTTTCACCTTCTAGGATTGCGGCAGCACGTCAGCAGCTTGAGACCGACGAGGCTGCTAAGATTAGTGAGGCTGCTGAAAAAGCAGCAGGCAAGCTTCAACAGGATATATTACGTCAAGAGAAAGCGATTGTAAAAGCTGCAAAGCAAGCTGCAACTCGAGCTCTTAGGCTGGCTAATGCTCAGAAGCGAGAGAGACAAAAAGCTGAGGTTGCTGCTCGCGTGGCTGCTCGTAAACTAGCTGCTGAGCGAAAGAAGACTGATAAGGAAGCTGCTCAGCAAGCTACTAGAGAGTTAAAGCTTTCTAGAGATCAAAATCTCGTTGCCGCCGCCAGATCAGCCAGGTCAGCCAAATCCCCTACAAAGGCCGTACGAAGCCAGGGGCCTGGCGAAAAATCTAACCAGGCCAACCCTATACAACCTTCCCAATCCGGTAATCAGTCAATTACACGCCTATCAGCAAGCTCCCTACGACCTACTTCTTCTAGCAGTTCCTCCACGTCGCCGTCAATTCCTTCTTCGCCCACCCCGCAATTATCACGTTGTGGCCGCATTATTCGACTTCCATCTAGATTTTTGGATTAACTATACATTTTTATATGATCTATTCCTTCTACTAGATATATATTTTTAATTTAAATTAAATAAATTCATGGGTGGTTGAGAAATTGGTGGAATTCCTTGGGTGGTTGCTTGCTTGTAGAGGCGTGCGTTGTGTGGCGGCGTGCGTTGTGTGGCGGTTTACGTTACAGTTCTGCACCCCATCCCTGGAACCATGGATCATGCCATGCTGACCCAGGGTTGGTGCATGTATATATATTTGGAGTATGCATTTTAGAAAGTTCCATATGTGTTAATATCCCCGTAAAACGTCTTTCGCATCCCAATCAAAGATACTCCCGAAACAGATATCGATCTAAATAAGTCAGCTTCTCTACTACAACAACAACAACAACAACAACAACAACAACAACAACAACAACAACAACGAATTCTCCTCAGCCACGCTAGTTAGTTACAGAACCTTTCAATTCAAATAACCAATCCTTGAGTGTGCTCTGGCCACAGAAAGGCGACAACCCATGCATCCATCCTAATAATGGAGTGACTAACTGTGGTCTTATTTTAATCCCATTCCGCACTCTGAGTGCTGCGGAAGAAGGCCTTTTGCAAGAGCCGCATACATCACTGGGCGAAGTGGGGGTGAAGAGAAGGGCCTTTTTTTTTTTTCAACAGGAGGGGGAAAATCCCAAATTATGGAACTTCTTGTTTCTCCTGTTGACAGGATCTTCCAGACTAGAATTGCCCCATTCGGCCTCTCCATCCCCGTTTTGCCGGAAACCCAATACAGGGTTATGCACTCTGGCGAATGTCGATGCACCAAACCACATACGCACTCAGCCCACAATCTCCCTTCTTGTTCCTTCAAAGCCGGAAACGCGCTAAAGAGGGAGAAGGGGGGCAGGGATTAAAATTAAAAAAAAAAAAAAACAAAGCGTAGTTGTCATTGTTGGAAGAAAAAACGGAGGGGCAATAAGCAGGGGATCGGTCCATGCATAAGGGGGGGGGAAGGGCCCTGTTATTTTTGCAGACAGGCTCCAGGTCAGACCTCTTTGCCTCTGGTAGTTAGGTAAGTTAGTTATTTGCCTCCTCTCCGTCTGCGCTGCGGATGCATGATAATGGCGTAGCTGCTACAGTACCATACACATGCGACGCGGACACAAAAATTCTGTCTTCCTGGATTTCCGTTCCTTTCTTTTTTGCAGCCCCTTCCCCCCGTTGCCGCTGATAGATGTTAGACACAGCCCGGCCACATGAGTGTTTCTGGCAGTTGTGATCGGGCTTTCTGTTGTGTCCTCCGTACGGTATAACAAGGTCAGTGGCAACCGGACATGACAGCGCCATATGTAAAAAGGTTATTTCGCCGGCTACTGATACCCAAGGATTTGGAACGCCTTGGATTAATTCCGCAGTCAAACAATGGAAATAACATTAATGGACAAGAGCAGGGCTATTTAGTGTTTCATGATCGCCCACCCATGCTTGAGTTCAAGTCCCACCAGGACCAGCGGCAGCGAGGATGGATAGGATCATGGATGTGATGCCCTGTACCTTCTTGCAGACTCCAAAATCTCCAGGCCGCTGGATCGCTAGACCGGACCGCAGCACGGGATGGGTGGGTTGGTTTGGTGGACAGAAAATAGAATACACCCCGTATGCGTTTCGAAATCTGTCCAGATATCTTTAGGATGCATTCCCATATCTGGATGTTGACTGGAGCGCAATGATCTGGCATGAACCTCAACATATCTGGAACAGCTAAGGAATACCTACATGACGCAGGAGCGAGAAAACACAATAAGAAAAGAATACCCATCCATCCATCAATCTGGATCATGGACAGGGTGGATCATGGGATTGCCCAATCTCCGCGCCAGAAAGGGCAAAAGCGTCTCTCCCCATTTGTTTTCTGCCGTATCAAATGGGATGTCCAATAGTTATCCAATGATGCATGATTCAACCTTGCTGAGTCCTCCCCCCCAGAACAACCACACACCCCCAGAAGCTAGGCAAGGATGGGCGATCACGCCGGTTATTGGGCCGCAAGAATGGCTAAAGAGGCTAAAATAGATTGCCAAGAGGAACATGAGAAGAGATGAGAAATGGATGAATGGAGCCAAAAAGCAAAAAGCAGCATCATCAGAGTTGTTAAACTTGGAAGAAACCCATCATATCCGTTATGACCTCCAAGATCTCCTCTAAGTGAATAGGTAATCCGCGACCAAGGGAGGCTAATTAGTCGAATTCTTCGCACGAAGCAAGTTACATGCTTGCACCGTATTGGGCATCCAACCAACCAACCGACACCCACCCCCATCCCTCCGCAGCCCAGCCAGTCATCGAAAAGAGCGGGAAATGAGAGAGGACAAGCCAGCAGACCTTCAATCTTCCTGTCTTTTTTCAGCTGCTCCCGGAAACCATGAGCCGGGTAAACAAACTGTGCAATCAACGGTCTTTCAAGCTGGGGTTTAAGCAGCAGAGAGGAGCTCTATCAACATTTGGATGGTTCCCGTTGCTGCATCTATGCATACAACCGGACCCCCATCTCATCCCATCCCATCTCCATCCACTGAGGTGTTGGCCTGTAGAGGAAGATGTTGAGTCATAGCATTGACGACAGCATTCAAAATCCTGCACTTTTTATTTTTATCATCCCAGAGACACTCCGTAGCTTGTTTGGAATTCTGTGACCTGATTTAGTCTGGTTTTTTTTTTTTTTTTTTTTTTTTTTTTTTCTCACAACTCTGTTTTACAAAGTCCCCATACAAACAAGAGTCAAGAGCATTTCCCATAAATTGAGCAAATATTTTTAACTATTTTAGCTATGGTTGAGAGTGTTTCTGATCTATGGAAGTTTTAAACTTTTCCCAGGGTTGCAATCTGTTCCACACTCAAAAATATCTTCCGTGTTCTGTCCCACCACTCGCGAGCTCCTGTGCTGGCCCGTCTCTCCCTTTCCAGATATCATCCCCGTCGTCATTTTACCCTCCCATCCACCTATGCATCTCCCTGGCTCCAGTATGTCACAGAACCATACATTTTACGCCGCTTAGCTGACTACCTCCCCGTCTAATTCCGGGGGTCATTTTACTCACATTCTGTCAGAGCTTCTGGTTGATGTCATTCCCCTCCCCTCCTTAACTAGCGATCATGTCCATTCCATATTAATTCCTCTTCCATTGCAATTTTCCGTATTTGGGCAACCTTCCAAGGAGCAATCCCGCCGCATCCCGTCCGCCTATATGAATCTATGATATACAAACATAGACTTAAAACACTCTAACTTCACACATGCAGAACCCAGCTACTGTCCCATTTAGCCCCTCCATCCCCACTCCGGCCCCCAATCGATTCAGATCCATCCCCACCGGAATCACCCCCCCCCCCTCCACCACCTGTAATCCTGAACACACCTCGAAGGCTTGCGGCTTGCGGGGCTCAGATGGCTTTTCGCAACAAGGACACTAGTAAATAGGGCCAAGCTTACCGGGACTGAATGTCAAGCTATGTACCTACTTAACTATTTACGTTCAAGGGCTGGGAGGTAACTGCGGGTGCAATGAAAGGAACAGAAAAAAAAAATAAAAAAAATAAAAAAATCTTCAAATCAACGAATCCGCCAACCCCTCCTTAACACCCCTTCCACCATCCCATCCCTCCCTTCCCTCCCCATCCTTGCCATGAAAACGGAGAAGAAAAGGATTCCTGACGCCCTCTCTCCCCAATTATCCTTGAAAACAAAGCTGAAAATGATGAAAATGTCTAATCCCAAAAGGGGAATCAAACCTGCAGCCACCATTTTGAAACGCCCCCAATGAACTCACGCGGCTGGCGAGACGTTGGAGATTTCTTCACTTCTCTTTTGGCCTGCCCCTGCCCCTGGCCATGGTTGATGTTGATGTTGGCATTACGTTTCTGTTGCCTCTCTGTTCCCAGTGATGAGATGCGGGTGTGATATGGGGTGAGATGAGATGAGATTATGAGATCCATGGATGAGAAGATATGCCCCTCCTTCCGCCGACTTCTCCCCATTCCCCGTGCTAACTATCGAAGGTAATAGGTATCCCTGGGTCAGGAGGAGCCTAAAACAGTGAGAGTCAAATCCTTTGAAAAAAAATGAGTAAAAAGAGAGAGAGAGAGAGGAAAGAGAGAAAAAGAAAGAAATCTCTAATAATATAATTATATTACCAAAGTAGTAAACATGAATTAAAAAAAAAAAAAAAATTCAAATTGTGTTTGTAGTTTTCGATTTCTTTTCTTGTGAGCTCTTATATTCAATGCTATTGCTATTCTTCCCCCCTTTTCATATTGTTAGTTACCTTTTAATTCTCCCTATCTTTTCAAAACCATCTAGCGGAGATAACTATGCAGCCAGGAGAGAATCCGAAGCATCTCAAAACGTTTCATTTCGATCAGAGGTCTAGAACATCCAGCAGGCTGCTCGTGTAATCTCCCTCGCATGATTTGCACCTACAAACCACAGCTGGATTAGCGAATGTTAGAGCATCTCACAGCTGTTGGGAAACAGTAATGTATGAGGATGTTTACCACGAGGAGAAAAGTTCAGTGACTCTGCGGCGGGAATAAGAATGAAAACGAAGGTATATTGTTCTTTTACAGTATATAAATATATATGCAAACAAGATATTGGGTTTTTGCCGTTCACCGTTCACCACCGATCTTCGTATGAGAAATAGGAGACAAGATGATGGCCGCATTATATTATATTGACAAGCTCTGTTGTTTAATTTTCCTTTGATTCCTTTCAATGGCTTATACTTGTACTTGACTGATTCGTCCGTGAAATTCCATAATCCAGATTCTTCTATTCTATATGTGCACCTAGCTCTCGAAGGGGAATACAACAACAGCGTTTGGAATTGGACGGAACAAATAAATACTCTCAGGGATTGGTAGAAAAAACAAAAAAAACGCTGTAGCGGGGCAAGTAGCAGAAGTGACGCTTTTGTAGGCCTTCGCCCCCTGCTCTGCCTATTGGCGAGATTTTCGAAACTCTTGATTGAGAAAAAAAAAAAAAATTAGAGCCAAAACGGGAATCAATCGGAAATAAAGTAATAAGAACGGAAGTGAAACAAGTCGGTTACATTCTGACATATATCAATTAGCAAGAAAGCCATCAATGGCACACAAAAAGGAAGAGGGGGAACAAAGGGGAAACAAATATATATATAAAAAGGCTCACCGGTCAACCGGATTCAACCCCAACAATCGCATCCCATTCGACAACACCTGTCTCGCACAATCATACATAGCCATGCGCGCCTTCTTTACCTCAGGCTCACTGCCAACAACCTTGAGCACATCATAGCCAGAACTGAGCACATGCGTCATTCGGAAAAGGTATGTAAGTATGGTAGTTGGTTCAAGAGTTTTGGTAGTGTTGAAGACTACGTCGGGCCAGACGGCGAGTAGGCGGATCAGGTCGATGGCGTGTGGCTCGGTGAGGAGGGAGAGGTTGGCGGTGGTTAGTTCGGAGGGGTCGACGTCGGCTTTGCGGGTCATGGAGCAGAGGCGTGCGTGGGCGTATTGGAGGTATGGGCCTGTGTCGCCTTCGAAGGATGTCATGACGTCTAGGTTGAATTCATAGCCATTGATTCTGGGTGTTTTGTTAGGGGTAATATTGCGGGGGTTGTTTAAGGGGGTGGGAAGGAGGAAAGGGGGAAGTTGGATATGTTGTGACAAAGATCTTCGACATACCGCTTGCCACTCATATCCTGGACCATCACAGACGTGATACCAAGAATATCAGCCGTCTTTTCGGGATCCTCAACCTGCTCGTACTTGGTAGCGTTCTTCTTCATAACCTCATGCATCTTCTCGCCAACATCCTTGAGGATATCGTTGAGGAACTTGACAGTACCCTTTCGGGTGCTCATGCCCCTAACCATACCGAAGTTAACATGTTGGCATCGGTCTGCTAGATCCTTCCGACCAACAAGCTCGGTGACTTTGAAAAGTTGCGCGAGATGGAGATCCTGCTGCGCAGCAACGACATAGATCATTTTATCAAAGTGGTATTCCTCGTCTCGCTCAATGATAGCCGCAATATCCCGAGTCAGATAGAGGGGCGTACCATCCTTTCGGATCACAATCGCTTTACCTAATTTCTTCGCGTCATGCTTCGCAAAGTCGACAATAACTGCGCCTTCAGAGTTTTCGGAAACTCCTGTCTTTTCCATGGCTTCGTAGGCCTTGGCTAGGCTTTCTGGCTTGACTTGTGATTCACCGGAGTAGCAATCGAAACCAATATTCAGGCGCGCATAGGTCTCCTTGTACTTTTCAATACTTAAGTCACGGAATCGTTGCCAGAGTGCAAGCGCCTTTTCATCACCGTCCTCCATGCTCTTGAAGTATCGACGGGCCATTTCATCATAACTAACATCAATTTTGGCCTGCAGCACTTTTTCCAGCACCGTGATGTCCTCATCCTTGTCTTTCTTGGCCTTAATCTGCTCTCGAAGTTCCTTAATAGGACCTTCCTGCTCCGCCACGTCTTTGTTGATCTTAACATAGACGTCGAACAGGTGGTTAATCGGATCTTTCACGAGCTCTTCCTCGTTTCCGTACTTCTCATATCCATTTGCTAGGAGACCATATTGTTTCCCCCAGTCACCTAGATAGTTCATCTTGATCACATCCCATCCCATAATCGTGTACAAGTTAGCCAAGAAGCCTCCGATGATCGTACTCCGCAGATGGCCCGCGTGGAACGGTTTCGCGATATTGGGAGACGAGAACTCGACGATGATTTTCTTCTTGCCCTTTGAAGGGTCAGTAGGGTCTCGAAGACCAACGTTCGCATTCGAGCCATATGTCGCCCTGTTCTCTTGAATGGCTTTAATAACGGTCTTTGTGAGGGGCTCCGGCTTGAAGAAGAACTGAATATGCGTGCCCACCGCAATGGGCGTGTTGATGAGGTCGGAGGGGGTAAGATTTTCGAGGATCTGCGCAACAACTTCTGGTGGCTTCTTGCCTTTGATTTGTAGAGCTGGGGCCTATTAGGTGAATATTTTTGTTCACAATTAGCATTGTAGTCCTGGACCCTAAAAAAAAAAAAAAAAAAAAAAAAAAAAAAAAAAAAAAAAAAAAAAAAAAAAAAAAAAAAAAAAAAAACCCGCGAATGTTCTATAAATATCATATTGCAAGAACATACAGCAAGAACCAAGTCACCCTTATCGAGAGAATTCGTCCATTGTAGCCTGGGGTAAACGGTCTGGGAATCTACTCCTAGCGCCTCTGCCACGAGCTCTGCGATATGCGCACGGTACCTATCGATGGGGTTGACGGAGGGGTAGCAATTAGGGTATTGCGAGACTTCATTCGTGGTGGAATGAATCGAAAGCTCCGCCACAGCGGGCACGGAATCCGTCGCCATGGCTGCACGGTAGTAGTATCGGTGATGTTTGCTTGGTGAAGGAGTTGTGGTGCGGGGTGTGCAGAAGAAGGAGAAGGGACAGCGTTTGAGGAGGGGTGTGCAGCGGTGGTATTGGGGTTGCTGCAATTGGAGCGACAATCGGGTTGGCTTCAGCACCAGGGTCAATTGTTGCTGATATATACACTTTGGAATAAGCAATGTGCTGCTGTAAACGTGTTGACGCATATATGCTGTGCTCTCCTCGTGTGTATATGTGGAGGGGAATTTTCCGAACTCAAGAGTTGGGTTTTCTCCCTCTTTTTATATGCAGCATATAACTAGCCATAGGAATTTCAGGGATTGAATTACTTAGTATGGGATCAAAGGCGGTGAGTGATTCAAGGAGGCAGAATGATCAACCACAAGATCTTATCAGATCAGATTAAAAAAATTGATCAGTTTGCAGACAATGTACGAAAAATATTGAACTGGGGAAGCGAAGAGATATGATATAGGAGCTTTCATAAAACTTGAGGTTGCTATTGGCAGCTAATTGGCCTAGTATTTATGTGTGTCCCTCTACGTCACTCTTGGGCTGTTGTTTTGCTGTGTTGCTGTGCTTGCTCCCAGACCACGTAATAAACAGGTCTATAAAATTGATTCTACAGTAACTCTATCTTTTAACAAGAACAAACACGGTAGGTCCAACTAGGAAGGTGGGAATTGTAAGAATAAATAATACAATCTTTGGGAATCACAACAGAACCATAATTCCTTCAATCAGGGTATATCGAATATATTCCATCGTTTCCAACAATCACGAACCGGGCCCCTAGAAGCAAAAGACCTGGTCATCCAGCTTGCTCACAAGCCCAGCCTTCTTGAATCCGAGAGACTCGGTGGCTTTCTTCATGGCACTGACCATAGGCGGGGGTCCGCAAATCAAAATTTTCGTATCGGGTGCGGGTGCGGGCAGTTTGGCCTGGAAAGTTGAAAGAAAATTAGTTAGACGCGATAAAGCTGGGGAATGCGTTCTAAAGAATCCAAAACTAGCCTTGATCATATCGGGAGTAACAAAGCCGACACCACCTTCCCAGCCCGCTGGAGGGTTGTTCAAGACGTAGTAGATGCGGAATCCATCGTCCTCCTTGGCAATCTGATCCAATTCTTCCCTAAGGAGGATGTCGTCCGGGTTAACGTTGGCAAAGATGAGATCAACCTGTGTAGTGTCATTGCCTCCATTCCGTTGTCGTCCTCGGATAATAGCCTTGATGATCTGAAGCATCGGGGTGATGCCCGTACCACCAGCGATCATACCAATCCTTTTAACCATATTGGGAGTGTAAACCATGGCACCCTTGGGACCCCGAACCTTCATGGTCTGCCCGATGCGCAAGCCAGCAAGGTGCTTAGAGATGTTCCCCTGAGGATATGCCTTGACGAGAAGGTCGAAGTAGCCGGTTTCCTGGTCAGAGGAAATGGGGGTATAGGATCGCATAATCTCCTTCGTCTGGCCTTCAATTGTCGCGGCGAGGGAAATGTGTTGGCCAATGGGTAAGCCGAGGATATCAGTGGGGCGCGGGAGGGCAAAGCGATAGATGGCGACATTGTGAGAGACAATGGTTTTCTCTTTCAAAACGAAGTTTTGGAATTCGTTAGGGTTGAGAACTTTCCTTTGTCCTGTACAGAAGAGAAAATGTAGGCGCTGTTAGATCTGCAATGGCTTTCCAACGGGCCCAACAAAACTTTGGAGATCGCAGGGTGGGAACAGGGGATATCTCACTGTTGCTAAACACCTGCCAGCCCGACAGTATCACCGCAAGAGCCGCCGCGTAAGAAAGCCATTCCTTCTTCACAATGGCAGTGCCGCAAATCAGAAGGGCGGAAGGGATATATATCCCATTGATGGCTTCGCTCGACATCCAGGGACTTGCCATCACACAATAGCGAAAGAAGTTAATATTTTGATTTAACAGATGAAGCAGGAGAGCAGGAAATCGAAAAGGATAAATATCTCACTTCATGACTGCTGGGCGCTCTCAGGGGCCAGAGCGAAGGGACTAGGACGGTGTTGTTGTTGTTGTTGTTGTAGAGAGAACAAACGGGGTTGAGGAAATTAAATATGGAGGGAGTGGGAGCTTACTCGAGGGAAGAAAACCGAAGAGCGAAGAAACTATCCGCGAACCATCAATTAGCGGTGGCGGACAACAGCATTATTAGGGGGCTGTTGGGAACGTGTAACTATGTCCTGAAGGCTATTTCCGCACGTACCGAATCAGCAGCTGTTCAGCATCCGGCAGACCCCATCGCATCTCGCGCTCCCCGAGGCTGACGTTTTCCAACGGTCATTGTTGTTATCTTGCCATCTCAGTTATCCATTCTTTCTTGCATGCCCCTGCATTCCCCTGCCATCATCATCCACGACCAAAGAAGTGCTAAGTAATTTAGAGCTAGCTATTTTTGTTCGCTCATTATATATCCTCGAGGGCTATGTCCATCAGATTCTCCCAAAGGGGATGGAGGATCTGGGCACAAACCATTGCTCTGTTACGGGATCTAATTTTTCCTACCCTTCCAAAAAACGGGTTGTAGGGCTGATACAAAAACAACCCTGGACTAAAGCATCAGCCGCAATAACAGATCACTTCCTCTGTGGACCCTCCGCCTTCAACCTCTAGATGCAAATAAACCTTGCTCGACCTTTCAGACCTTGCGGATTCAGTGATTCCAACAGGTCCAATATCTCTTCATTCTCACGATATCCTCAATAGCTTTTGATTGTAAAGGCTATCAGAATCAGAGAGTTAGTCATGCCCACAAATGTATCCATGTTCAGCCACGAAAAAGACCAGTTCGTACATGAACATGTTCCTTTCCAACGCCAAACCCACAACAAATGGCAATACCGCTTTGCCCTAGAGATATTTTTATTGTCTATCGCAGCTAATTCAAAACAGTTCTGAGACGGCTCATTCTATTTTTAGACCATGACGTTATTTATATTTGTTGGCCTCCTTTCAGTCCCGAGACCTACTTCAAAGCTCTGGGAAAGTTATAGGAGTGGTCCCCTCTTGCGAAAGCCTGACAAGAATCCGCCGCAGGACAAACCAGTCACTCCCTGACTTCGTTAATCGCAGTGCTTAGACCAGAGTACCTAGCGGTGAAAAGGATTCAATTGCCAGTCGTTGTGAATATTCTGATCTCCAAATTTTCTACAGAGTACACACATGCCTTCCTGGATATTCTATATGCAGCGAGGATTTTCCGAAATTCTCGTCACCACTTCAAAAACTGACAGAAACATGATGGTTAGCTACTCTGGAGCCTTCTGCCGCAGAGAGATGAAGTGTTTTGGTCATGCAAATTAGCAGGGACCTCCGAGGGAGAAAATTGAAGACGCGGGACCATATTGAAGTAAATATTAGAGGGCGGAGTTTTTAGTAGCCAGAATCTACTGCACTGCAAAAGATTGCGTCTAAAAGACATTTCTAACGGAGCGGATTCTGTATATGGACTTGGTAGACAAAATAGTGAAACATGAGAAGAAATAGCAATCGAGACAGATACAGAAAGAAACCCCATTGGAAAATGGGCAAGGGATGGCAAAATACCATCATTTCTGATGAATGTAGATTGATTGATGAAAGAAAGGGCAGTGGATCATTCAATATCTCCAGTGCAACACCTCTATACCCAGACAAGATCAGTTCTATCTTTTAAAGAGATGTTGTTTGACTCTGAAAGTTGCTTCGAGTTGATTAAACAAATTAAGGTTGAGCCCAGAGCTAACTTTAATTTTAAAGAGGTCACTAACCGCAATGGGAAACGTGACCAAAAGTTAACTGTTAGACGTTGCTGACTAAATCTCGACAAGAGCGGGTTCCATAGTTATGACAGCCACTATTGATAATTAGCAGATGTTCTGCCCACGCCTCGAAGTCCTAGGCACGCATGAACGCATCTAGAAAATATGGGAGATCCTCAACGGCTCGTTAATCAAGCGTCTCTCCCTTTCAATCTTACAGATGTGGATCGCAAAGTCCTTTCACAAACGGATGATGAATTCGTCTTCCACGACTGGGCCGACCTCAAGAACATCATAGGTCCGTAAACCGCCACTTACCACAGTAGAAATGTCCAAACTCCGGAACGAACTCCGTATCACTGACTCAAAGAACAGCGGCAAATAACCTCGAGGTATTCAGACGGAAACCCAGTGACCTATTGCGTTACATCGCCTGGACAAACGATGTCAAGGCGCAGTACGGGTCGATAACAAACTACATCTGCAAAGAGCGGCTGCACTGGCCCCTTGATCCCTCCAAGGATCCAACCTCCCAGTGCCGGAATCCGATTCCTTTCGCTGATCCCAGTGACTTCAAGATCCTGCGGAATGACTGGCCCTACGGCCTTACCCCAGATGTCACGCATCTGGTCGTGTGGCTGAAAAACAGCATCCCCGTCAACGCAGAAAATGGCGATTTGACTTCTGAATCTCGTGCGCTCATTGACAGATTTATCAGACAGTCATTTATCGCGAGGCTCGAGAAGCTCTTCCCCGATGCGGAAGATAGGGTTATGTGGTTCAAGAACTGGACGGCGCTTCAGAGCGTGAGGTCAGTTGAACATGTCCATGTTCTTGTCCGAGATGTCCCCGATGAGATTATTGTTGAGTGGACTGGGGAGAGCAGGAGGAGTTAGGATGGATGGCTCAAATTTTGGACGATGGACCTGGTGTCATCGCGTAGTGCGTGATAAAAGTCACGGTCTGGGGTGTTTTGGGATAACTTGGCTGTTTAGACGTCTCAGTTAATATTTTCTCGGGATTTTTTTTTTTTCTTTTTTCGATTTTTGTATCATTTGTTTGCCCTGAGAAAAACTTAGGGATAGAGTCTCCGGCCGTAATAGATGATAATCATGCTTTTCGGTAATGGGGCAAAAGCTTAGATACGGTGTGCCATCTAGAAGATACTCTCTTGCTTCCGGAGCGATCATAGCACTCAAAACTAGATGTTAAGGGGAAAGGTGGGGGTACCACACATCCCTATTCGAAAACTCTGCGAATGTGCCATAGACGACGGTTCATGGGACGTATTCACTCCACGATCACTTTGGAGAACAGTGGGGTGGGTGGGAGGTGGGAATATTAAAGCACATTTAAAGCGCATTCCAAGTCAATTCGATTCAACTAGATATTATCGAAAAATAAATTACATGAAAAGGGGTTTGGGTCTGCGCCTAACAAATTGACATAGTACTAACGAGACAGTAAAATTTGTTCCATAACAGAGCAACCACAACCGATAATTTGGAAAATCCGCTATGAGGTTTTAAACCGAAGGATGATATAACGAAAAACTTAGTACATAAATAGAGAGACAGAATAAAAGAATAGAATCAAAGATAAAAGGCAAATACCGCATCGCAACCGTAAAAACAAAAGATCCCCACAGCCAGAACTCCAAGTCATCGGCAAAACAAGAACAACAAGAATATATATTGGGGCAGCAACAGGGGGTAATAGACGACAGATGACACTCAACGGGAAGAGAAAGCCGTCCGTCTAGGTCTTCTGCTCCTCCACGAACTTCAGCGCCTCCTCCCTCGACACCACGTCAATGGTGCTAGCCTTGTTGCGGAAACTGACACCATAGCACTTCTTCGCAACAAGCAACATCTCCGGCCTGAACGTCGTGCAAATAAATTGACCATTGGTCTCCTCTGAAATAGACTTAAGCATTTGCGCGACGGCAGTTCGGTACTGCGCGTCTAGATTTGCGTCGATTTCATCAAACAGATAAAAGGGGGCTGGGTCGCACGCTTGGATGGCGAAGACGAGAGCTAGCGCGCAGAGGCCTAATGTTTTGCTCGTAGTGTTAGAAATCAATTTCGCTGGTGTGTTCAACTCAAAATGATATATATGTTCGGTAGGGGAGTGTCCCATTCCATCATCACTTACTCTTCTGTCCACCGCTGAGTTGTTGGATGCGTTGCTGCTCGTCGTGCTTGCTATTGAAACTAACACTGATACCAACACCAACGTAGTTCTCTACGCTGTTTCGTGCCTCTTCCTCGTCAGAGCCAAGTTCATCCGCCTGCCGAGCCGCATGATCAGTCTTCCGCTGGATGATCAAACGACCTCGACCCGCAGGCACCAGTTTCTCGAAAATCTGGGCGAACTCCCTTGACACTTGCTTGAAGGTCAGCTCGATGGCGGCGTCCTTCCGATGGTCCAAGACCGTGATCAACTCTTCGATTGATTTTTGAGAGGAATCAAGCTCCTCCCGTCTCTTTGTTAGCGTTTCTCGCTGTTTCGTAAAACCATTATGCTGCTCGAACGCTTGCTTGTTGACATGGGAGAACTTCTTCAGAGCTTCGTTGACTTTATGCAGTCGTTTGACCACGGTATTGGAATCGGTGTTCTTGAATTTCGTAAAGGCGTCGTCGGGGAGAACTCCAAGATCGCGGATGTTAGCGCTGCATTCGGCCGCTTGTTTCGCCAGGGCCGCTTTTTTCTGCATATTCTTTTCCATTCGTCGTTGGTGCTTTTCAATAGATCTGGCTAGATCTTCCAAGTCTCGTTTGATATCAGATTTGCGCTGTTCTAATTGGGCCATTTCAGCTGATCCCTTCTCCACTGACTCTTCTAGTTTCTTGAGACGACGATCGAGAGTGTTGAGAGATTTGGTCAGTCGCTCGAGTTCTCGTTGGCTTTCCTTGAGAGTTCCGTGTGTAATTTCCTCACCAGAATCGAACTCATGGCCGATCAGCTGCTCTAACTTGGGATGTAAGTTCTCGCGGAGTTCGACTTCAATCACTGACTTGCTTGCTTCGAGCTCACTGCGACTGCTAGATAATTCTGAATGCTGGCTTCTGAGCTCTTGCACAGTTGAATTTAGAGATTCAAGCTTCGCTTCTTCCGCATTTGTTAAAGCTTTCTCAAAATGAGTAGACAGCTCTTCCTCGTGCGCAGAAATCAGATCTGTTAATGCCTTAACATTGGCCTCCATGTTTCGGAGAGCTCGCGACTTTGCCTCTAAATTATCGGTCTTATTTTGAAGCATATCACGCTTGCTTTTAATCTCTTGACGGAGAGGGATGTTGCTGCCTTGGAATTGCTGCCTCCGCTGTTCAAGCTTCTGCAACTCTCCCACGGCTTTGGTGATCAACTGATCCATCTTTTCAAGTTCCCGTCTAATTTCGGTACCACGATTCCGTTTGGATTCAACCTCATCCCGCCATTTGGTAACAGCCTTAAGAGCTTCAAGACGAGATTGGCGGGAGTCGTGGAAACCACCAGTCAACGCACCGCGTTTGTCTGACCGATCGCCTTCCGGTGTAATAGCATTGACTCCATGACTTCGAGCGTATTGAGATGCGATTTGAAGGTTAGGACAAATTATAGTTTTGCCGAAAACTTGCTGAAAAGCTTTTTCATATTCAGAATCGTACACCAGCTTCTCAATCATTGGTATGGTATCACTGGCCCGCGGAACATTTGCGGGTCTGGGCTTGAGTCGGTTCAGCGGCATAAATGTAACTCTTCCCAACTTTTCTTTCTGTAATACTTCCAGCACTTTTGTAGCAGTTTCATCCGTATCGACGACATAATGGAAAAGACTCTGGCCAGCGGTAACCTCGACAGCGGTGCGATACCTTTCATTAACCTCGAGAAGTTCAGCAACTGTGCCATAGACCCCTTCGAGATTTAGTTGCCGTTTAATCCGACGGACAGCGGCGAGGCCGCGGCTGGTATTATGATCCATCATATGAGAAAGGTTCCGTTCCGCACGATCCAACTCTTGCGAGGCATTGGATATGATAGAATCGAGCCTTGCCTCTTCTCTCCATAATTCCCTTTTTGTCTTGTTAGCGCATATACTAGAAATACTGTGGGGAGTGAAAAGAGGAAACCTGAAACTTACTTTCTTTGGTCCATTAGTCGGTCTCTTTCATCCTTCGCCCCCTGCACCTCTTGTTCCATAGATTGGATGGCGTCCCCCCGGCCATCAAGCTGCTTACGCAATCTTTCAGCCTCAGGTTCCAGAAGAGCTATATCATTCTCAAGCTCCCTGATTTCTTCTTCTGTTTGCATCCTGACAGCCTTGACCGTTGAGAGTGACGTATATGTATCCTGGATTTCACGTTGAAGCCATTTATCACGCTCAGATTTGTTTCTAAATTTTGAATTACGGCCTTGCTTTGCGTATAGACGTTGTCGCGCCGTTTCAGCTTCGTCCAACTTCGCTTTCACAGCTTCCTCCTCCTTTTTTTTAGCTTCGAATTGCGGAAGAATCTGGCTGAGCTCCTTCTCACGCCCCTTTATAGCTGATTGGACGGCTTTCAAATTTGCCTCGCGTCGAGCCTTAGCTTGTTGGACAGCTGATTGTCCCTCTGAAAGAGACTTGGCTTGTAGTTCAGTTTGTGCCAGAGCTCGCGATATGTCGCGACGATCCTCCTCCATCTGGACCTTTTCCATCTTCAGTAGCTCTATTGACTGTTTTAGTTCCGAAATCTCAGCATCTATCTGTGCAATGTCATTTTCGCCCTGGATGAATCGGTTGCGGTTGGCATCTGTGTCCTCCACTCCCGTCTGGCGGTGCCATTCAATGTTTTCGAGAGCAGCTGCGATTTCTGCCTGCTCACGGGAATAAATTGTATATTCAAGACATCGCCGTTCCCTATCCTTCTCTTGATAGTTCTTAAGTTCGTCCTTTTCTTCTTCTAGTTCTGCAAGCCGCTCATTAATATAGTCCAGCGATTCGTCGATCTTCGCCCTCTTATTATCTGTTTCGTTCATGATCTTCAATGATTCTGTCCGACGCGCCTCGTATACCTGTGTGCCAGCGACTTCTTTGAGGAGAACCAAGCGCTCCGAATCTTTCATATTTGTTAAGGTCGTGACACGACCCTGGGGAACGATGTAGTAAGGATTTGATCGCGAGAAACCGGCAGATTCGAGTAAATTCATCACATCAGCCTTGGTCGCGTTTTTGCGATCCAGAGTGTATTCATCCTTCTTTGTCCCGATAGTCCGTCGTAGTATCAGTTCTTTCTTGCCTGTGGGGAATCGTTCGTCGGAGTTATCGAAAATGATTTCAACGTAGGCCGACATCACCGCGGACCCAGAGCCCTCCTACGTAGCGTCAGTCAACACAGCTCTGAATTGATCCCATCGACTTAATCTTGCGTACATGTAATAGCGCCTGCCGTTCCTCTCTCCCCATATGTGTGTATGCATCGCTAAGAACGAATCTAATCGCCGCGAAGAAGTTACTCTTCCCCGATCCATTGCGTCCGACGATGACATTGTGTTTTGGGGAAAAGGGTTCGATCACTGTTTGATCTTTGTAGCTATACAGTTCACATAGAAGCCTCAGTTAATAGCCTCACCACAGTCAATAACGCGTCCTGTTCCTTACCTCTTAAACCCCTGGATGATGATCTGTTTGATATACATTTTGGGCCTGAGAGGATCGAGACCCCACAGCGTGAGAGGGGTTGGGGGGGGGAAAGCCTAATAGCTTTGCGGAATCACTATGCGACTCGTGTGCTGCAAAGAAATGAACCGTAGCGATGATGAGAGTTGAGAGCTTTGTCCCAAGTTGCAGGGGTGTTGAAGAGAGATAGATCCTTTTCACATCCGATGCATTATAAAACGCGTAGTAGTTCGAGTCAAGTCGGGATTTGGCTGGACGCGTTCCCGATTAGGCATTACTTAGGGCTTTGCAGAGGTGGAACCGGACTAATAATTTAGCGTCATAACAAAAATTTATACGTCACACTTCAGCAGTTTTTTAGCTGATTGAAGCGGCATAAATTCATATTCAGGAGGGCTAGAGGAATTTGGTTGAATCAAAGAACAATCAGAAGTAGATCTTTTCAGCTGTTTTGTCCTCTAATTATGGCTGCGGAAGCTAAGGTCACACTCCCCACTGGGAATGATCCTACCCTTTCTTTGGAGCAAAACGCCTTAACGTATAACAACGCCGCAGAGGAACAAACCCCGCCAGAATCTTCTGCCCAGGACGAAACGGATGATGACTACTACGATGATATCTTTGCGGATGAGGATCTTGGCGAAGATGATTTCATGTTCTCCAACCCCTCAGATCTTACACAATCTTACAACAGACAGCGTCGACTGAAAGGAGTATTATCAAATCCAAATGCCCCTCTATCAACATATCCCAAAAGCAACCCCCAGAAACCAACGGTGAACACACAAGCCAATGTCGACGATCAGATCTCCTCTCTCGCGCGACATGCGTCAAAGATACGTCTCGATAACCTCCAGTCAGGCCTGGGGGGGAAGGGAAACAGGGGGATGGACAAAAGTGACCGTGCAACATCAGAGCAGGTGCTCGATCCCAGAACCCGGATGATCCTTCTACAGATGATCAACAGGAATGTGGTATCTGAAGTCAACGGGTGTCTTTCCACGGGCAAAGAAGCCAATGTCTACCACTCCGTGTCTTATCCAGAAGACGGCGGCGAGCCACTCCAACGGGCCATTAAAGTCTACAAGACTAGCATCTTGGTTTTCAAGGACAGAGACAAGTACGTCACCGGGGAGTTTAGGTTTAGGCAAGGATATAATAAATCCAACAACCGGGCGATGGTGAAAGTATGGGCAGAAAAAGAGATGCGAAATCTCAAACGTCTCTACAACGCAGGAATCCCATGCCCAGAACCCATCTACCTTCGACTTCACGTCTTAGCCATGAGCTTTCTGGGAAACTCTAAGGGGTTCGCAGCCCCGCGATTAAAGGACGTGGAGCTTCCCGGACCAAACCCTGAAGAGCAGTGGCGAGCCCACTACATCGAACTCCTAGGCTATATGCGCACAATGTATCAGGAATGTCGATTAGTGCACGCAGATCTAAGCGAGTACAATATCCTCTACCACAAAAGTAAACTCTACATCATCGACGTCAGCCAGAGCGTTGAACATGACCACCCCCGCAGCTTGGAGTTCCTCCGCATGGATATCAAGAACGTCACAGACTTTTTCCGACGAAAAGGAATACACACTCTTTCAGAGAGAGTTGTATATGGATTTATAACAGCTGCCGACGGACCAAAAGCTACCCCCGGATCCAGCGAGATGGCAGATGCGGTGGAGAAATTGTTCGCATCGAAGGATGCAGGCGAGGAGAAAGGTGATGCCAGTGCGAATAGCGACGAAGTCGACGCTGCAGTTTTCCGGCAGCAATATATTCCCCAGACTCTCGAGCAGGTGTACGATGTCGAGCGTGACGTGGAGAAGCTTTGCCAGGGGCAGGGGCAGGACTTGGTATATCGTGAATTATTGGCGCATGAGGGTGATACGACTGCCACTACCAGTCCATCCCACGGTGTTGTTGGTGATGGAGAAGCAGACGAGGAGGGGTCAGATGAATCTGGCAGTGTTTCTCCATCGGATGGAGGCTCGGAAGCGGGTTCTCAGGCTGACGAGAAGGATCCATTCGCTAAGAAACCTCCGCGGGGAAAGCGGTTTGTGGACAGAGATGCCAAGAGAGATCATAAACGGCTTGTGAAGGAGGAGAAGCGTGAGCAGCGGACGAAGAAAATGCCGAAGCATGTTAAGAAGAAGCTCATCAATGCGTCGAAGAGGAAGTAGTCGTGTTTAGTCACGTTGTTTTATTGGCTAGCTTCTATTTCTATTTTGTGTTTTATTTTCTAAAATGGCTGGATAGCTCATCAGGGAATAATACATGATAAGTGATAGCATGAATATGACGCATAAACTATGAAGAGGGAGACTTAAGATCCATTCATTGCCCCTAAAAAAAACCTTTTCACATATCGATAGTGAGATAGTGAGAATGGGAAGGAATATAAAATCAAGCATGTAGCACTGCTTCCAGCACAGTAACTGATCAAGCTAATGGATGCTGGAATCTATCCTATCACAATAGGGGACAGGTACTCAACAAGTCATCAAGTTTTTCTCAGATAAAATTTACCTGTAATGAAAAATTTCTCTACAATTAGCATTTGTCCACATTCATCATAACCCATCAGAGCTCTCTTTGATCCTCATTCTCTCCCCCACAAAAATCCAAACAATACTTTAGCCATCGCATCCATTCCACATCGCATGTCAATTTCTCCCAGGTACCACAGACTACAACCACGCCAAAATCAGGATTAAATACACTATGGGTTTCCAATGAAAAGAAACATAGGTATAATAATCCATGCGAAGACGTATATGGTTATAGTGGGTTCTGACCTCAGTTCTCTTGAGCAGAAAATGACATGAGAAGCGAGAGACGAAGAGATTTCCATGGTAATTGCAGCTTCGTGAGAGGGTTGGAAACCATTATCATATATGGCAGTGGCATTTGTTTGAGCATCATCATCTGGGTTTTTCTAGATTGAGGTTGGATTGCATATAGGCAGTGTGGCCAAGGCGGAAAGAGTTAAAGGGTGGAGTGTGAAGGTGTAGGAAGCGTCATGATGTTAGAAAGAAGAGAATTGATGCACACGCCCATGAATAAGTAATCTGATAATTACTTAGATGCAAGGAAGGATAGAATACGACACTGGCTAAATTCGCCAGGGGAACCTCGGCCGCCATAATATCGCAATGTAATATTTATATAATACATGCTCGACATCGAATACGCCAGATATCCCAGGCCGCTTGCAATATTTTTCAATGCTCGCCAAAAAAAAAAAGCATCAAGTCATGACTGCAAGAGCTTCAGGCCCTTTGCTCGTGTCCTCAATCGTGTAACCGCTTGTTGCACGACATGCTTGGGCAACTGTGGTATGCTGTCATCGCAGCCACCAGATTCATCATCATTCTCGCCAGCAATAACGGTGGCATCGTCCTGCCCGGAAGCAGTAGGCTTATCATCAGCCGTATCACCACCAGCACCTTCAACCCCATCCAGTGCCTCATCGCCCCCAATTCCTTGCTGCTCTCCAGACATGCGCATAATTTCCGCATTATCCAGTTTCACGCCAGGCAACCACGTAAACTCGACTCTAGCAGGACATCTTCCGAGTCCGGGCCATATATCCGACGGCAAATAGTCGCCATACTCCGTCCTAAACATCTCGCGAGCATGCACGTCGTCTTCGAATAACTTATCGAGTTCCCGTCTAGTTTCCTTGAGCACCTTGCCAACAGCAGCGCGGACGGCTTTGCGTCGTGTAACCTCCATGATCAGCCTGTCGTAGGCATCCAGGAAACCCGCGTATAGGTTCCGTAGATCAGCCAGCTCGGCCATGCTTGCCTGAATATTCTCGTGCTCCTCCTTCCAGACACGCGCGAAGGCATGTGCCTGGGAGATGTAGTCCGTTAACTGTGACGAGGCAACCTTCGATAGACTGTAGAAGACATCTGTCGTTGACATGTAGATGGCGTTGACAGCGTTGCATTGTTCTAGAACTTGTTCAAGAGTTGATTCCATCTCAGCAATGCGGTCTTGAATTTCTAGCACAACGTCTTCGGCCTCAGATGCGTCCTTTGTTAGCACGTTTATCATTTCTTGATATTCCTCCTTTGTGATTGGTTCGGGAGGCGCCAGGAGGTTGCCACTGTCATTCAAGTCTTGGGTTTTGTGTCCAACGCTGACTATGCCGACTCCAGTTGGCAGGTCGCCTGTGATAGAGCGAGCAGCGGCACCACCACCTTCCGTGTGCTTTACTGCCGTTACACAGAGATCGAAATGCCGGACCAAGGATTCAAGGAGGTCAGCCATTCCCCTGGCATGCGCCTCCAAGGAACGCAGGAGTTCCGGAACAAGCAATGGGGATGGAATGCTGAGTCGTGATGCAGAGGGCGATGATGATGATAATGAGGATGAGGAGCCCAGGCGCTTTCTAACCACATCACGATACTTCCCCAACGCCTGGTGGATTGAGTGAATGTCAATGTCGAAAGCACGGTTCGACCGATCTAGTGCGGCTTGTGCGGCATTGGTATTGTCAATCGAAGCCTTTAGCAGGGACTGAAGGTCCTCCACGCCGCGATCATCGACAAAATCATAGAGCGTCTTTGGTTCCTCCCCTGGAGGTCTGAACTCAGCCTCTACCGTCGTGTCGCGTAGCATGTCCAACGTCTCAGTGAGCCGTGCATCAACGTTGTCCATTTCTTTCAGTGCAGCTGCAAATTCCGAGCGACCGCGATGGGCCACCCGCTCAACCTCAGTTCTTACGCCATACAACAGTTTGAGCTGCTCGTATAAACCCCGACGGAGAAAGCTGGTGCGTGAAGATACTATAACGCTCTCTTCCAGAGCAGCACGGGCTCTGGTGACGATTTCATTGGCTCGCCAGACATGGTGAATAGACGAAAGAGAGCGCTTTGCAGCCACAAGATGTGAAACCAGGACTTCCAAATCGGGCTGCTGTGATGAAATACTCGCTTCCGTGTCCTCCGTCTGGTCAGGCCCCAAATGGGCAAGGTATGAAGATTGCGGCACCATGATGCAATATTATGTTGGGAGGAGAGAAAGTTGCTTTTGCAGTTGCCACACCTCTCCCAGGCTCTGGTGCACCTGGTTTCCAACTAAGCCAATTTTTGTGATGCCTTTTTTTTAATAAAAAAAAATTATGATTTTTTTATTCTTTTTTATTTTATTATGTTCATTTATTTTTTTTTGTCACTGTCTGGACTGTTTGGGCCTGTTTGGGCCTGTTTGGCAGGTGCCGGCGGCAATATCTCTTTATGAATAATATAGACTGGCCTCTGCCTGATCGTGGGAGTGCAGCGATGCCATCATCCTGTGCAGATATGAGCATACATCCCGTATTCCAGCTGGATTCCTGTGCATTTTAATAAGCTTTTTGACCCGGAATCAGGTAGCATAGCATAGAATCAAGGAGCAAGAGTGCGAATCACAGGTGAGAAAATCAGACTGCATCCATACGAAGTCTGTGGGGACAGAGGTGCCAATGCAAAATTTCCACTTGAGTCCCGCAAAATGATGGGCGCTAGAGAAAGACGGGGATGGTGGGCTGTGGATGCATGCTCCACAAAAACACAACAGTCAACCCCTTCATGGGTCAGATGACGCGATGGCAGGAGATGATAATAATAATAATAATAAGAAGAAGAAGAAGAATAATAATAATAATAGCTGTACGCGACATACCGAATGCAGTAATAATATAGCAATAATGATAGATATGGGTCTGCCAGATGCCGGAATAACCAGCTATAGTATATCTACCACCTGGGTATCTTCCGCTGGGCCAAGGATATGGTATATTTGCGAAACTGGACCTCCTGTGCGGATATCCCAAGGTGGTTGCAGCGGAAGTGGGAGCAGGGCAACCGAGAATGGAACAGAGCAGGGGGGGGAGAGGGGCTTCAAATTTAAGATTTGAAAGGGCAGGTGTTGCAAGTATTGCTGTGAGAGTGTGCTAGCGGCCAAGAGTGTGTGATATCACGCAATTCAGTACTCGGTGCGCTGCCCGGGTATTGACGCCCAATCCCATATCGTCCGTTGATATCGAAGGCGATGGACGATGGATCAAGTCGCTCGACGCTTGCAAAGAATGACGGGATCAGCTGAGATCATGTGACGCGCAGCTGTGTCGATTTGTCTCTGGCAGCGCTGGGCCGTAATAGGCTTAGCGCCCGTCTATCGCGTCAGTCAGTGGCGACGGCGACATAAACAGGGGCACATGCCTCAAATACCATACCGGATTAATACGTATACACGTGTATCACACATAATATAGTTTGTATATATATATCTCTCTCTGCACATTTTTATCACGGCTGCAACCCCCCCTCGACGCCGCCCTCCATCTTCCACCCTCCGCCCTCCCATCCGACGCCAGTGTGGACACCAGTTCAGCCCACGAGAAATGCACGAGGACCAGGCATGGAGTGCAGCGTGTTGGAATCCCCAGATACAGAGATCCGGAAAAAGCAATAATACATACGTACGTATCCCCCCTCCTCTTCCCTGCTCCCACTTCGCCAACCACCAGTTCTACGACAATCCCCATCTCCCAAATATCCCCATTTCTGATTCCTGCAGTCGGATCCCGCTGCTGCCTTGGGTCATTTCCTTCGGCTACGGTTGACTCTCTCGCCAGATAATCCAATCAATACGGCTAATCCCCCCTTTCTCTGATCCACGGGACGTCATTCTTACCGACCCTACTTTGCTCTAACCTTGCATATAAACGACGATCCCTTCGCCAACATTGGCCCCTAAACCCCATCCGATGCAATTCTAAAATATTATTGCAGCAATGGCATCGAATTCTGTTATTGATCCGCCACCCGCTGTGGCTGTCGACGATGTCATCCGCTCCCAGGAGTTCAGACAGGATATCAGCAAATCTCCTCGGAAACGAAGAAAGATTTCTGCGTCGGCTCACGAAGCTGATACATCGTATATTTCCGCCACCAAAACCACCACCACTCCCCCCCCTTCCTCCTCCTGCTCCTCCTCCCAACTGCCTACTTCACAACTGCCTGGCTTTGGACATCCTAGTGACAACAATACAGCCGACAACACATCCATCAGTCAATCTCCCGGTTCAGCGGGGAAAAGCATTGCGCCGTTTCTTACCAAACATATCCGTGACCACTACGCCCCGATGAATCGGTTCGAACCCCAGAAGGTTGAGCGGAACCCGAATTCGAGATACTGCTATCGGCACAGGCCCGATCTCAAATGTCGACGCCAGGCGGATGAATTGGCGATGGCGCAGATGCAGCAGGTAGGTAGACTGTTAGGTTCTTACTTTTTCACTTTGTGTTTAATGTCTTTTCAGTAAAAAGCCTCTGAAAATAAAATATGAAAGCTCCACCATGCCGTTCTCTGGCTGTATTTCCCCAACGATTCGATGTCTTGACGGATTAACTAATGTATCGAATACAGGAGCTCCACACCCTGTCACAAGATGACCAACAAAGTATTGCGCATTTCTGGGCCTTGTTTTCCGCTGCACCGTCCAAACACCGAAACCTCATGCTTCAGGGGCTGCTTGCCCAATGTTGCTTTCCCCAACTCTCCTTCTTATCTGCCAGTGTCCGCGACTTAATCAGAATCGACTTTCTTTCTGCGCTCCCCACGGAGATATCCTTCAAAATCCTCTCTTACCTGGACACAGCGTCATTATGTAAAGCGGCACAGGTCTCTCATCGCTGGAGATATTTGGCTGATGACGACGTCGTTTGGCACAGAATGTGCGAGCAACACATTGACCGCAAGTGTAAGAAGTGCGGCTGGGGTCTTCCTCTCCTTGATCGCAAGAGACTTCGAGATGCGAAACACCAGATCCAGATGCGGGCTACCGGCCGAGGTTTGGAAAAGGTATCATCGAACGCTACTTCGGAGAAAAACCATGACGCAGAAACATCCGGAGACCAACTCTCGGTCATTTCAGATCCTCTGAATAGATCACAACCCCCAACCCGTTTGCAATCAGGAGACGAGGGATATTTCAAGACTCGATTCCGACCCTGGAAGGATGTGTACAAGGATAGGTTCAAGGTTGGCATCAACTGGAAACACGGTCGCTGCACTACAAAGATATTCAGAGGCCACACCAATGGTGTTATGTGCTTGCAGTTCGAGGATAATATTCTTGCTACGGGCTCATACGATACCACCATCAAGATTTGGGATACAGAAACCGGCCAGGAAATACGCACTCTACGAGGCCATCAGTCCGGAATCAGATGTCTGCAGTTTGACGACACCAAGTTGATCAGCGGCAGTCTCGACAGGACCATCAAAGTTTGGAACTGGCGCACCGGGGAGTGCATCTCGACCTACACCGGTCACCAAGGCGGCGTGATCTCCCTTCACTTCGACTCTACCATCCTCGCCTCCGGCTCTATGGACAGCACAGTTAAGATATGGAACTTTGAAGATAAATCCACCCGCGTACTTCGCGGACACAGGGACTGGGTCAACTCCGTCAAAGTGGACACAGCCTCTCGCACCGTCTTCACCGCATCGGACGATTTAACCGTCCGCCTCTGGGATCTTGATACAGGGAACTCCATCCACTCCTACGAAGGCCACGTCGGACAAGTCCAGCAAGTCCTCCCTCTACCCCGCGAATTCGAATTCGAAGAACACGACGCCGAATGCGCAGATGACGGACGCAGCACCTCTTCCACCGCCGCTGACTCGGACTATGAATTCCATCACCATCACAGTTCAGCTCTTGCTGAACGACCCGACCGCACCCCACCGCCCACCCATGCCGTCTCCCCGTCATTCGGCGTCATATTCAAAGATGGTCGGCCCCAACCACCACGATACATGCTCACGGCCGCACTAGACTCCACCCTTCGTCTCTGGGAGGTGCCCACAGGCCGATGTCTGCGGACATTCTTTGGTCACGTGGAAGGGGTGTGGGCCATTGGTGCTGACACACTTCGACTGGTCTCCGGCGCCCAGGACAATATGGCTAAAGTCTGGGATCCTCGCACGGGCCGGTGCGAAAAAACGTTCACAGGCCATTCTGGTCCTATCACTTGCATTGGGTTGAGTGATAGTCGCTTCGCCACGGGCAGTGAAGATTCGGAGGTTCGCTTATATAGCTTTAGGAGCTGATTGTGTGGGGGGGCCCTGGTGTTTTATTATTTTTTATTTGCTGATCTTGGCGCGATGAGATTTACTCTGTGTTTATGTTTGGCGTGGGAGTTTTGCTATCTTTTCACTTTTATTACTTTATTTTTATTTTTATATTTTGGTACCGATAGATTAGAAGCAGATCTGATGAAGTAGGCCCATGGAAATAACGGGGTATTGCGCTGGAAGGCATTAAAAGCTGATGTCAAAGTCAATGCGACATGGACCACACCACGAGGAAATGGAAATTACCTGCCTGCGTATTACAATGTAGAGAAGTTACTTGCTGATTGTTATCATCTCATGGAGAAATATCTACACAGTTATATCTTCAACATATGTACAAGGTTTTTTTTTTTTTTTTTTGTTAGTCCAGATCAACAACCAAAAAGGGAGAGCATATTTTCACTATCTAAATGTTGACCCAAAGAAGTCGTCAAATCGTGGCATATACCAAGTTAACAACAAAAAAAAAAAAAAAAGAGAGAGAGAGAGAGAGAAGAAAGAAACAAGCCGTACATAAATCAAACACAAAAAACCCCATCCTTTTCTTACATCCTTGCATTCCACTCCGCCCTCGCAGCCGCCATCCGTAGCCGTCTCCTATAATGATCGCGGAATTTCATCCGAGTCAAAGTGCCATACCCCACAGCGAATACAAAGCTCCCCGCCCAAATACATGTGACTATCAGGCCAGTGGGGTAGATGCCTAGCGTAGTCCCTGGCAAAACAAATGCCGTCGCTGCGGCCACGATGGCAGGGAGTTGGGCGTTGGCATCAGGTATAGTGATGTTGACAGGGGAGTTGTCTGCGTTTCTGAAGAATCCAGCGACGTAAGATAGAGTGTCGGAGGACAGAGTGGTCATGACGAGTTCTACGGTTTTGGGGTTGACGGCGCCAATGGTTATGTTGGGGATTAGAAGAACGCGGATGTGGTCTCTATAACTTGAGTTAGAAAGAAAAGAAAAGAACAGCTTGTGAACGTGAACTATTTCAGAGTTAAAACATACTGCGTCAGTTTGTCGAGTTGCAAGACGGTCGATATTTGTCCAAAATGTCGGAATTCCTGCAACAATGCCATCTCCGGTTGGCCTTCCGTGGCATCTCCAGCGAGTCGACGGGGGTCCGAGATTGTGGCTTGAGGTATATTCACTTGCAGAGTATACTCAGAAGGCGGGATTCCCTCAAAATCGTCGACACCATCAGTCACTTTGTAAAGTCTAATATCAGCCTCGAATGCGCCGGTTGTGCTGTCGAAAACGGGTATATTGAAGCAAGCCGCCATGCCTGATGGGTTCACAACACTCTCCAATTCATCAAGAGCATCGAGACAGGCCCTTGTAGTGGTGATGTTGAACTGTTGTTCATCAAAGGAGGACGGTGGCGCCGATTCTGCAGTCTCTGCTGCCTGGTTTTGCGCTGTTGCAGACTGATCCGGGGCATCCCCCTGCGGGAGTGGTGCTCTCCTTTCCAGGCCATATCCTGCCCCGATCATGTCGAAGGCATCACGACGGACATTTTCATCAAGGTTCGTGGATTGATGGAAAACCGGCCGTTCTAGCATATGCTTTGCGGTCGAAGAGTGGATGGAGGCCCAAAACACAAAGACATATGGAGACAACAATGCTATTCGCATCGTGAATGTTTATTACATATATAAAATAAATGGAGAGGACATGCATGTATTAAACAAAAATAGAAAATAATTGATTGGTAAATGCTGTGCAAGGCGATATATATCACAGCAGCAGAAAAACAAAGAATATGGGGGGAAGACGCTGACCAGCAACGTCGAACGATAGTAGCAACAACTGTTATCTGTGAGAAGTGTTAGAGAATCGAGTCCTCCGCCTCCAGGAAAATTGGGTTATTAGCACTTCTCACAGCAGAGAATAGGAATGCTAGCTCGTCATGCAGAAATCGTAAACATAGACAACCACTGGTTATTCCCGACACAAAGCACAAGCGCTCCATCTTGAGTTTGCCCTCAACACAGAGCCCCCCCGCAAGAGCTGATCGACACTTCTAATAAAGATGGCCCCCAAATGCAGCATAACAGAGAAAGTTGGAAGAAGGCTTGTTACACGATCGAGCAATGACAGTGCAAAGAGACCGATAGAGCATGGCATGCAACATACGATGTCGCACAGTGCTTCTTTTAAAATAGCCCAAGGGACGCGAAGCGGCGCCACCGACCAGCCCATTGAATCCTGTCCATACGAGACGTGCTTCAGAGCCCAGGGACAGGAGATCCGCTTGGGAGTTGTGGCCCTTGGGCAACTTGTCAACGGGTTTACCGACAGATCTCGATCTCGATATAACGAGCGGCATACACAGCTCAAAGAGCCGGATCTCGAAGAAGGATCTTGGCTCAAGCCCCCCGACCAATCGTCGGGCCGGGTGTTGCGCTGCTGTCTGCTAGAGGAAGGCTGAGAGTCTGAGAATCAGACAGTTGATGTTACAGGGTTGGAACTCTGGCCCCGAGAATATGGGACGACCAAAAAGCCACAACTATAAAAGCGGGATCATCCTCCTCATTGCGGCGGTAAGAGGGTTTATTTTACTGCGTATGGCTGGAGGCTGTTAACCGAAAGCAGTGTCTATCACTATTATTGGATAAATATAAGTTAGATAACCAGATAATTATAGAAGAATTTTGTATGGCTGCCACGCCCCTTTTATTTCGCAATCCCCATTTCCATATCCACTTCCACCTACCAATCGAGGGGGTCCTCTTAATCAACAGATTGTTAAGACACAGGATGATGCATAACTACCTACCCTTTAGTTGGGTTATTTGTATTAACGCCAGGAATACACATCTGCCAGCTTCAAGTGCTTCTTCGCAGACAAGATCCAATGTTCTATACTGTTACCTCCGTGCACATGTGTACCGCCTTTTCAGCTCGTCATTAACATCTGACTGTATATTTCTACACATAAACTAATGGATAAAGTCGGTGAAGAATAATGAAGCGTGCTGACGATATCAAACGCGAGTGCCAGCAGCCCGTACCATCCACTCCGCTGCATCCGTGGACCCGCGTAGTTCTAAGTATGGACACTTTGGACATTGTCCTTGTTTAAATATCGAATGCCCTCAGAACCTGTCAAATATGTAATTCGATCAGCCAAGGAAACGAGGCGAACATTGGAAGCGTGCAGAAGAACTATCGAACACCGGATGTTTGACCCTGGTTCATGCGTGTGTACAAGGTCTATGATAGCCCCTGTCCGCATTTTCTTCCAGCCGAGTTCCCTGCACATTTCCTCTTTCCATACCACACCGATATCGTCGTCTATTGCTTGCTACGATTCGTGAGCGTGCCTCTTGTGATAGGTATTCAGGTATTCGGCTCCTGAAATCCTGATAGAAAATGGAGGATCAGTTGGTGCTCTCTCCAATCTGTCCGTAACTAAATTCCTCACATTTGCACTACGAACTTGAAAGGTTTGAGTCCGCCCAAACAAGAACTGTAACATTGCGTTTGATATGCCACCCAGGGCCCTGAAGGATTGAATATGTCTGGTGGTTTGTCCGTCTGCAACTTGTTAGCTCCACTTCGCGAGATGTTCGACAGCAACGACTGCTTCAGCAATCTCATGGGTTTCCAGATTCAAATGTATCCCTTCTGGGAGAATTGACCATGGTTTGAAAGTGAGAGGAGAGCGTCACTCCATCCGGGAGTACAAATCGAGTGTCTATGCATCACATCAACAATAGTTTAGTAACACATGGTCAAACCCTCGCCAGTCATTTACGGAAGCATTTCCCTCGGAGACGAGAATACCGCCTGCGTCAACGGAAGTATTCCCAAATGAGACCCTCGTTTTTTAAAGGATTAGCAACCAGTAACTAACTACTAACCTAATGCAGCCTCAACTATAACAACGACGGAGAGTGAGATTCGACAAGAAGTTCATGGTAGGTAGTTAATATAAATAATAACTATTGGCCTTTGGTTATTGGACCCAACTTTGGGCGGGAATGGCTGGAACCCGTTCCCAAGGTAAACTATTCGTTAAATGCCCACTGCCCCTATTTTAACAGTTTTCCACAATTGAAATTCTCTGAAGCTCTACAATGATGCTCCGCATTCCCCAACCCTTTGTCAGCTGTAATCATGCCCAACTATTAACAGGTCAATCTAAGGACATTGTCAGGCGGAAGCTTGGCTGATGCGTACATCGGTTCAACAACTGTTCTGAAAGGTTGTAGCTTGAAACGGACTCTTGCTATGAATGTCGTCTTCAGTTGTATATCCGTCTTTTGTTCCGATATCCTTGACTAATTCAGAAGTTCGTATCACTCAGGAGATATATTATTTGCTACGTTTGGATTAAATAGCAATCACCTCCACGGTAAGATTGGGTACTCTCAATCGCACACGCTTCTCGTCATGACATTTTACTAATGAACTACAGTTGAAAGTACTACATATGCCCTGCCACAAATTAGTCCCACAGAGGACCGTGGACAAGTGCTGAATGACCTGGAGGGATTTCAACTCAGTAATATCGATATCATCAAGATGAGACATGTTTATGTGCCATGCCTTTCCTCTTACATCTGAAGCATATTTGCACCATCTTAAAAGGGTTGAAGACCTGTGCATGCTGCTACCTACAATAGAGATTGCCACTCGAGGGCCTCCATATGGCCCTCGAAAATTCGGTCACGGTTTCTGAGAGATACATGAGTTCCTGGAATATGCCAGAGAAGAATACACTTTTGAAGAATAATCGCCAACAGCACCTGGAGTGGATGGGAGAGAGAGAGTAGTCCTTGTTAACATGGGCTTGCTGGTGTCTACCTGCCCCATATGACTACCCGCAACCCTGCTGCCCATGCGAACTATCCGGACATGGCTTTGGAGGACACTGGCTGGCTGGCTGGCTGGCGGGCTCCCTTACGCTCGGTATGCCCTTGTGTCTATCACTGGCGGTAGGGCGCTTCAAATGACAAGACACCAGAAAGAAGCGCCTTCCCCCAGCAAGGGACTTGCCGGTGCTGCTCCTTCTCAGCGGGATTACCAGGCCTCAATATAAATAAACACGCCTCTCGCCCGTTCCTTTTTCTCCCTTTTCCTTTTTTTTCCTCTCTCTTCTTCTCTTCTCCACCGCAATATGTTTGTATATTAAAGTATCAGCTTCGGTCAGTCACTCATTTAAATACACGCTCAGTTCACTCGTTTTGATATTGTACGATCTAAACCCCCTTGTTTTCCCCAGCTCGTTTTTTGTCGCCATCATTACATTCCTCTTCTGTTGTATTTTAATATCGTTTTCAACTTGCCATCCGTTCCCCTGTTCTTGCAATACATCTTGCATTTTTGCAATCGAGATAGTTCTTCATTTAAGCTTGTTGTCTCGTTAATTCCAGGGTGAATCCTACACAAAAACGTCAAACTATAAGTAAGTACCAATGACGTTTGGCCCATTAAACATAGCCCGCGCTTACCTTCTCGCAAGTCAACCCAAAAAAAGTTTTACACGTTTTTGCTGTAATCATGCCTACTCTGGCTCATACCCTCAGGGGCGTCTTTTGCGGCTGCTATGCCTGCTGTCCCCGCAGGCGACACAATCGCCGCGGCAAGCCAGGAATTGAGTGTCACGAACTCGAGGATGAAGAAGGACATCGTGATCAAGGTCATCATGGCCAGGGGCCTCCAACCCATGAATCCCACGCCCAAGGAAATCCTGCTGAACATTACGAGGTTCACGAACGACCAGTCCAGGAAAAACGCATTAAAAAGCGCCCAGGTAAAGGAATCTTTGGTAAGGGGATCATAGGCCAAGGGGGCCACTTTCAAGACTCCAAAAAGAAGAGAGTGCGTAGCCACCAAATGTCTATCAAAGAACGTGCAAGAGTTGCACTGGCTTTGAAACGTGAGAAGGAGACGGATGAAGACCAGGCTATCACACAACAGACAGCGCCTGCAGGTGGCCTCCAACAACCTCGAAAATCCACAGATGTCGCTGCCACAGATATGAGTGATGCAGTCGTACAGACAGATGTGTCTGCCAACACACAACCGACAGCTACTTCTGCAGCTGTGATTCCCGGCTCAATGACCGGCACGGCATCCAGTGCGGTGATCACAGACGAGTTCGGGAGACCAAAACAGACTGGAGGAGGTAACACCGTCGTTAGAAATGACGATATCCGTTCGCAAACAGCAGGATCGGACAACGCAAATCAGAATGCTTGGTACGTCTATCTGCCCTCCTTTCCAATTCCCTAACTCTGCCCCTCAAATCACCGATCGATTTGTATAATGTTTTGAAATATGATTGAACGGTTTGAAGATATACTTAAAAACCTGCAATCGCAATTCCATTAAAGCATTTCCAGAACCCCGAGCTAAATCAATCCCTGACGTTATTCAACTTATTTACCCTTTGGCTAGACTGACATGATGTATCGCAGACTGGAGCGATAATCAGAGCCGGATACACAGGGAAGACTCAGGACCTGTAAAATCCATAGCTGTGAGGAGCACTCAACCGATGTTAATGCCCAGGTGGAAGCAGGAATGGAGGAGATCAATAATTTTAATTCCAGGAGTGGAACAGTAAGCGTCAACGGTAATGGACGAAGGGATGGATTCTGGCTGCCAGTTTGACCATTGAGAATTCCGTTATCTTAATATCCTGTCTCGAATGTTTAGAGCTGGTGCGATTACGGTGCTTTTGTTCCCTAATATATGCAAATTGCAAGGTCGAGAAGTAATATGGGGAAGGCAGTTGGCGAAGTATTTGAGAAAAATTGACATTTCCCCCTTGTTTCCACCGTTGTGTCGTGCTCCCTCTTTGCATGTTTTTGATTGGTCTTTAGGGTTTGGCAAAGTACTGTACTTTTCATTAATGTTTTCCAGGGGTTTAGTTTCTATACGGAAAGATTAGAATTAGCTAATGTAAATTCGAAGGCGTGGCTGTCCAAATTGTGAATGAGTTGCTGGCCTTTGCGTTATTTTGCGTTGAAAATATAAATGGATCAGCGTTGGATGGGCCTCATGTTACTCCTATTCCATGTACGGAGCTAGGTGGAAAGGTTGCCATGGGACTTTCGCAACCTGAAAGGTGCAATAACTCCAGCCAATGGAGAGAGATGCGGACAAAGACACATCATTTCCAATGTAGCTTATATTCGTGATACCCCTATTGTATATACTATCCTTTTATCCACAGTTCCAAAGAGAAATCCCATGAGTGAGCGGTTCTCTTTCCGAGTGAAAATCAAAAAACCTGAAGCCACGAGGTCCCAAAGTGCACTCGCAACACACCTCTTGTGATCACCATATGCACCTTCAGAGAATATACTTGAACAGAGGCGACCGATTGCCCATCGTCTGCAGTTGCTCATCAGTATATTTCGCATGCATTTCTTCCTCCGTTTGTTCGTCACCGTAAAGAGCTATACTCTAGCGTCAACGCGGCAACAACAATACCAGACACAAGCCGAATCCAAACAATGCACCAAAAGCCGGTCGTGTATTTAGGCTTTTCCTTCTCAAGGTAGATAGATGAACGAGCCGGGGAATTCCTCCGCAATCCCCCAAGGATATCATGAATGCGATGACAATGGAGCGTTTCCCTTCGCCAGCAAGATTGTTGAGTGTCCACGCATCTGTGGCCGGGAGAATGGGGTAGAAACCAATACAGGCCAAGGACCACGGCGGAGTAGCAGAGACCGATGTGATTCTCGATTTCAGCTGACTTTGGAGAAGAGGATGCAGAAGGCGACGATAACGCACAGCTGCCCAGAAACAATAGGTGTCAGCGAAAATGTGAGAGTCATGACAAATACCCCAGCCTAGTGTGAGCATTTCAATATATATTGATGGTCGCGAGAATTTGGCAAGAAGAATGTTACTGGAAACCTCTGTACGAATGCTCAGGCGTTAGGGATTCATGACGATATTACTTGAATATATAAAGGAAGACATACCAAAAAGGATGTATGGGACGAAGAATATGGCAAGGGCAATGTTATACTGGGTCCTGGACATGTTCAGGTCGTCCATAAGGCCCTCGATTTTGGGAATTACCTTCATCAATTGATTAATTCGAGTTTTCGATCAAGTCTAACGAGCAGAGGGAACTCACCAGTATTTGCTCAGTCAATATATGCGCAAAGGTAAAGAATCATCAAACACTGGAGGGAGTCGCCAGTCAATCTGTGGAAATCATAAGTAAGCGTGTAACCTTGCAAGGGGAGGGATAAGTTGCTGGTATTACCGTGCGGACACTTTTTTTTTTGTCTGCTCCTCAGTAAAACCAGCGAGAAATGATGCATCTTCAGGGCTCAATCCAGCCTTCACGTAGATCATCTCAAGTCTTGTTCCTGTTTCGGTTTCGCGAGCTTTTCAACTGACCGGTTTCCCCTCTCCTCTAACTATTTTCTAGGAGGAGGGAACTCCCATGGCGCTGACTGAGAGAGCAGAGATACAAACACGAAGCAAAAGTGAATTGATATGTTTGCAAAAGAACCTGCTTCCTGTCAATCCGGGGAGATTATGATCTGGAATTCATGAATGGCATTCTTGGCAAATATATCAATATTTTGAGAGATGACAGAGACATCTGTGTTTGCGCAAGGCCCTTGCAAGCGAAACAGCAAGATTTCGTTCCAGGCATCATCCTGTCAAAACAAAACAGGCGGACTGGGTCCCACTTTCAGATCAGAAGAGACCCAACATAGGATGAGAAGAAACTTTCTCGGGATACATGGTACACAAAGTAAACGCGGGGGTTGTCAAGCCTCTCGAGAATGATGGGGTGATGAGCTGATAGCCAGTTTCGAGATAGCCAAAGCAGGACATACTGATCAAACTTGCACATATTCGCGGTTAGCTCGATGATTCTCTTTGGAGCAATATATGAAATTACTTGCCCCCTTTTTGCGTTTAGAAAAAGGTGCTCCATCTTTGGAGATGTCCAAATGGCAAGAGAAGAACTGCAGGGAATATACCCAGAAAATCAAATAAATCCAAGGAGTTTCACGAACGAGAGGGGTGGGAGAACCCCACAAACTCCGGAATCCGGGGAACCAGAGAGGCTCTGCCCCAAGGCTCCAGTTTGGTCTCTGACTCTCTGGTTGGTAGCAAGGAACCTTTTTATATAGGTAACTAGGGATCTGCATCACGAATTCGCGGACGGAGCCCGAGAAGCTGGGTCCATCCTATCATAGGATTTGGAATTGGGAGAAGAATCAGACAATGCCGGAGGTTTAAAGGGGGGGAAGTGTAGGCTAAGTATTTTTCAAAGTCATTGCAGCCGAACTGACAAGCACCGTCCCAAAGACGGTCCAGCTTAGCAGGTTTCTTTTGAGGCCAATTTCCCCACAGGGTAATAATGAGAGTTTGTCGAAGTACACATAATGGAGAAGAAGTATAGCACGGACAGAGTAGGTTTCTAGAGAATTGGCCCATCCAACAGAGATATTCCAGAAGAACGGATGTCAGCAACAAACAAATGCTGAGGAATGAATCGGATAGTGACTCTTTTCCTCATAGTGCCATTGGCATCACCCACCTAAATGAGTGTTTTCAGGGACCAAATTATTATGCCAGCTAACATACCGTCGTGTTCGGGGAAGTATTCGATGATTTATGTGTATGTTCCGCTCCATATGCGAACCCGATACGGGACGGTGATGCACCCCTAAGAGCCTTGGGAGATTGGGAAATCCTGTTGCGCCGAGCCAAGCCCGCTGACACTTCACTATAATTCGGTGGGTTCCAAGGTTCCTGCACCCTTGCACCCCAACGCTCCAACATCATCGCATCGTTTTCACTCACAACATCTTCGGGACAATCGTCTCGGGGAAAACAGAAATCTCTCCAGATTTCCTCCCTGGAATGTTGGCATTCGTCGACCAGGTTTTTCCGCCAAGCATGTCGGTGAGACAGCAGGTTTTCCAGCCTCAGAGTGAGACTGTGGTCTCGCCCAAGTAGTGGTGGTGGTGCTGGTGGTGGTGCTGGTGGTGCTGTCTGTGGTACGCGGCATGAAAGGGTCATCCAAATTCCCAGCTAAGTAACCAATCCTCCTAAACATCATCCCGACTGAAATGTCAACATGTCTTGGATTTACGAGACAGGGCACCAAGAGCGTAGCTTTAGGGAGGATTTAGAGAGGAGTCGTTAAATAAAAAATCCCATATGCTGACGGCCAATGATGCAGGTAGGCTCACTTGCTAACAGCTCATTCAAAAAGTTCGAGTCTGATACACAACAATAAGTATTAACACTTCCAGCATCCTCACGGTCAATATGATAGTAACTCGACTTTGAGCACATTCTTCATATACGAGGTATATATGCATGGTGTTTATATGCCAAAGGCTATGTCCCTTAGATTTTATCCCCAAACATTGCTGGTATCTGACAAGTTGAACGGAATGAACCTTGGCCAGCCTGAGGTCAAATTGGACAGGAGTTTTGTTCTCGGGAACATTTTAAAGAGCTGCTCTTAGCGACGTTGTGCTTAGTTGCTCCGAAAATATCAACCGTTTCCCCTTGTCGCCAATCTCGACTGTGCCACAGGATAGCCGCTCTGCCACTGGGGTTATTTTATTGTTGCCATGGCTACGGGAGAAATATTTCGATAAATTTGAAACAATCGTGCTAATAACACGGCCCTACATCCTCAGCTCGTGGTACTGGCTTCGTGCTGTACATGTAACCAACTACCTGCTGCGCTTCCTTGTCCGATTTTGTGGAGGTCAAAGGCCCCAGAGACACAGTCCTTGTCGGTTGCCCTGGCTCCCGTTCCACCCCCGCAACACTTGGAACTTCCGTGAAATGAAATGCATTTTTGGATTTGTCTGCTCGACGAATTACTTCTACTAATTCAGATCATTTTTGTTTCATGGCAGTCGACCTCGAACTTTGTGTCTAACTTTCCATGCGATCTCAACTCGTACATGTCCCACTCTACTCCTTTCAGTCGAGTGGCATTGAGTTGTCTATTGAGGGGCAGCAGTTAAAGAAAGGACCTCCGATATGTTATCTTTCCAGACGGTGTTTAGATGTTGAAGTTCAATCGAACCATTCTATGGGCTAGAACACTATCTCATAATGCGGAATGCAATCCAGTTTGAAGGAATCTCGAATATCCTTGTCCTTGGGAATTTCAAGTTAGGGTACTTTTACCCCATCCTGTCTCCTCTATGAGACACAAGCATGGGTGGTATTGATTCCATCCTCTTTTGGCTCATGCTATTTCTTGACATCTGCATGGCCATGCCCTTTGACGAGCGACCCCATCACAGTGTGTTGTCGTCCTTCGTATAGCTACCGAACAAAAGAAGTCTCACATGTCCTGATATGGATTTCTGATCGCTCCAATGTCTCAATGATTTCTTCCTCTTTGTGTGATTCTACTCCTCGTGTCTTTTTCCCCAGCTGGGAATTTTGACTGTTCATCAGTTTCAATTCTAACGGGGGCTGATATTCTGCTTTTTTCTCATTACCTCTTCTGAACCACCTATTCGACCTCGTAGATCGTGTACATTCTGTGCAACTCTATCACTACCTTTCTCATTGGTTCTATCATCAGAATTTCCCTCCATGTTTACTTGCCCAGTCATTTCTTCTTCTCTTGTTTATTTTGTACAGTTCAATTCCGTGTGATAATATAAATGTTCATTATGGACGCCATTCCCTCTTCGTTACTTTCTTTTTAATCTCCATTTATTATCTGTTATAACCCCTCTGATGTGCTTCTCATGGAATAAATCTGACACATTTTGCCCCTTGGTATCCCAGGAATTATTTGCATATTAGAAAACTTCCTCTATTCATCCTCGTCGTTTTTCATCTAGATCTTTTCTTCCTCGCTTGCCGTTATTATTACACCAAGATATGATTTCGGAAAGGAGCAGATTGTCATCCTTGTCAATAGTCATATCCTTCTTTTGGATACTGTTTGCTTCGACATTATGTGTTGCTGAATCAGACCCGTATGATCCCATCCCGGAGAAAGGCCCGCCTGGATGGAAGCGAGATAAAAATTGCAAACACAGCCCATCAAAGCGATCCTGCTGGGGTAAGGGCTTCGATATCAGCACAAATTTCGGTGTCAAGTGGCCAGACACTGGAAAAGTCGTGGAGGTTCAGCGCCCCATCAATTGTCAAATGCTGCATCGATTGATGGCTTACCCTTGGTGTCATTAGTATCATCTTGAAATAAGCAACACGACGATGGCCCCTGATGGTTTCGAAAGGCTAGTCTTGGCGGTCAATGGACAATTTCCTGGTCCAATTATTCGGGCGAGTATGTTCAACATCATCTGCTGGTAACAAGCGATATCTCTAACTATCCGCAGACTGGGGGGACACTCTTCGAATTCATGTGAAAAATAGCCTACAAAATAATGGGTGGGTAGTAATGCCTATTTAACAACTTTTGTTGACCTGACTGACATCAACTTTTACTTATCGTTGCCTGCTTCGTGCAGAACAAGCATACATTGGCACGGAATTCGGCAGAAGTATACAAGTCATCAAGATGGCACAAACGGGGTCACAGAATGTACGGACTGCCTATGACCACCATTTTTAAGTTCCACCGCAGGCTAACTTCCGATGCATAGGCCCTATCGCTCCCGGGGCTACAAAAACATACGAATTTAAATGTACCCAGTACGGAACATCGTGGTATCATAGCCATCATACTGTACAGTGAGTTTCCTGCCTCCTAAATTCAACTTGTAGAGTCACATTGTTTTACATCGGTTTGTGTAGGTACGGGGATGGTGTTTTGGGCCCAATCATAATTGACGGTCCAGCAACTGCCAATTACGATATCGACCTTGGAACAATGCCGATTCAAGATTGGTATTACCGAACGGCGTGGCAGAACGCACTCATTGGCATTCCTCCTATTGCTGAGAATGGCCTTATAAATGGGACAATGGTGAATGCAAAAGGCGGAGGTAGATACCACAAGAACACAATAAAGAAGGGGAAGTCATACCGGTTACGATTGATAAATACGTCGGTGGACAATTACTTCAAAGTCCATCTGGACAATCACACTTTCACGGTGATTTCAAGCGACTTTGTTCCAATCGTCCCCTACCAGGCGGACTGGTTGTTTATTGGAATTGGTATGTTCACGTAGATCGACTCAATAATTTCTCGCCTATCAACCCCATCCCTCTAACGAGACAACAGGCCAGCGCTACGATGTGATTATTCACGCTGATCAAGACATCGGCAATTACTGGTTTAGAGCCGAAGTTCAACAGGGATGTGGCATAAACGCAATGAACGGCAGGATTAGAAGTATTTTTAGATACGAAGGGGCTGACGAGCAAGCGCTGCCCACATCAATCGCCAGCAATTACACGCAAAGCTGTACTGACGAGCGAGGGCTTGTTCCATTCGTTCCGATCAGCGTCCCCTCTGCCCATTTCACCCAACACGTTAAAGATCTCAATGTGACCTTTGAGAGCGAATACAGTTCACCCGGGAATAACTTCGTCCACTGGAGAATAAATGGAATCCCGATTGAAACAGACTGGGAGTATCCTACACTTCAATATGTCCTTGACGGCAATACTAGCTACCCAAGGAAATTGAACCTTATTGAACTACCGGAACATAATGTGGTATGTGTGCCCCGCTTCATCCCCACATCCCCCGTTTTATCTTTCTTTCCCTTTCCAGTGTTAGTAAACTACTCTATCACTTTATAGCTAACGGCTTGATATGTAGTGGACGTACTGGATTATCCAGGCTGCTTTCGGGAGCATCGTCAACGTCCCACACCCCATCCATTTGCACGGGCACGACTTCTCTATTCTCGGCACTGGAGTTGGGGACTTTCCAGGACCTAACTCACTCAATTTCACCAATCCACCACGTCGGGATGTGGCCATGTTACCTGACCTCGGGTGGCTAGCTATTGCATTTCCAACAGACAACCCTGGTGCATGGTTGGCGCATTGTCATATTGTAAGCGGGGTCCTTTTCTTTTTTGCTGTTAATCCACGTTTTGTCCGATTCTTTGCACGAATTTTATCTTTACACAATCAACTATTTCTCGGGCGATCTAACGAAATTCCCGTAGGCCTGGCATGCCCACGAAGGTCTCGCCGTTCAATTCCTTGAACAAGGTTCAAATATTTTATCCGCGCTTAACATCCGTCCCGAGTGGGAAACTACCTGCAGACAATGGAGGGATTACATCTCAAACAGTGCGTTGTTTCAGCAAGACCGTTCCGGAGTTTAGGGCGGGGGGTGAGGGAAAGATAAAACAGAAAACATCATCATTGAAGGTTATCTTCAATAATATATCATATTTTTTTTGGTTCTTTTCTCTTGTTATAATATTACCTGCTGGCGCTAAATGGATTAGGGAGTGCCCATTTATGAAAAGGCAAGGTTTAACAGATAGAGGGTGTTTTCCCACACCCCTTGTTCGCTGTGGATTCGGTGGTCTGTCCCATGCTCGTTGGATTCGGTATTAATAATAAAAATGACACTATTAGGTACTCTGAGTGTATTATTTTCGACACGGACTATTTCCAATTAATCTGCGTTGTGCGATTACCTGTTCAGAACAAAACTCCGCCATATATCCTCTCACAGTGGCGGGCATTGATTCAATCTTCGTGATGAACCAACTGCAAGAATGTTGCTCTGCAATAAACGCAGAGACGCTCACTCCAACAACCGAGGATGAGTTATCTCCATCAAAGTGACACAAACGGTCCTGCATGATTAGTTACCCATAGCTATCTAGTCCACTCAATGAGTGTCCCATATTCTCAGGCCGATTTGGAACTGAGGGTAACTGAACCAGGGGTCTGTCTCAATCTCCCTTTGGCCCAAGCGATCTGATCTTCCAACGACGGAGTGCACAGTTTATTAATATTTAAGCTTCTCCTTGGCTTCAGTCCCAAGTACGGAGTAGTCCAGCCCAGTTCCCTCAGGCTGGATGGGAGTATGAGGGAACCTCGACCACAAATCGGTCCTCAGGTCCGTTTAATCATCTCTGTTCCAACAGGCCACACCGGAACTCCATGCAGTCAACAGAGTTCTTTTAGTTGTGCGTCTGCCACGGATATTGCTTTGCAGCTCATTGAAGTTTGGGAATCCACCATCTTCATGCATCACATAGTTATAGGGCTAGAGGGGAAAGCCGCATCTGCTGCTATCCGTGAAGCATGGAGTTCTGCAGCTCCAAAAGTCCAGAGCCAGCCGACGCGTCGGGTATCGATACTTTCACGATGTGCCTATGATATCATACATGATGCCAACTGAACTGGATTCTTTGTTTCATTGTATAAATCTCGTTTCCACGATATCCACATTGTCCATTAGAAAGGTTGGACAGGTACACGAAACGCTTGCCGAGAACGAGTGACACGAAAATATTCTGTTTCACAGAATACAATAACTACCCAGAGGGTTCACCAACAGTGTATACTAGCTAACCTAGGTACAAACTACCCAAGTAACTATATACCTACTCCCCAGAGGAATTAATGGGAGGCGTTGATAGTTATCCACTCATTTCTGGCTTCAAGATTATCTCTTGAAAGTTCCCGTTTCCCGTTTGTTTGTTTGCCCTTCACTCTCCTGCCCCCTTGTCCAGCTCGGTCAAATTTCAACCCTTGGATGGATTGGAGTCTTGAAATTCCTCCAAACCACTTCGACCGGTGAGATTATTATTCCGCCGCTTTGCCCTTCATGGATTAGTTAGTTAGTAGGTTCGGCCTTCTCCAGCCCTTTCGGCCGTGCTGCTATTGTACCATGATCGTCTGTATAGTCCAGAACCCGCGACGCCCAGCCACAGGGCTGTATCCGGAGTCGACTGTCGCCAACTCCCCGAGTTGCAAACCCAAATAACGGCATTGCAACTAAGCTGGCAGCCCAGGTGGATATAAACCCGTTGCATTCCCATTGGAAATGATGTTCGCTCCATCTAGCAGCGATAGTCCGCCTTCAGAGTCTCTATTTACCAAATGCCCCATTACAGTTCTTCTCCCTTGCTTGCTCGACCAGTTTCTCCAAGTACGCGAATACGCAAAGGGATCTTAATATCAATTCCAAACATCTTTCATCTTTCATCCCATTCTTAAAGACGCAATGTCTTCGATAGATCTTGCATTCTTCGGTGCAACGGGCGGCTGTGCCAATGCCTGTTTAACTTACGCTCTGAAGAACAGATACAAAGCCAGCGCCCTTGCTCGAAACCCGTCAAAACTGCAAACCCTTCTCCTCTCTCAAGGGCTCGACCAAGCAACCATTGATTCCAACTTAACAATCATCCAAGGAGACGCAGGAGACGTCAAAACCATCAAACGCACTCTCTCCCCAGAGAGTAACAACGGCAGGGTTGTCTCAACGATAATAAGCGGGCTGGGTGCAACTCCCAAACTCCAAGCCTCACTCACAAAACCCCTCACAATTGACCAGCCAAACATCTGCGAATCAGCAACAAAGTCCATACTATCCTCCCTAGCAGCCCTCCAGCCATCCACTGCTACTGAGCAGCAGCCAAAGCCCATTCTAGTGATCGTCTCTTCCACGGGCATTTCATCCGGGCCAAATGATGTGGCCTTCATGCTCCGCCCACTCTACCACCTCCTCGCTGTTCCACACGAGGACAAGAAGAAGATGGAACAGCTCGTCTTTGGAGGGCCCGATTCCCCCTCCGGACGACTTCTGAGAGGTGCTGTTTCCGTGCGCCCGACCTTGTTAGGTGGTGATCATTCCATCAGCAGTGGGAAGGGGTGGAAGACTCTGAAGGTCGGGACGGAGAAGGAGCCTGCAGTTGGACTTGGGATTCAGCGGGCAGATGTCGGGGAATGGATTTTTGAAGAAATTATTAAAGGGGGTGGGGAGAAGTGGTTGAATGAGAAGGTGACGTTGACGAGTTAAGCATGTTTGACTCTGCTGCGTTTGTTTCAGCGTTTGTGCATTTGTTTTTATGACTTAGGGATTCTTCCGTTACGACCCCTGAATTATTTTGTCTTTTTTACTCTTTTGTTACAAATTGTATATGACACATGATACCTGACTGCTTGACTTTGTTCTATGTTTTCCCTTTGCATGTTTATATTTTCCTAGTTTGTGTTTATTCTATGTTTTCTTGTTTTTGGTAAAACCGTGGGGAATTTCACCCACTAGCTATCAGAAATATCGAAATTAACGAACTCTCCTGTTTGGTATTTTATTTTATTTATTTATTTTTTCTTGTTATTTGGATCCTGGGTCTCTAGAACTCTTCCGTCCCGTTCCCACGGACCTCCGGGCCGAACCCTATAACTAGGTCTCTTCGATCCACCCGTTCCAAAGGTTGGCCTGTCATAACTACTCCTAATTGACACCTCAAACCCTGCCAGAAGAGTTTATCAAGTATCGACTAAGAATAGCATAAACGGATGCTGAATGCAAATCAACGTTCCCTCCAAGCCCATTAATAACCCCTTCACAGATTTCAATTGGTGGCCTCTTAGCCATTCTGTCAGAAACAATATTTTCCAAGCTCTAGCATTAAAAAATTTAAAAAAAAAGGGGTAGAAAATTTATAACTCATTCAAAGAATGGAAAAAACAAGGAAGCGTTATTCACATATTGAGAGATGACGTCGAACGCTCTACTATTTATAACATTCCTTATGTATATATGTATGCCTACATTGGAGTAGAAATATGTGAAAATACAGAGGTGCTCCTCTACCTTCGACAAGGACAATAGGTATATAGAGTGGAGGACAAACCAGAAGCGGTTGCCACAGGAGCGGATAGGCTGAATCCATAACCCCTTTCTACTTATTCATCGTTCGTCTGTACATAAACGCTCCCTAACATGCCTGGTTTCTTGAGCAGATGGTCATGTGTGGATATAAAAGAGGGACGCCGTAATATAAACTATCCAGCAGATGAAAAAAAGCATAATGCCGATAAGGATAATGAGTGGAAGTAGTCACCAACCAGCCCGCGGCCGGACAAAGTGAGACCTTCAATGGAAGCTCTTATCCTTCCGCTGGTATCTGCATCAGGTCGAAAGGTTGGTGAATTGAAGTGAAAATGAGAAAATACAAAAAATATGGGAGCAGGCGAAGTTATTAAAGACATTTAAGGAAGCAGGTAACGTTCTGCACCGCCGGAGCTTAGAAATTGACAACACGACCAGTTCTACAACATGTCCACTCATAAAATATATAGCGATCTAAAAGCAACAAGCGAAAAGAAAAAGAAAAAAAAATTGGGGAATATAAATGCGCACGGGATGGAGGAGCAAAAAAAAAAAAAGGCAAAAAAGTTAATGCGGAGTCTAGTTGGGATATCCACCCTCATACAACAAATTGAAAAACACAAGAATAGAAACAATTACAACGCCAAATAGATATAATAATGATAACCATCACACGTGCGCAGGGGTGAAAAGAAGTTTTAAAAAATCAAGTACGCCATCAATGCCAGCTGTTCATTTAGAAAGCATGATAAAAGGAGGGTGAAAGTTCCAAAAACTAGCTTCCTATGGGAGTTTTTTGACGTGACCGTCCACTTTGGGGGGTTCGTCATCACCAAAACCCGAACCCTCGAGCGCTTGGTTTAGATTTCGAAGCGAAAACCCGCTGTTGCTGAAATGTACGCCAACTAGCCACGCAGTGACTATATTCGCAATATGGTGGAGGAGGTACGCATATGTCACGCCGTAGAGCGCCGCATATGCGGCGAGGATAAGGAATAGGATAGATGTGATAAGCCGTAGTCTATAGGGGAAAGAAGATGTTGAGTTTAGCGTTGGGAAAAAGCTTTGAATGAGAGAGCACCCCAATGCCAGGGGGCACAATCTAAGAAAAACGTACCTTGACGTTATTCTCGGTATCATATTCCCATTTGTAAGGGTCTCCACAAGAAGCATAAATGGCATTATAGATAAGACATTATGATGAGAAGGGAATGGCGTCCACCAGTGGACAGCAAGGTTATGAACCCAAACTGCGAACACGAGGACATGAACAGGAAGTATCCACAACATGAGAATGAAGATTGAATGGACATAGTTATAGAAACTATAATGCGAGGTCGATTTCTGCTCCCATTTATCAAAATCAGCTAATCACGAGCTGCAGATGTAATAAAGGGCACATGAGACTAATTCATGACTTACCGTCTCATTTGCAAACTGGGATGTCTGTACGCAGGTCGCTAGCTGTACAATGCACGCTACTATATACGCGAACTGATATGGAATAATTGTTGCAACGAAACATAATAAAACGGCGGTGTTAATAATCCTTTGTCTCGGGGAGAGCGAAGGGTATATCGCAGTGGGTCTAACATGAGTCAGTAATACGTCTTCTCCATGCCCAAATATGAGTTTATTTACCTTGGGTCATCGTGTTTTATGTATCCCCGACGTGTGGTCAAAACTCTACGGATTGTAGAGAGCGCATAAATCACAACCATAACAACATAATTTACCACAACACAAAATCCGATGCTAATGATGCCAAATAGCGGAATCAAAAACCAGAAAAAGATATCTTGAGAGCCCAAAAGTAAATCGTTTCTCGTGAAGTCTATGACGGATTCAGTGGCATTCGATCGCCAATCATATAAGTCCTTCTTATTGTCTACCCTCGAGCTCGATGTTGCTAGAGACGTTGCAACGAACGACAGCACAAGGAATACGATTGGTAATGAGAATCGAAGACAAAGGTCTAGGGCTTCTGAGAAGGGAATAAAAACGCCTAATAAAGTTAGAATTTGAATTAAAACTGTTTGAAATGACTGTGAACAAACCTGTTGTGTCATATATCTGGAACTGCTTTTCGAGAACGAGCGCAATCACCAGGAGCGGGAGGGCAGCAAATACCGTGCGGTACCGCATGGTGAGCTTCCCCATACTACCAAGGAAATCTACATGCAACGAAAGTTCCATTGAGGTGTGGCAGCTTGGGTCAGACCACAGCTGGAACGAAACTCCGCAGACAGAATTCCCTTCCAGGAGATGCGGAGGCATGTATGGAGCAACCCCATGCAAATTGATATCAGCTTCCTTGACATTGACAAAATATTTCGATTCGTAAGGTTCCGAGATATACTGTCGCAGTAGAGGTGTGAAAAGTTCTGCACTCTCGCCACAAGGTTGTTTGCCGACCCTCAGCTTATAAGCTAAGAGGCTTGAGTGCAGCGCAGGTATTTTCACCTCAGTAAGCATGGGTCTTTCTGCGGGAAGTCGAATATTTAGTCCGGCACCCAGCAGGCGACCGAGACCGACCCTTGTTTGGATGACAGCATCAGAACTGTCAGAAAATTCTGCAACAACCCAACCAGAAGAAGGCATGGTAGCCTTGTCAACAACTGCTACAAATTGGTGCTCCACAAGGTCCTGCAAATCGTACTGTAAATATGAAAACGGAGGAGTATCATCGAAGGCGAACTTCGATGAGCGTGTCGATGCAGGGAGATTGATTATGTCTTCAACAGCACCTTTGCAAGCCAGCCGAGTAGATCCTGAGCTACCACCGGAAAGATCCATGTTTAAGGAGAGTAGGGAAACCGAATGTCCAGCTTGTAAAGGAAACACGCTACAAAACAGCACTTCCAGTTTCCCATTGCCGCCAGGAGCATCGATGATTTGATCAGTTAGAAGGGTAAACTTTTTTCCGGGAGCGCCTTGGGGAGGAACTGGAAGAAGATGAGCTTCTGGTGCTTTACGTTTACCGAAATTGCGCAAAACAAGTCGCTGCCCTTGAGAAAGAATCGAATTCGTATTATCTTCCAAAGTCAAGAGAGTGGTCGGATCTGGAGGGAAAGTAAGCATGAGAACATTCATGTACCATAAATTCACAGAAAACTAACCTTTCTGTGGTAAAGCCCTTTCGGCAATGGTTTCCATTCCGGTGAGATACCACTTCTTAAACACGCTCATTCTTTCGGCTCTTTGTTTGGTTTGGGATGAGCGTCTAACATCCACAATATCAAAGAGTGAGCGAATGATCACCTGGCGGAACGAGTCACACCAAGCAATCGAAAGATGATCCATCCCTGTCCAAACATTCGGGATAGTCGATGTGAATACGGTAAATCCGTGGGTTGCTGGAACCAGAGATGACAGGCTTGTATAGTCGGAGGGAACAATTGAATCCCCACCACCTCCAGCGATAGAGATGAGAGTTACATGCCACAGTGGATTATTGTTTGCCCATTTCTGAGAATATGCTTCACGCCAATAGCCATTTATCTGCTTGTAGGTGCGAACTACATCTGCGTCGAACGATACCGGAGGTCGCGCATGGGGGGTCGACATTGTGATGATTGTGTTTACCGAATTCGCCTGGTAATTCGACATTGTAAGTACCGTACGAGCCACTATTCCACCCATTGAATGGCCAATGAGGATCACAGAGCTAGGGTCCGGGAGGTTTTGGTCTCTTCCAGGGCGTTTGGGGTCGTGATAAAGAGAGAGTATATAGGCTAGGGCTTCGTTCACGTATTCAGCCTGATCAAGTAACGTTTGTCCATGAAAAGCCGCCATATCCTCGTTGAAATCCGCCATAAAGAAATCCAAGCTTCGGGTTCCCGCATTTAATTTTTCCTGGTCATGCTTTATCACATCTCGGAAATATAAAGAGGCTTCCGAAGCTAGAGACCGCCCTTGTCTGTAGCTACCAGCGTTTCCGGGTAGGAATAATACTGGCACACCCCTAAGCTACGCCAGTCGTTAGCATTGATTGATTTCCAAAGTATCTCGGTTCAGGATTGCTAAAACTAATATCTCCATACCCCAATATCCTGTTCAGTGTACTCATCGACGGTGCGCTCCCGATAAAGGTAGAGACCGTATTTGCTTGCAAAACGAGTATGTTCAGTATCGAATCCAATAAGCTTAATATACGTCGGCATCATTCGCGGTGTCTTGCACCCTTGCGGGTCAATCTGGCGGGTCATGTAGGAGTGGACAATCCCAAAAAAGGCGACAGCGCTGAGAACTGTTAACGACAACATCAAAAGAGAACATGACCACGGACTTCGCATCCGGAATCGCCTGATCCTTTGTTCCTCCATCGAGTTGTCTGTAGTTGACGAAAAGATTTGGGATTCAAATGGCATGGTGATTTTTTCTGGAGTCGTGCGGCTCGAGTGAGTCGTTTTGGTGGTCCCGGCCCTGGGTCCAGGAAGTTCAGAAGTGTTCAGCTGCAACGGACTGGATTCCTCTTCGCCGCATAAACTTCGCTGATTTATCTGAGGGCCAAGGATGTCAGAGGTATCATCAATAGGAGGTCCATTTCTTGTCGCGAACCCAGCATCAATCATCTTAGGTTGGTGGTGGGACTTGGGTGAGCCGGAGAGGCGCCTCTGCATTTGAAGGACGCGCACTCATCCGCGACTCAATCAAAACAGAGCACAGGCCCACGGAATTGGCAGAAAGACAGCTAAACTAGAGAGAGAGAAAAGGGGGGGGGAGGAGAGTGGCGCGGAGGGGAGGAGAAGCGAGAAAAGGGGTCAGACGGTCGAGATGGATGAGAACTAATTACGGCGGAAGTGTTAGACATTTGGTAATCCGCGCACGGACCATATCGAGTCCCTCCGCTTCTGAGCGGCGTAACCAGCAATATATATATATATGTAGTTATATAGTTTTCAATATACTTTCAATTTTCTCGTCCTTCACTATTATGGCCTGGTTTTCTTGTATTTGCAGCAGAATTCCTGCCTCCGTGAATGTAACATTTGAGTCCTGTAAGGCGCAGTACCTTTGTTCCCAACTCATAGATGGGCCTGGAAGATCCGGAAAAGTAAAAATAAACTATTATATGCCTGTTTAATCTAACAATACATATCATACATGGGGTATCAGCACACAATATATATACGATAAAGATAACGCCAGTCAGAGAACCCGTCTAATTGAGCGGACCAACTTTTACTTCTTCTCTGCTCTTCAACTCTTCCAGTCTGGATTCCTTCGATTGTTCTCGACTCAACCGACGTTTAGCGGCCATGATCTTCTTGAACTGTCCCTTTGCCCCATGTTTGACCTTGGTGATCATATCGGCCGCGTCTCCTTTGGTGATTTCCCCAAATTCAATCTGACTATCGATGGGAAGATGCTTGTTGAGAAAGGCAATCTGGGCATGGCTGGCATTCTTCCTTCTCCACGGCTGCCATAACGCTACAAAAACAGGGAGAAAAATCCGACTAGCTAGGGTATCAGCCGCGTGGACCGCATGCGCCAGTTCAAGTGACGACGCGATTTCTCGAGGCCGACTGAAAGGACTTTTCGATGAGGCAGTCTGGGGCAGGGCTCTGACATGAGATACCGAATACAAGCCTTTGTCGTCCTTGATAATTATGATTCTTCCAGAGGGAGCGTTTAGAACGTATCGATCAGGACTAACCGAGACCCAAGCATTCTTGCTTATCGAGCGAATACGCTTTTCGCCCGAAGTATCCTGGAGTAAATCATGCACAGAGTCATAATGAGTAAAATCAACGGTTATTTTATCTGATGAAATCCCAAAAGACTTCGGTTTAGAATTCATGCCACCATCCTCGCGGTCTTTGAGTTTGTCGAGGTCTTCCATCTTGGTCTCGTTAAGTCCCTCATCTGGGTGAAGACCAAACAAGGTAGGTGTCGTTGTAACACCGGTATTGAGAGATGCAACCATGTCAATTATATGACAGTTCTCTTTTCCTGGGTGTAGCCTCAAACCCCTCCCAATCATTTGAATCAAAAGATTTTTGGATCTTGTCGGCCGAGCAAGAAGGACGCAGTCAATATTAGGGATATCTGTTCCCTCCGTAAACAGACCACAGTTTACTAAAACCGGATATTCTTGGTTCCGAAAAGCTTCCAGTTCTTCAGTCCTCAAATTCTTCCGGGTTTGACTGGTAATATATCTTGCATCAACACCAAATCTGCGAAATGTATCCGTAAGGCACTTAACATGGTCAATGTCCACTCCAAAAACAAGAGTAGATTTCCTATCACTCGCCCTGGAGAGCCAGGCTCGGACGGTAATATCATTTACTACGGCAGTATTAACTGCGGCTGAAAGTTGGCCTGTCTGAAAATCCCCATTGGGCGCATCAGCAACATTCGATAGGTCCGCTCTGGAATTCACTGTAGTGAAGACAGCATCCGCAAGCCACCTTTCCCCAATCATGTCGATGTAATCTTTATGATATACGATATGGTCAATTGCAGTCCCTAGTTTGAGGCCATCAAACCGGGAGAAGGTTGCAGACACGCCGACAAGCGCCGGAGAACCTTCGGACACTTCATCGAGTCCAAAATATTCAAGCACCTCCCTGTACGACGGGGCCACTATGTGGTGCGCTTCATCCACCAAGATAAGCTTATATCTTTCAGGGTCAAACTTTTCAATACGCCCCTTTGAAAGGAGGCTTCGGATAGAGGCAATTGTTATTTCCGCCGTGCCTGTTGCACGGCAGTTTCCCATTTCAATCTCAATAGTCTTCTCTGGATATGCCCGCATGCAATGCTTTGCTGCCTGCTCGACCAGTTCTTTTCGATGGACTATGATAAGCGTTTGCTTCGCGATGATATCGCGTGGTGGAATGCGATCAATCAGCTGGGTAAAAATAACCTGCGGGCAGCTCCGGTTAGCAATGAGCTAAAGGATATGTGAAGTGGTCTCTCACTGTCTTCCCACTGCCCGTTGCCAGCGAAACACCTAGTCTCTTGTGGCCCTTCTTTAAATACGAGAGGACAGATTGAATGCATTCCTCTTGGTAGCTGCGAAGACGAAAATCGGAGGTTGGTAAGTTTGAGCTGCATGACTGGTTATTGGAGGCGGCAGCAGAGACGGAGGTAAGATGTCGACGGCGAAGAAGATAATTCCCATAGGCAGTTGCACACTTGAATTCACATATGCATCTCGTCAACCAGCGCATCTTCCACGAGTTTCAATATATCCAAATAGATGTCGTTCGTTCGGGTTGGAATTCAACGTCGTTTTTCTCCAGAGTTATTTACCAATGCAAACACTGCAAACATTGCAAACATCTAACTAACTGTAAGTTTCTCAAAATCACAACTCTCAAAAATCCCCATATCCACCCGCAGAAGTTTTTCGTTCGCTCAATGACTGGACGATTATTGCATTTTATATCTTAGTTTAGGGTGTCATGTTGTCGCTATTAGCATTTTGTTTAGGGCATGTTATCCAACGGTGGTGTTTTCCACTGGTAACTATTCTCAACGATGGGCAGTTCAACCAGTGTCTACGACCTGGACGAAGAAAATGACTCGTCCGATAATGACTACTTTGAGCATGAGGTTTCTCCCACTGGATTTACTGCATCGTCGCCTCCACTACAGAAACCTAATCTTGCGTCCAGCCCGGGGTTGAAAAGTCCCCCCAAAACTCATTCGAATCGTTCTTCGACCAAACGCTTACAGTCGCGGGCAAACGGCTTTCAAGCTGTTAGGAAGCTCCATACGGAAAAGTATGCCAAGCTCTTCAATAAGGTTGTAAACGGCACGTTTGATGGAAGCGCAGAAGCGAATAAGCCAGTATGTGCCCCATCACAAATCGGGGTGGTTACCTGGAGCTCCCAAGAAAAGGAGACATTATTCAACGCCCTTGAAAAGAAGGGCAAAAATGGAATACGGGAAATAGCTTCACATTTTGAATCAAAAACTGTCATGGAAACACAGGCTTATCTCGAGACCTTACATGAAGCTCTAGAGCGTCAACAACTCATGGAACGTTTTAGCAAGAACCATATTCTCTCAGATGTGCCCGCTGCGGCAGAAATTAGCGAGGAGTGCTGCCAGGCTTTGGAAGAAAATGCACTGGCATTGTCTCGACTCGACGAGAAAGGTGAAAATACTGTCGGGAGGCAGAAATACGGGGATATGTGGCTTGTTGACCGCCATGTCGCAGCGCTGGTTGAGGATCGATTAGATGCGGCAAGGGACGGATCAGGCGATGATGTTGATGATGTTGCTAACACCCTACACCCACCACCAAGCATACTTGCCACCGCACATCTGCTCAATGTGGGGAACTGGATTCTGCTTTCAGAACGAATATTCATGAATTCTGGTAAAAGTCAAATCGAGGATAATTGGTACAATCTCAGAGTGGACAAAGAAACCCCATCCTTGACTTGCGAAGCATTTGCCGACTTCTATGCTCTAGCTATCAGTATCACACGCCGCTTGATACAATCTTCCATCTTTTTTTCAATGTCACGCATACGGGCCCTCGAACGTGGTGGTTACCAACGCGGAAAGCTGGTGAGACGGGCGGATGTAGGAGCAGCATTGGACGTGTTGAAAATGAGCCACAATTCCCGACAATTTTGGATGGGTGCGGCACGACGTCATAATTTGAACGTTGAGGACATACGGCATCGCAAAGGTTTTAAGCCGACTCCCCTTACCTATGACGAGGTTGAGGAAGAACTATACCTTGAAGACCCGAGATCAAGGACATCCCGTAGCAGCAGCGTTGCCCAATCAGTGGCTGTTTCCGAAAACAACTCTATCTCAGATGCTGGTGGGCTTCCTGATGATGCTTCCTCCGCGTCCGCAGCATCAACCCACCATTCATCAAACATTTCCACATCCGATGATGAAGAGCATCTATCTGATCCGGAAGAAATGCACGCTGCAGCCTTGGATAGAGAATACAGTCGTGGTGAAGAACTCCGACTCTGGAGGGAAATCAGCCTGTCTCCCCCACGATCCCTCTTCCCTGAGCATGAAGATCCTGATATAGGTATGGAGAAAGACACCAAATCAACTCCTCCCAGACCATCCGGGAATCGGAAAAGGAAACAAGACCTGATAGACTGGCGAGATCGTGTTTTGTATCGGAGCGAATGGGAAGAATACGGTCCGGACATAGCCTTTGTTGATGATGAATTGTCCGAGAATCGAAAAAAGAAGCGGAGGATTGGATAGCGGATATTTTAATGAACTTGGTATTTGGCTTGGTTTTCTTTGGCTGTTCAAATGCAAGATTTGTGGTTTGTCATCTGTATAAACAGTCGAAATCCAGGAGTAATACAGGTATCTATCATCGCACTAATAACCTGGGAAACGGAGACTGATATAATTAATTGTCTTCCCTTGAAAAAAAAAATATGTATATTACGAAATTATTAATATTACATTAATATTTTACCTCAACTATTTATTTCAATTCCCTTTTCTGCTTTTTCGATATCAACCGCCATCTGATAAGCCTTCTTCAGAGTAGTAAGCTCACTCTTGACCTCAGTAAGCCGACTCCTGGTCCCAGCCTTAGCGATTCCATGGATCCAGTTGTCGACAAAGGCATCGAGCACAAGTGAATTCTGCCGCCACCACAAAACTCCATCTTTTACCACATGGTCCAGGATATGCATGGTCCCCATTACCTTCAACCCAGTCTGATAATAATCTGCAAGAGTCTCTTGCTTCCTCTGTGAAAGCCTCAGTCCTCCAGGGTACAATCCGGTGAACCGTTGCGGAAATTGTTTCCTAAAAGCTTCCAGGAATGTTTTCTTGCTGTCCACAGTAGGGTTCTCGAGGAGCTCGGCAATCGCTGGATTCTGCTGTACCCATTCTTCAGCTTGTCCGATAAGAAGGATATTAATTGCTGGGAGGAGAATCTCCGGTGAGACTTCTCCATCCACCTTATATCGTCTCAGTGCCCATTCCAGCATGGGAAGCCAGTGGTTTACGAACTGTCCATTCTCCCCTGAAAATTTTCCACAGTATGAGAAGTCTAGCTCCGTCATCTTGAAATTGGTATCGTCAACCCTTTCAATATTGTTGTTTTGAGTGTGTCGCTGAGGTTTTTCGGAGGTTGCTTGCAGGCGTCCTTTCGCTCGTGCTCACCAAAGATGGGTGAGCCTGTAGTTAAGGGAAATATTTTCTTTAGATTGACTTGTCTGTGCGATCGATGATTCTCCAAATTCTTGAAATAGTCGCGGTATGCTTTTTTCTTTCATATTCCATTCACTGAAAGGAGTTTCTGATTCGCAGTTTTACTGCAGTGGCTGAAATATACGGAGAATGAGGTGGGTGAATTTATAAGCGTTTTATGATCGGTATGTTGTCATAGATTCGCCACGGCTTTATGATTAGGTTGTGAAGATAACCATATAATTAACTTCCAGAGGATAACATACAGTGACGTTATGTAGGATACTAATTGCTCTAAACATGCCTTCTTGGGCCAGGATATCCCTAGATTTCTTTTCGTCTTAAGAATCTAGAATCCTCTCAGTCCTTCGAAAAGAATCTTAACCGTAACATGGGGGCTCGGCGTCTTTCTCTATCTCGTCGCTAGTGAGGAGAACAGGCTGGTAACGTTGATGAAATATTTAGTTAGCTGTCCTTTTGCTGCAGGAGATCTGTCCCTGTCCCGCTGAAGGCGTCAATCTCTAACACGAAGTTCAAATATCGAACGATAGGTAGCATTGAGATCTACCCATTACCCGCCAACAAGGAGACAAGCATGGTAGATAGGCGTAAAAATGCCGAAGAACACCACCTTTATTTCTAATATTACAAATACAATAGAGAAGACAATCTGGGAACTGAAGAACATAAAGGAAAGCTGGGATAGGTCAGAAAGGACCAGATCCTAATCTTCCAGCTGGGCAAAGAAAAAAGGATGGAAAACATTTACATTAACGAAATTCGATTGTGGAAGCAAATTGTACACCATACACCTATAGGAAAAAGGGTTAAGGAAATCGATATCACCTTTCAGTAGAAAAAAAAACCCCGAGTAACCTCTCACGTACGAACTAGGCATTTTTGAGCATAATTTAGGGAGCAAATGGGTTGTAAATTAAGTTTACTGTCGACATTCTGCCAGATCCATAAGGCAGAACAGGCGAAAGATCATCGAAAAGGAAAGGTGGAAATGGAACAAAAACAAACTCCACCCGCTGTAGAGCGCCCCACCAAAGTGTATAACTGAAAGCATAAAACATAAGAAACCTATCCAAGATACGTTGCGCCGTTGGTGGAGAGAGGAGGGACCCTAAGCAACCTACTAGATGAATTCAGTTTTATCCCTGACCTCATATCACCATTCCTTTATTCAATTTTCATAGAGAAAATGTTTTGAAATCATCCTCCTGCGTGCTTGGAGGCCGAACGCTTCTCGCTTGTTCAGCAGGTGGTTGCTGGAATTCATATCGTTCTGTTATACCAACTGTTTCCGCATCGAGCACCATTGCAGCTCCCTCCTCCAGCCCCGCCAAGGAGGCATTCTTAAGGAGCTCTTGAACTTCCTTAATCCTTTTTTTAAGCGCCATACGATCAAGGAAGAGTTGCTGACGACCTTGCTCCAAATCTCTGCGCTCAGCCTCAACAATCTTCTCCAGCTCAGAAAACTGTGCCAGCTTGATTTCGAACTTTTGCAGAGTTATGTTAACGGCCGTAGCTACCAAACGCGTCATCTCCCTCTCCTCATTTGAAGCGAAAGCTGCTGCTCGAGCAGCAGCAGTGCCCAGGCCGATAGATGCGATGGAAGGGCGCGAGGATTGTTTGTCGCCTACTGTGCTCCGGACGACTGACGTCGAATCACCTTCGTTCGTGATATCGACTTCCATTGTGTCCTCGGATTCCATAGTCTTTTCCTCTTTACCCTTGTCTGTGTCCTTATCTTTTTCTTGGTTATCTGCAGATGTAGCACCTTTAAAGCCTTGCTCGAGTTGCTTCTGGAGTTTGCGGCGTATTTCTTCCACGGATCGACCTGCCGCCGCTGCCGCAACTGCTGGCTCAGTCATCTCTGCCAAGTAAGATACAACGGAGAGCACAGGATTGTCAAGTTGGCTAATAGGCTCTCTTCCGCTCCTAGAACTCATCAGGGAGATATCCTGCGTGTCCTCCAGATATTTATCTTCGATTTCCATTTGGAGGAATTTCATGACGCATTCTTCAGGGGTACGTGTTCCGACATGTCGAGCAATTTGTCGCCAGTTGTCGTCGAAGTTCTCCAATGCCTCGAGAAGGAGTAGCAGCTCAGAGTTGCTCCATGGAGCATCCCGATCTGGAATAGTAGTATACGGACTATCCTCCAATTTGACAAAGTCTGAGGCATTGTGAGAGGACGGCAATCTGCCTTGTAGGAAGCAGTTCGGGCACAAATCGTATTTCGAATCCGGAGCATTAGAATTAGTCGTCACTGGAACACATTTCGCATAATGGAATCTTAACCTTGTGCAGTCAATACCACAGGAATGGCAGTGGCAAATCTTTTTCGTTTCCTTTGCGGCAGCTTCCATGGTTTTGATGGAAGAATCTCCGCCGGCTCCGTTTGTACTTTGAGCTTCGCCGTTCGTCTGGTTTTCTTTGTCCTCAGCGGATGTAATGCCTTTACCCTTCTCATCATAGATGTTGCGGCGGATCTCGAGGTTAAGATCACTCTTAGGGATCGGAGTAGCCGACGCGGCCCTTTCAGTGGATGGGTGGGGTTTACCAGGAGTGACAATTGTGTTGGGTGCGGGCTGGAACGGCTGCAGGCCACGGGGAGTGTCTGCCGTAATTCTAAAATGGCCAGTCATTGGGGGTCCAAGGTTTGATGGACGTGTCTGAGGGTCGACCTGTTTGGGTAAGTTAGACAACAATATACACATGTTTATTGCTTTGCGTACCTGGTAGTTGATTAAGCCCCAGTGCTCCAGGAATGAGTGTACACGCATAATCGCGCACACATCACCAGCTAAGTTTCGTCGACACGCAGTAACCGTAAGGTACTCGACAGGGTTCAGGCGATAAGTGTTGATCATAAAGTCGCGATAGTCCTTGTAGATGGCAGGAGTTTTGCTACGGTTTCGACTATTGAAAAACTCCGGAAGAGACTTCTTCTCAATAGCATGAATCGTGTTCATATCGAACCAAATCGTGTAGCTTGGAAGAATGATAGCATGTGTTTGAGCTACCAGGTGTGAACGTGCCGATGCCTCCAGAGAAGCTTTGGTCTGTGTCAACTGGCCATCAACATTTTCAGCTGATTGCTGCTGGGGTGTGGAGCCCTCGCCAGCTTCGTCGCCCACTACACCGTCTTCTCTTTTCGATTCTGTATCCGTTCCCCCCATTTTCTCGTCTTCTGGTTCTTGCTCTTCGTTTTGAGGCTTTGGTGACGCAGGCGCATCTAAGGGATTATCTGAAATCGCAGCCTCCTGATTTGCTTTAGAAGGCGAAAGGGGTTGAGACTGCGAGCCTAAGCCACAAATGATAATATAAGCACAATGAGGTCGCATAAAAAGGCTATATAAGCATAAAATAGCTTCAGAGGTCATAAATTATGGTGAGAACGCAACGTACCTGAGCCTTGACTGGAAGAATGGGTGGTGGTGGGCATCTCAGTTCCCGGCTGCCCATCCTGGAGAGGAGCGACCGCCTGGTCATCAGTAATCATCTCGCTTGAGGCTGCATTTAGATCCTCCATTCTGTATGTGGCACAAAGAAATAAAGCAAGGTTACAGCCTTAATCGGTCCAGGCTAACACCTGCGCGGGAAGATGGATGCGCTGTCAAATTAAAGCGGTCACCAAGGCCGTGTTCAGAAGCCCACAAAGCAAAATGCGAAACCCGATGCACACAGACAACAGCCAATATGCAGGTCCAAAGTCAAAGTTGAGAATGATGATAGGGCGTTTTATCTCTCAGCATCTGTTGAGTATGATCAACTTTGAAAAGTCGTCGCGATTGGGAGGCACTTTCGGCTAGCCACATCCGGACTAGAGTGGCAGTGGCAGGCGTCCTACGGGTGCGCAAATGGACAAAGCGCGCAGTTTACCGGATCAACATATTTCCCAACATCGGTGTTAGTCAGCGGAAATTGATAGCTAGCTAACTAACTAACTAGTTAACTAGTTACTAACATAACTACTAACTAGTCAGTTAGTTAGTTAACTTAGACTTTAACTTAACTTAACTAACTATTAACTAACTAGTTAACTAGTTAATTAGTTAGTGGTGATGACGAATATCCCTTCTGGGAGGCGGAGGCTAGCTCTACGGACTCTATAGATCACGTGCAATAGGGCTAGTTAGATCACGTGAAGTGGCGAAGCATAACAAGGCTAACAACTTGGTTCAAGGTACCTCAAATCAAACACGACCCAAAACCCGTGATCGCGTTCCTCAAGGACTTTGATGATGGGAGAGACTCTGCCTGGAGTGCAGATTGCGAACCACTATTGAGGGTTCTGCCAATGCGATATTTGCAGTTGTCGTAACTACTGCGTAAGCCCTCAATTTTTCATTACTATAGTTTATGTGATATTACTTTTATCCTCTTTCAGCCGGTAACTACAATTTGATAGTTGTCGATATTTACCTGTTGTCCGATGGTTTATGAGCAAGTACGTTAATGCCACTCATCATGGATTGGGCCAAAATCCGCGGGCTCCAGGGCGTTCTCCACATATGGCACAATTTGGTGTGGAATGTAGTTTCTAACAATAGTAGTAACTAGGGATTTCTACATAACCAGATAAATCGTGGAACATGTCCCTCCTAGCAGCCAATCTTGCGACAGAGACGCTCTGCCGCGCTTCATCGCCTTCGATAAATGTGGAAATGCTACCACCGTCCATCAATACGGGACATGCAGAGTCCGACGGGAGTTCACATGCAGACCAAGGGAAAAGGAAACCAAAAGATGCCTTCGAGCCTCTCTCCCCCAAGCGCCCGAAGTTGATCGGACCGTTTATTGATGAGGATGATTCTGAGAGTGAGGACGATGGAAATCCATTTGCCTCCCGTGGGCCAAAACCTGGACTGCAGGATGAAGTCTCCAATTCAGCATCATCAAATACAGCATTGAACACAAGCCCTCCGAGTCCAAATACAAGAACACCGTCCGTGCTCAGTAGTATCAGCGAGAATGGAAATGCGAACCAAACTCCGTCTACCAATTCGACCGAATCCTCATTTGAAACCCTTGAAAACGCAAAGCCGAGCAAAAAATCCCTCTTTACACCATTGGTACATCATAATTCACAAAAACTGGCCAAAAGTTACTACTCCATCCAGACATGTTCAGATAGAATCGTGAATGTCCAAACTAGGGAAGTGGCTTCGTCGATTCCTTATGAGCAAATAATTGCGGAGCGTTCAACTACAGCTCCAGGGAGAGCACAAAAAAGCTACTACGGGATTGACATTCACAGATTGCTGGACGACATCACAGTTGAAGATGCCCAAGATCTTGCCTGTCGCTCACGGCTTCCTTCCCACCAACCCTCCACCGAAACATCGAGTGCTAATAAGACAATTAAAGGATCAACTCTTATGTGGACAGAAAAATATCGCGCCAGGAAATTTAAGGATCTCGTTGGGGATGAGAGGACTCATCGATCTGTTTTGCGCTGGCTTAAATCATGGGACGCTATTGTATTTCCCGGATTGGCAAAACTAAAGCCCAAGAACACGACAGGGAATGACGCTGGAGAACGCACCCACCGAAAAGTCTTAGTCCTAACAGGGCCTCCCGGACTAGGGAAAACCACTCTGGCTCATGTATGCGCAAGACAGGCAGGATACGAAGTGTTGGAGATAAATGCCAGTGACGAAAGAAGTCGCGATATTGTCAAGGGTAGAATTCGAGATGCGGTGGGTACTGAAAATGTGAAAGGTATCAGCGTTGAAGCCGATGGTAAAAGGATTCGGAAAGCTGGCAAGCCTGTTTGCGTCGTTGTCGATGAAGTCGATGGGGTAGTTGGTGGTTCAGGTGGTAGCGGCGAGGGAGGTTTCATGAAGGCACTGATCGACCTCGTGATGTTGGACCGAAAGAACTCCCATTCCACCTCAGAATCTGCTTCGATTCACAAAAGGAGATATAAAAAAGGAGATAAATTCCTCCTCCTTCGGCCTCTAATTCTTATATGCAATGATGTTTACCACCCTAGTCTCCGTCCATTACGAACGTCCTCCATCGCTGAAATTCTCCATGTTCGACAAGCATCTCTAGACAAAGTGGTCTTGCGAATGAAGACTGTATTCGAGAGAGAGGGCATCCCCTGTGATGGAGACGGAGTGAGACGCCTTTGCGAAGCCTCATGGGGCCTGAGTAGTAGCAGAGACCGTAATACCAACAATCGCGGTATTGGAGAGGGTGATATCAGACGCGTCTTAGTAGCTGGAGAATGGATAGCACAAAAGCTTCGAGCGACCAGCCCAACTTCAGATATCAGACTTACAAGGAGATGGGTCGAGCAACACATCTCAATCGACTCTGTAAGAGATGGAGGGTCATCGCGGGCGTTAGGACGGGGCGGAACGAAAGATATTGTTGAGCGTGTTTTCCTTGATGGAGCAGGTTTCCCAGATGTACCTATCTCTGCCCAAACCTTCCAAGATCCCTTCTCTGGCGGTAATGTAAAAACTCCTGTTGGAATCTCCAACTTTCGCAAACGTCATGCAATTACCCGCCTGAGGGAAATGGTTGACGCTGCAGGAGAATATGACCGCTGCATCACGGACTGTTTTACCGCTTACCCAACACAAGCATATCAAGACGATACTATTCTCTCCAAACCTAATGCAGCCTACGAATGGCTTCATTTCCATGACATGATATCCTCCAAAGTCTACACGAATCAAGACTGGGAACTCAACCCATACTTAAGCCAGTCAGTTGTGGCATTTCATCACTTGTTTGCCTCCTCCAACCGAAGACCCGGGGACGGCGACAAAAACCTGGTGAACATCGAAGAGGATGGAGAGGAACACCCGTTGTCAGGTCCAAGAGCAGATTTTGCAGCCTTTGAGGCGCAGAAGCACAACCATGCTACAATAACCGAGTTCCAGTCGAGGTTTTCCCCAGCCCTTCTGCGCACATTCCGCTCCACTGAATCAATTATCACAGAGCTCATCCCGAATCTTACCAGAATGTTAGCTCCAGGGATAAAACCGGTGATTGTTGGTGGAAGTGGGGGTCAGAGGAGTGTCGCCAGTGTGCGAAAAGAAAGCGAGCGTGCACTTGTAAGTTTGTCAGTCAGAGTAATGAGTGGCATAGGGGTAAAATTTGAGCATGCAAGGATTGAGAGCGAAACTGGTTTCCACAATGGTTGGATTTACAGGATGGAACCGTAAGTATCGTCGCCATGCCTCGCCTCCCCTTCCTGTTTGACCCTACATCCCTCTCAGTCTTCACAACAGCCGTCTTACAGTATTCTTTGCTAACACTATTGCCATCAGACCCCTTGACACATTAACCACATTTTCCAACCTGAAGGGCGTCGGATCATCAGCACCGGTCCGTTATGCCGTCCGCCAAGTTCTTCAGCAAGAATATGAAAAGGATATCCTCCGCCAGCGGTCCAAAGCTGGGCAAGCAAGAATGACCGGACCGAAAGGCGGCAATCAATCCCACGAGGACTATAATTATCCCAAAGAGAACGGCCCAAGTGGTGTAGCATCTTCCATATTGGCTGCCAGATTAAATGGACCTAAACTTGATTTCTTTGGGCGGGTGATCGCGAACGAAGCACAACCCAATTCAATAGGTCCTAGCAACGGCGTTCCCACTAAGCCTCCAGCGCCGGCAGAGCATGAACAAGCGTGGGTTAGTTTTCATGAGGGGTTTTCTAATGCGGTTAGGAAACAGGTGACGCTGAGCGAGTTCCTATCAGGGTTATAAACGTAGGTATGCTAAGGAGAGGGGGGGGGGGGGGGGGTTTCAAAAGGTTGGCAAACGTAGATAGAACCTTATTTCATTCGACGTATGTAAGTAACACGTGTTTATCATGAGTTCATTAGGTTTAATGTCATGACTTTATGAGGCTAGGCATTTTGTCCAGTCCGATAGTTGGTCTCATCAGGATCGCAAAATTTACCATCTCAGGCACCTCATTGCATTATCAGCCCCCTCCTTAGAAATCGAGATGGTTCCGAAGGTGTCTCCGTACGTTGCTTTTGCGGACGACTAAAGTTCTTCCTTAGATACAATGCGCTATTTCTATACACCCAAGGTCGTGGTAAATAGGGCACAACATCATCAAATGATAACATGTCACTTCTCAACCGCGGGGTCTTGGAGGAGACGTTATAGTCAGATCTAGAAACAAAAGTCAAAGAACGACTAAAAAGGGTGGAATCAAGACTTCTTGGCAGAAAAAGCTTAAATCAACCAACAGAGGGACTAAGGGAGCTCAGAGCTCTACCACCTCCAACGTTGAAACGTATCTACGCGTGTTCCTAAATTTTGATATCGGCTTGATCAAGCAACAAGCCAAGTTGTACCCTTACCAGTCGTAGCCTATTTGCTTTTCTCCTCTACTGACAACGTTCCTATCCTCAGGAGTCCACGGGATAAAAGGAACGCCCAGCAAGCAAGGCTGACGTGCCAGTGTCAATGCCACGTAACTACCCAACAGCTTGAAAACTATCATCTTTGAGCCAATGTCCTTGCATGTGAGGTGAACATAATATACAGTTCAAAATGTCTGAGCTACCCAGCCAAACTCTCGAAAATTGTGGTCAGACCACCGAGACTGAATTCTCAGATAAACCGTCACCATGGATGAATATGAAAGCTCAGTTCTTCTGGACCATCAGTCGTGCCAAATGTCTCCCTAAAGCATCCTATGCAGACTTGGAGGGTCAGTCAACATTTGCTGACCCGACCACGAGTGGCCAGTTTAAGGGGCGGGCGTGCACGGTGATGATAGTAAGGTATCTGGAGACGCCTGTCGGTAAGGCGATGACCGGTTGAATGTCAAATATGATTTGAGGATAGACAGCTCACGCTTTCTTATTCATGAGTAGGCCCATATGATGAAATATTGTGGATGCCAGGATGGTTTGAGGTCCCAGATAAGGGGATAAGCAGACCACGGGTGACGAGGATCTATGTTTCCAAAAAGGAGTCAATTTACAACGGTATGTCTTATGTCCCGGGACGTTCATCCCATTGTCTGAGTCTCGCTGATTATTCATTATTCTTCCCTGTATTCAGGGCGCAAAAATTGGAATATTCCGAAACATGTAGATATTCCTATTTACTTTATTTATACCCAAGTCTGACGTAGATAATCTATCTCAACTAATCGCCAAAATATTTATCAGCTGGCGAACTTTAAATTTACCCCGTCAGACACGCCATCTATTATCCCCTATTCTCGGGTGGAAATAACCTTGCCATCTAACCCAGATCAGCCGTTTGTCGCCCTCGACTTCTCCCCCACAACGATCTTATCCAAGCCCAGCATTCCAATTTCGAGTTCACGTGTTCCCATCGACCTTGGCCTTCACATGCCACCTATTCCAGAAAGCAAATCTTGGAAAGAGGATGCTATGGTTGGGACCAAGGAATGGCGGCATGCAAGAGTCGATATTTCAGGATGGGCCAGGGTGATACATGTCAAGGGAACTCTCGGAAACGGTACAGCATTCCCCGAATTTCCGGCAGGCGGATACTGGCTATATATAAATGATGCAAAAATGAACTGTGTGACACTCTAAGTGCGAGAATTTGGGGCGAACGACTACGCAGTATTGTTCATTTGGTTGAGGAAATAATATGTCGAAGTTAAGGGCTGTTCTGTCGACCTATGCGATGGCCATAGGCGGGATCAGATCACCAATGACTCATCAATAGTTACCTGTCAGTGAAGCATTTCGCGAATTTGTTTGCATCCAAGCAACAACCCCATGGATGCTATCACAGGAGGGAAATTTTGTTCAACCAGGTAGTTCAACAGGTGATAAAATATTGCAATGCGACAGGCACATAAAGAGATACGATTTGCGCCACATATCTGGATTTTGTCATTTAAATTTCAGCTTTGAACAGACAGAATCCTAACATTAGCTTCAGTGGATTTTATAAAGGCTCCGAGCCAGACGTCAAGAAAAACACCATATACTGGTACTGTCTCTGCCCCATCAATATCCGGACTCAATTTTGCAGTTTCCTTGGGCTCCGGACATGCAACTGTTGCTTTCCTATCAGATCCCAGACAGAGGCACTCGGTGACCGACCCTTAAACATCAGCCGACATGCGCATAAACAAAGAGATTCTGCAGCCGGATCAGCGCAACCGGCATTCTCTGTAATGGACCCTACCGATGCTAGGAATCCCTGTTTCCTAAAATAGAATAACTGGAGCTCTGTATGACAAGGAGTTTGTTGCAATGATCGTCAAGCTTCTAGTTTTCCCCCTAAAGAAATTCTCCAATCTAGTCTTTCCAGAATACTCGAGAACTCTAAGATCCCTCGAAATTGAACCCTATTGCCACTTATGGGCGTACAGTTGAATATGGTTTCAAAAGTCAGCCCGGAAAAACCTTCAGTGTGGTTTAAACAGGGGGGTTCCGTTGAAAGTTGTTTAAAAGTTGGCCCCCTTTTTTCAAACCATGATCAATTCTGGTCACCAATCTACAATCAGCTAAAATAAGGGTTAACTACAGATGTACTTGTTTTAAAAGTTGAATTTGGTGTGCAAGCTGGGCCCACTTTTTCAAAACCGTGATCAACTTTGGTCACCCTACTAGAACACTGAACTTCTTCGAAGATCTGAACGAATTTTATTATGTAACAACTCCTAATAATAGTTATATATTAATTAGCATCGTTATTCTCTTCCCCCAATGAGTAATTCTGAATTATGATTCCCTTCTCTACACGTCATATTTCCTGTAAAACTCACTTTATTACTTATAGTCCACTCATTTCAACTTCTTTTGTATAAGCTCTATTTCTTGTTTAAGCTCATATAATAATATTTCAGCATTTGCTAAAAACTTTTTTTCAAAAGAAAATGTAATTTTTATTTTTTTAGTTTATTTTGGCATTAGTAATGTGTAATAGAATCTTTTTTTTACTGTGATCATCTGCATTTATTGCTGGTCAATTAATTAATTACTTAATAAATAAGAATAAGCAAACTTTATATAATAGTACTAAAAAAATTACTCACTCTATTGCTTTAAATATATTATTAAAAGTCTTAAGCTTTAGAAGCTTATAAACTGTATTGTGTTTCAGAGAGACTAAATATAAAAGACTGAGCTTATAAATAAAAGAACTCGTTTTAAATTAAAGAAACTAAGCTGTAGTTTAAAATTTATTTAAATAATTAAAGTTTTGAAAAAATGCAATATAAACAATAATGTAAATAATATATTTCATCATGAACTAAATAAGATATTTCTTCATATAATATAGTTTAGTAGAAAGCATCAATTAAAATAAAGTAGATTTAATCTTTATATTTATATATTATATAAACTAACATCTAATTGATGATGATTTTTATAATTAAAACAATTTATATTCAGATTATTTTTTCTCCACTCTAACTTATATAAAACTTTTTATGTTCATTTTTTATTCATCTTTTCTTTCTTCTCTTATGAATTTTTTTATTCTACAAAAAAGTACTAGCAGCATATTCATTATAACAATTAAATTTTTCTAATTATTTAAAAAAAAAAAATTTAGCTCTTTAAGAATATAAAGCTTTTATGAAGATAATTGACATATTAAATTAATTAGTATAGAATGCATGGAGTTGAATATAATGATAATAAAGAGTATATCTTAGTAGAAACTAAACCACATTAAAATAAACAACACAGTTTACATACATACTTGGTATATATTGCCATATTTTTATTCAACTCATTATCTCAATACCAGAGTTAGAAGCAGGTTCAAATTAAAGTTAGTTAAGAGTAAGGGCAGGAGAAATATGATAAATCATTACCACTTAGATAGGTGTGAAATAGGTGAGATGTGCTAGTGTATGTTAATTTTAGTGGAAAGGTTTCATGATATATATAATTCACTACACTGAAGGTTTTGCCAGCCAAAATTTAAAATCGCATATAACTTTTTGAAAACCACGTTCGACTGCAATCTTGTTCAATTACAAATCCGCCACTTACTTCAGCAGTTTGGCAAAGCTTTCTCATGTTTCATTTGCTAGAAAGGCTCAGCTCTTATAGAGCAAGGCCTGCATTGCTGGCGAAGTATATGAGATTATAGAGGTAGGTTCTAATAACTATCTGTTCGTGAAAGCAGCCAAATTAATGACCGCAAACACCAAAACTGATATCAAGAATATGACAAAGGCGCAAACAATTAAGAAAGAATATTGCCAGTTCCCAACATACTCCTGTTATCAAAGGAAATGAATCAATCTATCATCACCAAGTTAAGAGGTATACAAAAAATCAATTTTAAACCAGTAGAAATAATGGGCACTCGAGCCCTCGAGTACCGGCCGTGCATTTCATAAATCCAAATGCCATACACCATCACAAAAATGCATCGCCTTTCCGACGCGTTGTAGCAGGCAACGAGCTGAACACGGCGAAGAGGTGCTGTCCACCTATTATGTTACACGGTAAATCATTTCATCGAAAAATACACAGCCCGGGCCTCCATTGTAACGGCCTTGCTCTTCGGGCTTGGTTTGGCATCGGTAGGTGATGGCTTCTTCGCCGTCTGAAGGATGGCTTTCAGGCGTTCAATGCTCGATTCTGAGGAACTGCGAGGTGTAGAGGCGGGGGTAGGAGGAGAAGCTGTGGTAGATCCCTTGGATGGCATTGGAACGGAGAGGGTTGGTTCGTAAAATATCGTAGGCTGCTTTGCAGTATTTATCTTCCGAGGTAGAGATATGGTGAGGAGCAGAGTTGAATCATTGACAACTTGTTTGAAGAATGGGGTGATACTGACAGTCAAATGTTTGGATGCTTTGAGCGGATGATGAGAGGCAACAAGGACGAGGATATTATGGGACCTGAAGCCCTCTTATATAACTACCAATGCACTCCTCACAATCTCAAGGGCGGCAGAAACATACACATGCAGCCTTATTGACAATTTAGAAACCCAAATTCTGTAACTGCATTAGTAAGTCACATCCACTTTCCAATCAAAGCTTTTGTTTGTCAACTCTTCTATCAACGTTGACTAATAAATAATTCAACATACTGACGTCATTACCTGATCACTAGAAGGGTGCATCGATGAATTGAGGCAGGATCCAGGCGAGTTGCATATGTCAGCTTCCCCCTAGGCAGTAGTTATTGTCAAGCCACCACCGCGAGGGTAGCGCAAGCGCCTTGTCGATATTTCGAAACCCCCTCCGTACTGGGTTGACTCACTTCACAGAGTTAGTTCACTATGGGTCAGAGCTTGCCCCGAATGGTAATCGGACAGTGGTTTGATGCCAGAAGCGGTCCCCGGACTCACAGTTTGACTCGGGGATCTTTGCGCAGCTGCAAGGAACTTGGGAAAGGCTAAAGTTCCCAAAGGTCTAGAGCCGTTCTTCCTCCGATGACTAAGGTTCCATTCTCCTGAGCAAACTTAATGTCAGAGCTTAGCCGAGATCTGAACTGTTGGGCGTGGTTTTGCCCGGCAGCTGCCCCACTCCACGTGATAGGCGTAAGAGTGGTTAAGTCCCTTCCCCACAAAGAGTGAATCAAACCAAACCCCCCACATAAACTAGAGAGCTAAAGTGGGAGGCACGTGTCTTCCGTCTGCCTTCAGATTTTTAATCTGGATATTTTTGAGGACAATGTATTGGTCATTGAACGCGACATGGCACTGCTTGTCAACAAGGAGTCATACGAAGCGCTTCCTCAGTTCATTCAATAGAATGGAGGGTTGATACGGTGTGTGGAGCTTGAAGGTGGAGAAGGAAAGCTTAAGGATCTAGCAAGGGAAGCATATTGCAGATTAGTTCATCGCATACTGCCAGATAATTGGCTTATGCTAATTTGCTGTTCTATTTCGCTTAAATCAGCGATGATGTTTATGTTTCCTGTATTTAATTTTGGGCCGCCACGTAATTCTGTAGAACCAGGCCAATTCAACATGCCATGTGCTATTTTTGCAGTTACGTTGAAATATTTGAAACTTAACATATCGGGCCCCCCATGCCCAAATACTGGTAGTTGTTCTTGCTGCTGGTTGTAAAAAAACAACTGATACCGCGAAGCCAAACAGAGAAATTGCAATCCAACCCAATGTCCCAGTGCAAAGTTAACACATGGATGCAATTACAATTAGTCTCTCTTTCGTGAAGGACATATCGAAACCGAAACCGCATTTCATGGCCCTCCCACTGAAAATCTTCTGTTCGAGCAGATAATCTCCTATCGAGCAATAGGCACCATGGTGTAGTTGGTTATCACGTGAGTCTAACACACTCAAGGTCTCCAGTTCGAGCCTGGATGGTGTCATTTATCAAACTGTTTTATGCCTTTTATCCCTTTCACACAGGTCGTCAAGATTTGTTGTTGGAAGTCTGTCTTTTTTACCTTTTGGCTCGCTCAGACCAAGTGTTTGACCTCAATGAAAACATCACATTTCATGAAGTAGAGACAACCATGTGCAGTTGATTATCATTTGTGAAATCCCGTACATTGAAGGTGTCAATTTCAATTCGATTTTATGTTCCCTCTCGAGATTGATATTGTTTAACTTTATATATTGTTGCAGTCGTATTTATGAATGAGGGCGTGAATGCCACGTGGGCAAAACTTACAAATTGAAGCCTTTTTATTTTATGGGCTGCGTTTCTTGTAGTTACCAATCGCTGGGAAATGGAACAAAAATTACTGCTAAAAATATCATGATGTCGCCCAGGCTCGAACTGGGGACCTTGAGTGTGTTAGACTCACGTGATAACCAACTACACCACGACACCATCTTGCGATTTTTTTATTGCCACTTAAAATTTATGAGTACATGGTTAAAATGTCTGGGAAGAAACACGAAAAGCCCCAGGCCTAAGGACAAAATGTATTTTGCGTCTGGTTCTTGATTTAGTTTAGATATCTTGGTATGCAATACATGTTTTCATGCATGCGATACAAAATTTGGTTATGCTGTATATACATACATTTAAACGACGAGTTCGTCATAGATATTTGCTCAAGAAACCCTCCGTGAGAACTTGGAATCGGTCAGCAAAAATGTGAAAGCGAAGCGGTAATGGCCTAAGATAACCCCAGAAGACAAAATAATGAGAAACAAATATGTAAGTATATATAACACACATCAATAAATGACGCTCTAATATTTTCTATTGTTTCTTCAGCTTCTCAGTCAATTCCGGGACCTTCTCAAATAGATCCCCCACCAAGCCAACATCCGCAACCTGGAAGATAGGCGCATCAGGATCCTTGTTAATCGCAGCAATAACCTTGCTATCCTTCATACCGGCCAGATGCTGGATAGCGCCAGAGATACCCGCGCAGAGGTACAGTTCGGGGGCAACATTCTTTCCAGTCTGGCCAACCTGAAGACTGTTATCGGCGAAACCACTGTCGACAGCCGCACGGGAAGCTCCGATAGCAGCACCCAAAGCATCGGCGAGTGGAGGCATCAGTCTGTCAAATTCCTCCTTTGATTTAAGACCACGGCCTCCAGAAACGACGCGGGAAGCAGTGCCAAGATCAGGGCGATCACTCTTGGCCAAGTCCTCTGATACCCATTCAGTGGGAGATGGTACGTTGGGATCAGCGCCATCTGCAATTTCCGCGGAGCCTCCGGTGGTCTCTCCGGCTTGGAAGGCGGTTCCTCGGACAGTGAAAACCTTCACGGGATCTGTAGATTGGACTGTAAGAATGGCGTTTCCGGCATAGATGGGTCGGACGAAAGCTGTAAATAATTTGGAAGATTGCGTCAGCCGAGTAGGTGGTTATTGACTCTCCGATATGGCCATTGGAATGGTGCAACTCACTATCTTCGCTCTCAATGGCTGTAATATCAGATATTTGCTGGACATCCAGCAGTGCCGCAACTCGGGGTAGGACATTCTTGCCAAAAGCACCGTGGCTGGCAATAACGTGCGTGAATCTCTCCTTCTTGATATTCTCAACGAGCAGGGGAGCGTAGTTCTCAGGTAATCCCTATATGTGCCATGTACCCAGTTAGCCACGATTAAATCCCATGCCGACCACTGCGTGTTGCAACCAGGACACCTAATCAAGCGTAATCCAGCGGACTTTCCGGTCCACTCAAATCGGTATCCTACCTTCTCATATGCCGCTTTATCTACTGCAAGGACCTTATCCAGGCCTTTAATCTTGGACGCCTCCACTGCCGCACCAGACTTGACACCATTCCCCGCCACAAACGCCGTTACCGAGCCTCCCAACTTCTGTGCCGCAGATATCGCCGAAAGAGATGAACCTTGAATCTTGCCATTGCGCTGTTCAAGAACCACAAGTGTGGAGACAAGCCGGGAGAGTGCTGAGAGCTGGGCACGGTAAACGGGCTGAGACAGTGGCCAAGCGGCCGCCCGAAGAATTGATTGTCTAGTAAAGACGGAATTCATTGCCGGGCAAGATTGGACGTGTATCTTCCTTTTATTTGAATCCTCTTTCTCTTGCCCTTTTGTAAGTCACAAAAGGTTCTCAGAGCCCCGAAGTTCGGTATTTCGGATGACTAAGCAAACCCCTTCGGAAATTCACGGTTAATCCGATTTGGCCCAAAAATCACTCCCGGCTGGGCATACAATACTTTTAATATGCAACGGATATACGAAAGATAATTTGAGGATGCAAATATGATAATGCCTATTGCCTGATATAGCCTTTGTGTTAATTCTGGGTATCGAAACTTGGCCCGATAGACTTTCAATCATTAACTAAAACTGCAATATATTATAACACTGAAACTCCAAATGCACCCCAAGAACTAACACTCTTGGATAATAAACAATGAACAAAAGGGAAAGATCATTCTCTGAAGACATTGAAAAGAACTTTCACTTCTTCTTGTTGGGGGTTGAAGCTCCCTTGGAAGCTGCTGAGACTACTGTAACTTTTTTACCAGCGTCCTTCTCAACGTCCGATAAAGCCCGCATCTTCTGAGCGCGTAGCTTCAATTTTCTCGACGCATTCAATTCTGCATCGTCATCATCACCCCCCTCACCGGTTTTCGACTTCTTTGATTTCGTAGGTTCCTCCTCTCCAATTGACTTTCGCTTCTTGCTCGTTTTCTTCGATACTTCGATAGCTTTAGCATCCTCATCTTCTCGCACATCGCCTTCATCCACCCATAATTCACTCGCGAGCCAAATGGGCATCGCCATCGTATTAGCACCCTTCAGATGCAGAGACTTGATATTCCTCCATCCCTTTGAGATGAACTTTTCCGCCAGGCCCTGAACAACCGCCTCCACATTTTCGACTAACTTCTCCGGTACAAAGTTCGCCCAGCCAACGCGTACAGAAGTCGTAGCAGCAGACGCTAAGTGAACAGGAACACTAGCCAAAGTCTTCTCGATTTCCTTGGCAACAACAGCAGCCGACGCGACAGCAGAGTATTTTTCATCAGTAGGCGGTCTCTTCCTATCTTCCTTTTTCACCCTCTTACCCCCAACCTTCTGCACTTCTGCGATGCGAATAGGAATTGGGCGCTTGCTGGATTTGTAAAAGATCTTCCCGAGGGTCTGTACCAGCCTCATAATAATGCGGTCATCAGCTAAGAAAACATCATGTTCCGATAGAAGCTGTCTCCGGCTCTCAAAGCTCTGGTATCTGGTCTTCAACTTCGTGTATCCGATGATCTTGGTAATGTGCGATGACAAGCTTGTCGGGAATTGCGGATCGGCAATTACGTCCTTGACTGCACGTTGTGGGTCGGCTGTGATGAGACAGATTCTGAGAGACGGGGAGGTGTTCAGGGAATGTGGAACGGGGATTTTTCCTGGTTTTAAGCGGTTTTTGTCCACGACGTGTTTTTTAGTTGTTACAACAAGCCACACTGGAGTGCCATCTGCCGCGGACTCTCCCGCATCTGATCCGTCGTCATCGTTATTGGTAGCCAGGAGATCCTTCTTCGTCGATTTCTCGGCTTCTTTCCTCTCCTGCGCCTTTATATGTCGTAGAAGTGCGGTAGAAGCCCGAGTGACCTATAAACATGATCTCTCTCTCGATTAGCATATACATTGAGCTATGTTCAGCTGAGAGCAAACAAAATATGGAGACGTACCTGATCATTGTTCAATTGGTAAGGTGTCCCAGAAGCAGGTTTGAGAGTGAGAACACCAGAAGTCACCGCCATGGCTTATTTAATACCTTTCCTTTTGCCCTGTTATCTTCCGCGGCGTCCTGTTTCCCAACCATCGAAGTGTTGTCGATATCAGAAAATTATCAAAAAATTATCGGAGTGCGGTCAAGCAGTTATTCCGTTTGGCGCTAGGCGAAACGTTCTTCCCTGTGCCCAAACCTTATTTAACTATTTCAACTTCGCTTTACCGACTTAAAACAATTTTCGTCTACAACAGATAAGTATACAATTAAGAACTCTTCGTTATTGCAAAATACATGGTTGCGGAGAAATCGTTGGCATCATGCTTAGCAACTAGCATAAAAATCACAAATCGAATTTCTTATGATGAAATAAGCACACACGCGCACATATATATCACAACATTCCAGTGCAGATCTTGGGTCTCTCCACTGGAAATAAACAAGGTATCATTCTTCTGAATTTATCCAATGACAATCCTACTCCATGGGATTGCAAAATTTGAAAGCAATCTACTCCAATGATATAAATTCGTGTTTCAGTTCCTCCAAGTTGTCTATCTCCTTGCATCACGATGGATGTGCCATTTGATAAACCGTACTCCTCATCTGCCGATAATTTTATGTATTTCTCTGTGATTTAGTGCTCGTAAATGCTGTACGTGTACATGGCAATATCTCTTCAAGGATTGTGAAATATACATATGACATCTCCACAGAGATCCAAAATATCTAGGTGTAGCGATTTGCCAGGATTTAACCGCTATCCATCTTTTGCAATCTTCATTATTTGAGACAAACTCTCCCGTGAACCACCGTTAAATATCTCTTTGAACATAAAGAATATAAACCAGCTCAAATTCCATCATGGGAAAGACAAGCGCAGTATTTGATATTCATATTTTGCCATTCCACCGCCCCATTACTCAAAACTATATAGGGGTTGATGCCTTGAAGGTTGCGTTACCGTCTCCTTTATAATATTCCAGCAACAATGGCATGCAGTTCATCAAATTCACAGGAAGTGTGTTGGACCACTCCGCAGGACCGGCCTTTATGTGAAAGGTGTTGAAAAGCTCTGGTTGTGAAATAGCTCCCCTTGTGAAATCACTGATTGATGCCCTTCTCCATTGTAACAATGCTACATTGCCAACAAAGGTAGTATTGGACTCGAAGAGTTTCCCTCACCACTTTTCCCATGGACTCATCTGTAAAACTGAGGATTAGACTGATAAAGGCCATGCTAAGGAACTATTAGAAACTGGCAAACAGTAGAGCACGGGTTTAGCATGTTCCATCAGCCATGGTAGCTCTGGGAAGATAATTAAGTCAGTCGCCCTGGGCATAGTTATGAATCCCAGGCGGTCATTTTCAGAAGGAGAGGAATATCCCTCCCTGCTGGAGGAGAACAGAAACGGAAATTGAGATTTATAGGATAGCCCAGAGAATATTGGAAATTGAATATCAACGGGGGCTACCCTTTCGTATAAATATATATTGAGTGTAGAGATTGAATGCCATCTCACAGATATCTTCAAAATACCATTGTACCAAGATATACACCCTTTCCTCTGAAATTTACTGGTCATGCTTCACAAAATAAATCTACTGACATTAACCAACTGCGCTATTTTCTTTTTGTTCAATCATCTGCTAAGTCCATCAAATGGTCTCGGGAAATCTCATACCTCAGTGGGATGGCAGGAGAAAGTCAAAGGCACCAGCATACGCATAACAAAAAGAGACCCCACTCTCCAAAAAACAAAGAAGTTTGAAAGAAATATGATATGACAGCTGGAATTCGTTGGTGTTCATCCTTCCAACTACCAGCTGGCCGGCGAGTGACATAAGTACGGCTGAGGGACAGAAAGCCGTGTCCTACACTCCCAATGGTCGTGTATGATAGAGCACAGAATGGGAAGGTATTTCAACCATGACATGACAACACGTTGGGTCAACTGCCAGCGCGGTCGAGGAATAAGGGGGGCCGAGGGTGTTGGTTTATTATATTCTTTTACCAACTTTTATCATCAAGATTCGTCACCAGCAAAATCCCTCAAAAACACCGAGGTTCAGGCACGGCAGAGAAAGACATGACTCCAGTGCCTTGAGTGCCAAAGGAAACAGAAAACAAATACCCACAGGTATTGGATCAGCCTGTCTAGCGACAACAGCGATATCTTGAAGGGAGTGTTGGTTGTCTCGCTTGCTTCGCGCAAATTGCACAGTTCAATATCCTCCGCACCATGTTGGATTTGAAGTGAGAACTCGACTAATTAGACGGTGTCAGAATCGTTGATTCAACATGGCGGGGATGGTAAGTTTCTGGTTGAATGAAGAGGAAAAGACAGGGTACAGATTGAGAGAAGAACTCGAGCAAATAGACCGTACTTCAGAGTGACGTTTGCAAATAAACGGCATTCTGTATTCATGGCATGGTGCTCTTTTGCCGGTTATTGTGGGTCCAATACATGTTGATTTTTGCGGGGTTACAGTTTGGACATGCTTCTTGATTTGGAGGGCTAAGTTGAATGTTTGTAAGTTGCCTCGGGCCCACTTTTTGAAGCCATCTAAACTAAACCAGTTTAACTTAGCTAGCCAATATCTCTCCAAAGAAAAGAAAAAGAAAAGAAAAATAAGATAGGGGACATGCGATCAGGGTTGCAGTAATATTCACTAACTAACCACACCTAACTAATACTAACACATCTCTGGTTCAACCTCACCACTCAACACTCGAGCTAGGGTTAGATTAGGGGTGGATTATTAGGATTAGAAGTTAGCATACTTAAGAGTGTGAGAAAGGTGATAAAATCACTTCTGCCAAGAGCATATAAAGTTGTGTGAGAGATATGTGTGAGGTATGACTGGTGTATGAAGTTTTAATGAATACATACACCACACTGGTTTTTCCAGATGAAGATTTAAACCATGTCTCAACTTTGTTAAAACCATATCCAACTGTACACTCACTCATCTCTGCTGGAAAAACCTTCAGTGTGTGTTAGCGCTCATTACAATTACATACACCAGTCATACACCCCACACATTATCTCTCACACACAACTTTATATGCTCTTGGCAGAAGTGATTTTATCACCTTTCTCAGGCTCTTAAGATTCCTTAACTAATTCTAATTTTAACTTCTAATCCTAATTTTAACCTATCCCTAACCCTTACGTTGAGGGTGGTGAGATTAAATAAAGATGTATTTGTGGTTGTATGTGCAGAGAGTGTATTCTGCAGGAATGTGCTTATTCTAGATGGGTTGACAGAGTCATGGTTTTAAAAAAGTGGGCCTTACTTTAAAAAAACTATGTTTAACTGTACCCAGATCTTTCTTTTGGAATTTTTTTGTCCTACGATCCAGAAGAAATTGAAATTACCTCTTTGTTCTTCTCAAAACTGAGCTTCTGCCAGACACTATTATTCCTCATGCTGATAGCCGCCAAAGGATGCACCAACATACATACCTCCTAAATTGTTCCAATGAAAATGGCCCCATCATGCCAATGACTCCGGAGTGGGATGAAGGGCCACTATGTCATCTTGGGACCTGCATCAAAGCAACAAAAGGGGGGCAAAGTGAGTAGAGTGAATAGGTTATGGAGTCCTTGTGCCAAGCTGTCCTGCGCCGCCTATATAGATCTTGGAGTCCCCAAAAGTCTCTCCACTATAGAGTACGTAGGATGGATAAATGAATTGAAGGAAACTAAGCTGGCTGACTGACTGACTGATAATTGATTGGCAGTCAAGTACTCTCCATGCAGAGTGCGCTGTATACAATGGTTGTTTGCTCCAGCAGTTCCATCTGTCTACGTGGCAGCAGTAGCTCAATGCCAACAGTTTCCAATCATTGAATTTGAATTTACGCACAATGTCAGCAGATGGGGGGGGGGGGGGGGGGGGGGGGGGGGAGAAGAGGGATTTTTACATTGTTCAATGCATTCAGAAACAAAGATATCCAGCAAGTATCTGCAACAATAAAAAATGATATAAAATACAATACACTATTTCCAACCCTAAACTTATGAAGCAGAATAAAAAGTTCAAGATTAAAGCAAGATTAAGCACCAAACCTTGGAAGTGCTTAGGAATCTCGAAAACGCTTCCACAGTTAGTTACCACGTACCAGGTAATGCTCCGTACTGTATTTAATTTCATGAAATACCCGTGGAGGATTGGAGGCGCAACATAATCCATTCAGGGATGTCCTCGTCTGAACCCTGGCGGCTCCTGAGACTTTTCTTCCGGCATTTGGCTTCTGCCAGCCCATCCCATCAGTTGAAGGGCTGCCATTGGCAGGCAGCAGTGTATTTAGGTTAAACTAACGCAGACCATCGAATCTTGGTGTGTCTTGGCGTAACCGAGGATGGAAACAAGGTTTTCTTCGACGGCGCTGAGAAGGGTTTAGCGCCAGGCACAAATCGGAGAAAAAGGAAATTGGTTTTTTGGTTGTTTCTGTATCGTAAATATTATGGTTTAGTGGAGCTGTCATAAGGTGGTATTGTAATTTTCTCAGGCTCGGTACCAGTACAGGAGCCACAGGTACCAAAGTACCCAAATACTGGTTCCGATCCATTACCTTTCGGGATTTCCGCCCACAACCAAATAAATCATCAGTCAGGCACAACAGGAAGCACCTGGAGCGCCCCGAGTTCCTGGTGGTCAGCAAAGAGTGGTATGAGGTGCCAGTTACCCTCAACCTCCCCCCTCAGAAACCCAACTCGCCACCCTGAGTCAGCTCAAATGCCACGCACCAGTGGCAGAGTGTAGTGCCCGTGGGCTGTAAGTCGTAGCACAGTGATAGACACGCGGTGTAATTACACCCGCCCACAGTCCCCACGTCCGCTCCCAGATGGATGCTGTTGGATATGGTTATTGGCTGGGCAAGCTTGCTCTGCGCCCTGGTTCAGGCCGGGTCAACCTTGAAACTTTCCAAATTGGCGGCATGGATACGTCAACCCAATCTGTCTATGTCATTGATTCAGTGGGGAGGAGGGCGGTGGAGAGTAGTTGGATGGCAGGGCTACCTGTGTAGGCAAATGGAGGAGGACACTCACTGCCAAGCACCAACTGCCCCGGGCAACGTACTGGAATTACCACCTAACCAAGCTAACCGCCTTAATTACCGTACCCTCCCTTTCTGCGTTGCTCGGATAACGTAATATCCGCCCTTTTCGTTTTCTTCCCCTTCTCTTCCCCCTTCTGAGCATCCTCCTCCCTTATTCTATGTCCCTTGCCCACTCCCTCCCGCTAGCCCCGACTTCAATCATCTCCGTTCCTTTTCTTCCTTTTCCCTCCGACTTGGAAGAAGGCAGTCTCTTGTCTTCCTCTCACGCTCATTCGGAAACTCGTCCTGTTGCTGTCTGATCGCTCTCGCTTTTGCTTTTGTCCCTCCCTATCCCATCTCTGCCCCGTATCGTACTTCGCTCTTTGGTGTCTATGATCAAAAAGTGACGATATACACCTCTACGTAAATCACTACCGTTGTGCGCGCATCGAATTCATCTCCAACTTCAACTGGTAACTGGTATAGAGGCAAACTCGGCTCTCCAACTGTTTTAGTTTGATATCTGCAGTGTATGTTATGTTGTGCCATCTCCATGTTGACATTTTTTGCCTCTGGATGTTTCGCGATTGGGATCATCTTATCACCTGTGACAACCGGCCACATGATTTTCAACATGGTTGTCCCCTATCCCAAAGTTACATCTTAAACATTGGGATGGTTTTGATTTCTCTTCCTCCCCTCCAGGATGCCATTCTTTTACCTTGTCATCAACACACGCCTTTTAACAGCTGATCTCCCAGATAGACTCTCCTCGCTCTTTTAAGCAAAGGGATCAATCAATTGATCAAGGCTAGCCCCGTCTCGACAAACCAACCAAGGGGTCTCCGAGAGACCTCGTGCCAGTCCTTACTATCAATTACGTGCGACTTGACGTCAGTACGGGTATTTTCTTTATTTTGAATCTACAAGCGAGCAACAAGGCTCCCAACCATGAAGTTTACCACTTCTGTCGTTTTGACCGTCGCTGCAGCCGGCTCTCTCACCGGTGCCCAGCCCCATAGGCATAACAATGTCCATCATCATCACAACCATGTCAAGCGTGCCCCTAATCCCGCTGCGACTGAAGTTGTTGTTGTTCCGGGACCCACTGTCTACGCCTACGAGTTGGATGGCAAGATTATCGACCCCAAGGAAGCCTGTGCCGGTATCCAGGACGGCTCCTTGAAGTTGTCTGATGCCAACATTCCCCAAAACGCTTGTGTTTCAGCATCTCCAACCAACACAAGCCCCAAGGCTGCTCAATTCTACGAGAAACCAACCCCGACCCCGACCCCGACCCCGACCCCAACCCCAACCCCGTCTCCTACCAAGGAAGCCGCTAATTATCACGAAGAGCCCAAGATTGAACTACCTCCTATCTCAATCCCAAGCATCTCCGTGCCAGTGGACACTAAATACCCAACCGAACCCGCCAAAGGCGGCAATGGCGTTGACATCGACTTCCCTAGCGGAGAGATACCCTGTTCTGAGTTCCCCTCCGACTACGGTCCCGTATCCCTCGACTGGCTGGGATTGGATGGCTGGAGCGGTCTCCAGTTCGTCACTGTGCAGGACCAATCTGTCAGCGACATCCGCACTGGCATCAAGGGTGACAAGTGTGAGGATGGAGCTATGTGCTCGTACGCTTGCCCGCCTGGTTATCAAAAATCGCAATGGCCATCCACCCAGGGTGCCACTGGCCAATCCGTCGGTGGCCTGAGGTGCTCTGGTGGCAAGCTTTACCTCACCAACCCCACCCTCTCCAAGAAACTCTGCATTAAGGGTGCTGGTGGCGTTCAAGTCAAGAACACCATGGACAAGGTCGTTGCTGTTTGCCGTACTGATTATCCCGGTAAGTTTTCTATGTTTTTTGTATTAAACCATTTTCCCGCATAAAAAAGCCTGTTACCTAACTAGCTATACTACTCCCTTAGGGACTGAATCCGAAACCATTCCCCTCTCCTCAAATCCTGGCTCCACACTGGAACTCACCTGTCCTGATGCCGGAAGTTACTACAAATGGAAGGGCATGGACACCTCTGCCCAATACTACGTGAACCCCAAGGGCGTCTCGATTCAAGAGGGCTGCCAATGGGGTGATGGCAGCAAGCCAACCGGCAACTGGGCGCCCGTGAACTTGGGCGTTGGCAGGAAGGACGGTGCCGTTTGGATCTCTATCTTCCAGAATAAGCCAACCACGAATAAGAAACTGGATTTCAAGGTTGAGATTGTGGGTGATAATTTGGGAGGTAAGTGTAAGTATGAAAATGGGATGTATCATGGAGCTACCGGCTCGAATGAGGATGGGTGTACTGTAAGTTTTCTCTCTCCTTTCTGTTATTTCATTTTGTTACGCGTTTAGGCTCGTCACCCTCTTTACCTATGCTGACAAATCTTCATACAGGTCCAAGTTATGTCTGGCACGGCAACATTTGTCTTCAGTGATTGAATTCTCGATTCTCATTTTAATTATTTATTTATTCAATATCATTTGTCGTTTTACTCATTTCTAGTTTTCTTTCTCTTCTCTCCTTTCTCTTCTCCTCTTCACTTCACGCTGCTGTTGTTCCAGCGGGATCTCAAGGACAAGGACAAAAAAACAAAATCCCATATCCATCCATCGTTTACCATAACGGAGTACATAGCAACTGGGAGATATTATATACAACCAAAGATAGCAGAAAAAGACAACAACACCAAGACTTCAATACAGCTACCAATCCAAAGCCAAACAAACACACGACCGTCTTCATGACGATGAAGATTACCCGATTGCCATGCGCCCATCTGCATATATATCTGCATATTATCTCCCTCTTCTCTGTGCACGCTCGTGATATGATATGATGTCTTGAAAGAAAGCAAAATCCTGATCTTGTCTCTGCTGGAATATGTATCCCTGCCAACCCACCTTCTACAAACCCGCTTCCACCCACTTTTATTATGTACTATCCCTTTTAACTGAAGAAAACCCTTTTTATACCTGTGACGAATGCAAAATCTTATTCTTTTTCTTTATTATCCAAATACAACCAACCCCATTCACGGCTTTAACCGTTCCCATTCTGCTCCTGCAACCTCAGCTCATTCTTTTCTTGTTTTTATTTTATTTAATTTATATTTTTTTTTTACTGCGCACCGTACCTGCGTACGCTTTCTACTTGTATTACTTAGATTTTTTATTTATTAGGGGTTTTCCTTCCCTCTTTTATGGAATTAGGTAGTTGAGTGAATGGGAGATTTATTCTCTTTATTTATTGGCTTTTGTTTTGTTTTTATAGAGATGGAGCGTTTTTGTTGGCAAGGAGAGGATATGGGGGGTGAGGAGGAAGAGTAAGTGAGATGGGCTAGAGGCTCACGTATGATAGGATATGATTTGGAGATTTTTTGCAGGGCAGGTTAAGACTTGGATAAGATGATTCTTCCCCCCCCCCTCCTTTCTTTTGCGATTCCTATCACGAGCTCTGAATTTGATAGCGAGGAAGGGGATATGATTTCTGTATTCGGGAATCGAGAGCAGGATGTTCTGCGACTCGTTTCCCGGTGCTGTATAAACAAACCATCCTCCATCAGGTGGATGAACATGCCTCGTTCTAGTGAAGAAAAGCTACAATCACTCTTTTCAAATGGCCAGCCATCGAAGAATTGTAGTGGATGAGTTGCGGATGGTATTATTATCCATGCAGAGAAAGACCTTTTGATCAGTTGCTAGTCATTAAGAATGGCCCGAGTCCGCTTTTGTCTGCAGCATCCGTTTCACCCCTTGCTTGCGAATTGGATGATCAAATCAAGAGAACGAAAGAAAACGTTGAAGCTTACGTTGTATGCTGATTCTCTGAAGCCCATTTTGCCTCCCATGTTTTGTTCGACGAGGAAGCTCTTCTTCTCGTCCTTTTCGCATAAATACGCAAGCTTTTTTGAACAATAATTCAAAGGTCCTCTTCGCTATTGGCGCTTGCTTACGCATCGAGCATAGAGAAGGGGACACTTGAGAAGGGCGTCTCGCTCCTCGTCAATATCGTCACTCGCCCTGTCGTGAAAGCTGGGAAGCGAATTTTTTTTTTTTTTTTCTTTCCAGCTTATTTGGTAGATTATATCATCACTTGCGCTTTCAAGAATGAATGGATGCTGTGTGTCTTTTTCTCTGTAGCTTACTTGGAAGGGGAGTTGGGCGTGCATAGGCCAATTCAATGCATAACTGATAGTAGATACTCAGGTCGAGTTGATCCGTTTTAGATATCCGTTCCAACATCGAACCCAAAACACGAGGGTATCGAAGGTGTCAACAGACAGTAATCTTGGTAGGTGTCCTGCAGCTCAATCGGACAAAATGGCACACAAAAGCAGTATATAGCCATCCATATAAGCGAGAAAACGGGGTAAATCCCAACAAAACTGCCACCACAACCCCTAAAACCCATCCGCCACAATCCCCGCCTTCCTCTCCTCCTCCAGCCTCTCCCTATTAGCCCTCCACCACCACCCATCCGTCACAGCATTTTTGTCATCTCGCTCCCCGTCCCAGACCCTCTCTCCATCCCACGGCTTCGGATTCAAAATATAATGCACATTTTTAACGTTCCCATCCCTCCAGATCTCACTATGGACACCTCCCCACCGCAGCGTCCTAAGCGCATTATAGATATAAGGCAGCGGCACCCAACGGCCGGGAAACAGATCTGAAAGCAACGACTGGTCTGCGAATTCGTAGGTGGATGTCGCTGAGGGGGTTTGTAGGATGGTTAGAATTTTATCATAGATGGAGCTGCATGGGTTGACGACCTGGAGGCCACCGTTTAGAGCGCCTAGGCCTGTGGTTGATGGGGCGCCTTGCGTCTGTGCGCCGGTGGGGTCTGCGTGTTGGGTTGTTAAGGCGCAGTTTGGGGGGATCCTGTATCGGGTTGCGTCGTTAGGAAGCGGTTATATACGAATTTCAGAGGGTTTTTTTTTTTTCTTAATAAAGAAAGAAAGAAAGAAAGAAGGATAGAGGGAGCGAGGACATACCAATCCTTGGGATAATGTGGCTTTTTCAACGGGTTACAGACGCAGGCGTGAGTCGCAGCGAAGACGCGCGAGCCCTCGCCTTTCAATTTCGGATCGTCGAGTTCCAGATCCATTAATTCGTCCATGTTTTGCAGGACCAGCATGTCACTGTCCAGCTGGACGACACGGTCATACTCCACGAGGGAGAAGGGGGTTAACTTGCTCCAGCAGTCGTAGAAGCGGGTGTCATTGCTGTAATCCTTGTGGATAGCCGGGAGGAGGTAAGGAACATGTCTGCTTGGAATACCCCTGGCTTGTAGGGCGAAGTGCCCGTCTGGAGGGAATGAATCCGTGTAGAGTGCTACGAGGGGATATTTGGACCCGACTTTTTTGAGGGAATAGTCTAGAGTCAGGAGCCCAGAGAGGTAGGCTGTGTTGGTGATAAGGGTGGTCCAGACTGTATGATATGTTCATTAATAGAAGGGTTCCGAGAGGAAAATATTACAAAAACCAGGACTCACCCTTTCTATGCGCAGCTCTGGGCGCGGGGCTGGTTACTAGTGCTGGGTCTCCCATTATGATTTCAATAGGCGGTACTGTGCGCAGTTCTCGCAGAGGCGGAGAGCAAAAGAGGTGAAAGATGCGAAACAGTGGACCCTGGATGAAAACAAGATAAGGACTAGTAGTCGTGTCTATGAAGAGATGGCATTCAGAGGGAGCTGTAAGCAACTACGGTGAAGCGGGGAAGATTTGTCGAAATCTCCTACGAGGAGGCAGCCAACAGCAACATATTCACGAAGAAAACTGGTTAATAATGTGAGCTTAAGCATAGGCCGTATTAAGAAAACATCTTCACCACAATGCAATACATCCCTCTTTTTCTGCTTCTAAATATCTCTTCCGACTACTGGTTCTTTTTTATATATATATATATATATATATTTTTTCTTTTAGTGGAACGTTTTAAGTTAATTTAGATCGAAAAAAGTTTTGCAAACCCGTGTTGATCACGTGGTGTAAAACAGACCATTTCCGTTTCTGGAATAGCGTCAGATCTCCCGATACCAATCAATCACGTGATTTGGCGAGTCGCGATGATGACTCAGCAGCCTGTTGGGTGGAGACCCGCGGCCACAACTTGCTTCCATGAGCCATTATGACAGACGATTTACAGTGCTTAGGCTTGGAACATTGGAGGAGAGGAAAGCCTCGTTGGTATTTGGGGGTGTTCCGGTTCCCCGCAGCTTTAGTTCCCAGAGTATATCCTGCTGTCTGCTGCACCCCTGAACCCTATCTACTGGTTTCCTAGCCGCGCATCGCGAGGCGCCGTGGTGGAGCTGTTTGAACGCGTTGAGAACCAACCAAGCGTGTGTTTCTTGACTTCTGGCGTCTTGCTCCCCCGTCTCCTTAATCTTTTCCCACACACAACTTCATTTCCTCAATTCTCCTCCTTTCTCTCCCCCGTTGAGAGGTCCTCTCTTTCGTCGGATTTTTGTTTTTCGTTTTTTATCTTTGTTTGTTTCTTGTTTTCCTTTTGATTGCCTTCATTTTCCTTTTTTCCCTTTTTAGTTCACATCTTTGCTACGCTCTATATGCTGTAAGCGTGAACTTCGTTATATAGCCCTTTCCACGAGCCATTGGTCCAATTTGACGCGATTTGTTCAGAGTATAGAATTCTGGAAGGGATAGACTTCTCGATTAATACGTGTTTTTACCTTACTGCCTGGGATGGAGTCCTCTCCTCCAAGAGCAGGCACTCAACTGCCTCCTGTGGCCGGTGTGAAGAGGCCTGCTTCTCTCCTCCCAGCCTTCGAGCCCTCGTCGTCCCCAAGTCTTCCTCGGCCGTTAAAACGGCTGGCACGAGAATCCGGAGACGATGCATCGACGTATCCAACCCCCGTTCCCACTTCGTCTACTGCAATAATGACTTCCTCCCCTGTTCGCTCCAATCCACGCCGTCATGGACTTACAAGAACGCACTCCATGGCTTCCGAAAGAGCTCCATTATCTACTGTTCCTTCGATAACATTGCCCCAGTCAGGGGAGTGTATTTTAATGGGTAGATCCAGCGGTTCTTGTCATTTTCAGTTATCAGCCAGTCGATTGATCTCACGGGTCCATGTTCAAGCCGCATATAAACCCTCATCCAACCCCTTTGATCGAGAAAGAATCGAGATTCTTTGTACCGGATGGAATGGAATCAAGTTACATTGTCAGGGGAAAAAGTATGAATTGAACAAGGGCAAAACATTTACCTCTGATATCAAAGATGCGGATGTCATGATCGATGTGCAGGATGCTCGAGTGTTGGTCCAGTGGCCGAGACAGGAACAGAAAGATTCCTCCTCGACCATTAACTCTGATCAAACCTGGGAAGAGGCCTCTCCTGTGAGAAAGCTTCGTACCGCCTCACATCCGCTCCCGAGCAGCCCTCTACGAAGCCGGGGACGGCTGGCTTCGCCAATATCTCCATCTCCTGCTGTACAAGCCCTCCTGCCTTCTGAAGCTCCATTGATGACCCCCAGCCACTCAGTTCAAAGTGCCGTGGTTGTATATGAGGATGAACCGTCTCCTAGTCATGATCAAAAGCTCTCAAGCTCGGCCTCTCATGCTACACAGGTGATTCCCAATCCTTTCAACATCGAGAACCGAAAGGCCTCCGTGTCTGGCTCCTCCGAGGGGAAAGTGGAGGATCTATCGGAACATGACGAGGAGAACGATCCCATCATCCACTCTTTCGGGCCCTTTGGCGATAATATACTTCCCCGTCTGGCTTCATTCTCCGCGAGAGAGTCACCAGTCAGGTCTCCTCGTGTCAGCACGCGGAAACCACCCGTCCAACTCATCCCCCATGACGTCGCTAAACCTGCCAAGGCAGACGATGGTGACTCCCTCAAGGAGAAGGCGCAGAACCACATCGTGAATCAGCTTGCCTTTTCTCGATTATCATCCAGCCCGCTGTCAACGATTCTCAGTCACCTTCCATCCGAGCTGTGGAAGAAGACAACCACCTCCGACGGCGCCTTTTCAACCCCGGAGATCAAATCCATTATAGAGTCGACCGCATGCATTGGCAAAGTGAGCCGGGAAGGCAAAGATGCTGCTGGCAAACCTCTGGAAAGCGAATATTACTACATCCCCGACTTGGATGAGGATGAGAAGCGAAAGGAGGCTGTTGTTAATGACTTGATGAAGCCCGGTCTGCGGAGCTGTAGGAAGCAACACAAGGTTCGATTTCTTCCATATGACTCATCCCCTCCACCAGCATGTGCCCATTTCGTTCGTCTAGGTGCATTGGTTTTATTGACTCGATTTCATTCAATAGCAATACTACTGGCGAAAACCCAAATAGTCGAGATGCGAAGACATCCTCCCGTTCACTTGCTCAATTGATTGATTAATTTTTATTTCATTCGAACCCTTGAAATGGCCGGATCCATGAATCACTAGCTGACTGATTGAACTTTCCTCCCTCCCCCATTTGAATGCCATTATGTCAGAATATTCTTGTTTTGCTCCCTTCCCCACAATTCTTAACTTTTTATTCCCATAAGCCAAAATGACAAAAAAAATAAATAAAAAAAGAGAAAGAGAGAGAGAGAGAGAAAAGAAAAAGAGAAAGAGAGAGAGAAAAGAAAAAGAGAAAGAGAGAGAGAAAAGAGAAAGAGAAAGAGAAAGAGAAAGAGAAAGAAAAATTAAAAGAAAAAGAAGCAAAGAAAAGAAGAAAAAGGTCCTTTTTCTTCTCCCCATTCTTCTCCATATAGCTTTAGCACTAGCATAGCGTTGTTTGGGCATCTATCTATCATTTCTATAAAACCCCGTTGTTTTCTATACTTTTGTTTGTTTTCCTTTTCCTTTTCATTTCCTTTGTCCTTAATCGAATTAGTTACCCTTCTTCCCCTATCCACTATTTTTATCCCCAAGCCTACCCCCATGATTGCCAATACCCTTCCCAACCGGATGTACCCCCAACCCCGTATATGCCCCTTCATGATATCACCATAGCTTAGTTCCCCCAATTACCCATATCACCCGCAACCCAGCCACTTCCACTTACCCAGCTGCCAAAACACAAACTGCTATGTATAACTGTTTACTTTCTCAATTCCTAGTCTAATGCGGGAAGTTGTATCGAAACTCCCCCACCCCCCTGCCCCCGAACCGACAAATTGAATTGAGGCTATTTTCTGGTAGAGTATGTAAGAATGTACTGTATGCAGCAATTAGTTACGTTTTTCTTAACCCTTTCTCTTCAAGTAACCAGTTTATCCAACTAAACAGTAAATGATTATGTGTCGGACACATCCGCCATGTGACCTATTTTCCACCCCGTATATAGTCGTTCTCGTAGCCAGCAACCTTTGCAATCAACCAAGCTTGCCATTCGGTCATTATGTGTTTGCTCGAAAAGGCTGGGTTCCTAGTTACGTCTCAAACAACTACTTCCAACTACACGTAACGCTAGTTACTTGTATCGTTGGGAAGCTCGGGATACGGCAGAGGCAGCACCTTGAGCTCAACAATTCTTGCTGACTTGATGTCTCTGCTCTAATTATCAGTTAACTACTGACTGCAGAGGTAGTGAAATGGGGGAAGACCGTTCGGATAAATATTCGGGAGACATCATTCTCCGCTGAGTTAACTATTTTTCCTTTTCTGTTTCTGGGACAGCAGCCGTGAGTTACATACAACAGAGTTAATCACTCCAGTCCAACTTTCTGCGTCTCAACACCTAGGTTGATTTGCGGTTATGATCAATGATGTATACCCTTGGGATGTGCATCGTTTACGGCCAATTAGTTATGCCTCGGTTCATCAGTTACACCCGAACTCTAAACTATCTGGCATTAGCCTGTCCTGGTATCTCCTGGGGAGAGATGCTGCAATGTGTGAGGATACCTGGAGTCAATCAGATGAGGCCCACGGTCGCCCAAACATGCGCAGTGAATATTATGTGAATTGCACTTTGCCCGAGCTGATCGAGGGCCATGAATTATGGCTGATGGAAGAACTTAAAGAGAGATTTCTAGGATATTGCTAAAAAGCACATCCTGGGATCTTAACCATCTTCCATTGAGCTATATTCAGTGCTAAAAGCTCTAAACTCACCAGAGGTATTTATTATACTATGCACAACTTGCCTTGGTTCCTCGGATCGTGGGGAAATCCCCGCCCTGTTTGTCGAACGGTGGCACCGACCGGTCACTTTTTTGCGTTAACCATTCCCCGCGCAGCAGAGAGAAATGGAAGCAAGCCTTAAATTGCACCAAGATTCTAGTTGCTTTCTTTCCCTCTTCATAAAGAGCTATCCGTGGTGCCTCTTTTTCTCAGTATCTCTTTTTAATGATTCTGCATTGAAATATTATTTGACCTTCTCAACCTCCCCAGCAACCCGGGGAAAATCAAATTCCCCTCTCCTGTTTTCTACACTCTTTTCATTCTGCAGATTGAGTTGAGGCATAGCATGGCGGCAAACGGAGATTATCCCCTGATGGAGGTGGGGAACAAGAATTATGCCGAAGCTGCTGTTGTGATCATTGGCGCTGGCATTTCCGGCAAGTTGGATGGCACCAATATGTAGGCCTGCAGGTAACTACCCCGATGTCACTGCTAACCTTCGGTTTCTGCAGGAATGTGTACCGCGATCAACTTGTTGAATAACAACATCCACAACTTCGTAATCATTGAAAAGAGCGGTGGACTTGGCGGAACGTGGAGGGATAACAAATATCCCGGCTGTTGTTGTGATAGTACGTCTGTTTTGGGAGAAGTTGCTCGCTCTCCTTTGGATGAACGGGATGGGGTATTTATGCTAATAGGTTGCAGTTAATTCTCATCTCTACAGCTATTCCTTTAAGCAGAACCCAAATTGGTCAAGACTATACCCGAATCAGGAAGAAATTCTGGTACGAGGCTATACCCCTTCCCCGACTTCTGAGTGTTCTCATTTAATCAGCTGTGACTGTTGGAATGGCAATAGCGGTACCTCCACGGCGTAGCCGAGAAATACAAGCTGTTCCGTTTCATTCGCTTCAACTCCGCTGTTGAGGAAGCCAGATGGGACGATAAAACTCGAAAATGGAAAACAGCCATCAAAGTAGGCTCAGGTTCGAAGGATGCGGAGTTTGTAGACCACTATACAATCTCCTCTGACTTCCTTGTCTCTGCCGTTGGCCAACTCAATTCGCCGTCATATCCATCAATTCCCGGAATCGAAGATTTCCAGGGGAAGATGATTCACACGGCTCGGTGGGATTGGACCTACGATCTGAAGGGAAAGCGGATTGCTGTTATCGGAAATGGTATGGCTCTGCCAATATGCCGGCGTCATCGCGATTTCTGTTCCTTGTTTATATAAAGCTAAAGCTTGCTTTTCACAGGGGCAACGGCTGCGCAAATAATCCCTGAAATAGCGCCCGACGCTGCTCAGCTAACAGTGTTTCAAAGAACACCGAATTGGGTCGTACCCAGACTGGACACTGCCATATGGAAACCGGCTCAGATCCTGTTTAAATACTTCCCGCTTGCCCTCTGGAAAGTACGCGCCTGGATGATGGATATCCGAGAAAGCGTCCACGCTACTATCGCAGACCAAGACTCCAAATGGGCCGAACTCTCCCGAACAGCAAGCATCAACATGCTAAAAAGGCAGCTCCCCAACCGCCCAGACCTCTGGGAGAAATTCATCCCCAACTACCCAGTAGGTTGCAAACGCACCATCATCAGCGACGACTACTTCCCCACCTTCCTCCGCTCCAACGTCCATCTCGAAACCACCCCCATCGACCACATCACCAAAAACGGCATCCAAGTCGCCGGCATCGAGCATGAATTCGACCTCATCGTGCTAGCCACAGGTTTCCGCACAGTGGAATTCATGCACCCGATCCAGGTATACGGTTCTGAAGGCCGAAGCTTGTCGGATATCTGGGCGGACGGCGCCCGCGCTCTCTACGGAGTAACCGTCGAAGCCCTCCCGAACTTCGCCATGCTCTACGGCCCCAACACAAACCTGGGCCACAACTCGATAATCCTGATGATCGAGGCGCAGGCGCGGTATATACAGGCGCTGGTCAGAGCGGTGCTCACAGCGCGGCAGCGGGGGGGTTCGTTGGCGATACTGCCCGACCCGAAACGGGTTGAGGGGTTTAATGCTGAGATGCAGAGGGTGCTTGCGACGACTTCGTTTGCGCATCCGAATTGCCAGAGTTGGTATAAACGGGCAGACGGGAAGATTACGAATAATTGGTCTGGGACGGTGGTCGAGTATCAGAAGGTGTTGGATAGGGTCAATTGGGGGGACTTTTTGGTGGAGGGGACTGGCGCGGAGCAGCTGGGGGGGAGGAAGAGGAGTACGTATGTGGGGAGGGTGAGGGAGGAGTCGCTATTTACGTATCGGGCGTATTTGGTGATGATGATTGGGCTGTTGGGGGTTTGGGGGGTTTGGGCTGGGAAGGGCTTGAGGCTGTTGGGACGGTTGAGGGAGTTGACGGGGTGATTTTGATTTGGTTTGATTTGACTGTATAGACCTGGGTTTTATATTCCACTGTAACTAGATGTTTGCATATTTTACACACGAAATGGATTCTGAGTAATAACCTGACTTGGATAAGGAGTTTGATATAAAACTGTAGATATATGCATAAGTTGCCTGGCAATAAACGCAACTAGTTATAAAAATACGCAGCTAAAGATTGCATAATTAGAGTTAAACTAAACCAGTTACATAGTTTTTCTACCTCGAGCCGAAGCTCGGTTTTATTGGCCCGTTGCTGGGGCTCGTTTAACCAAGTCCATATCGTCTCGTTCTACCCATGCTATGTATGGTATTGTCGAATGGGCAATGGGAGATTTCTTGAGCGCAGTCTCATTCGCTTCGCGGAAGCAAAGATTTACAATGGGTCCATTTCTTTCGTTCCAGTTCAATCCACTAGCCTTCTTCCTCTTCTCGCCCAGAAAATGGCCAAGGTCCCAAGTTTCACCTGGCTATGGCTAGGGTGTGGCGTTTGGGGGAGGCCATCATGGCGGAGACAATCACCGGGTGGTTTACCCGAGCTAAACCCTTCCAGTGGCTGCGTGGACACAAGAGCCCGTTTTCGCAGTCCAACTTGCAAGACCTGGCGCAAATGTTCTCGGCTTGCAGTACAAGTCCGGCGTGACATTTTCCCAGCGAGAAGAGCTTCCATTTTATACCTCAGGACAGACGGGTTGACATCAGAATAACCACCAGCAGAGTGCTAGAAGACGATAGCTGGCTAATTAACTAAACTTCTTCGGAGTAGTTCACTAATTCGCTGGCGAAACTAGGGTGTGATAAGCGCGCCATGCCAGCCCACCCTCACCCCCCTCCCGGTGGGTGGCGGCCGTAAGTTCAGCAGCAATCCGGTCGAGAATGCCGTTGGCGTCTGTAACTCCCTCGTGATCTCGAGGGAAACTGTCTTATCACCGCGTGGAGAGAGCAGCCATCTCGGAGTTGGGTTAATACTTTTTTTTGGCTGGTGAAAACGGCGTGTTCCAAGACAGCAGCAGAACCAACAGCATCGACGTGCAATGTAACGTGCTAGTTATATCCCACGTAACATATAACTAACTAGGTACTTGTCCCACCCACTAGTAACTTACAATTAGGGAAAAAAGCAGGGAAGCCCAGACTCAGAGCCGAGAGTTTTGCTGTGTCGGATATATAAGCCGGGCGATGCACCGGCGGGGAGGGGAAGGTTGAACATATTTGTTGCCTCTCCTACCAACATATATAGAAGAACGCTCCAAAGTTTGACCAAAAGTTACAACTCCTCAACACCAAAGCAGACAAACAACAAGATAACATCTACGATTCCATCCTTTGTTGTCAAGCTATCAAACTGGCAATACAGGGATAATACATACCTCTCTACCTACCAGAACACTCTACCCCACTACTCTACTAGCCCTCTTTTTCGTGGAGTGGAAAACCAACAGAAAACCACCAGCCCCGCCCCCGAAGGCGTATCCATCAATCAAACACACACCTCCAGCCGTCTCTGAAGAGAGAGAGAGAGAGAGGGAATAAAATAAAACAAAGAAAAGCACAATGGCGACAACATCTCACTCCTCCCACTCTTCTCATCCCGCCCGCTTCTCTCACTCCGCCCTTCCCTCTCATAACAAAAAGCACCCAACCGCTGCTAGCATCCCCGCTTCAACCTCAACCTCCACCACCACCCCCACCTCATCCGACGACGACAACAACAACAACAACAACAACAACAACAACAAAAACTCCTCTTCTCCCTCTCCCTCCTCCTCCTCCTCCAAACAGGAGCACGAATTACACTGGAAGCCAATTGGGCGACCGGGCATATCTCCAGCCACCTCACACTGGCAGCCCCAGTTCAATCGAAAACAGAGCTGGAACGAGCAGGACATGAAGCACCATATGCAGCAGAGGTTGACGGGGCTGGAGAAGGGGAGGGAGAGCGGGTTTACGGAGATTGAGAAGGAGATGATGTGAGAGGGAGACGGGCGACTGATCGAGTGGATGATGAGTGGATGATGAATTCATGATGAGTGGATCGATGAAGGGATAGTCACTGTTCCCGTCATGGAAATGTAGTTTTGTATTAATCTGGGCTGGCTCGTTTTTATTCTATTCTCGTATTTCCTGGAAAGCTAGTTAACTCTGTTCTGGCGTTTTGGTGCGGGTGTTCAATCTATAGTTTGTTTCATTGTAACCCCCCCCCCCCCCCCCCCGAAGGCTTTCAAAAATGGTTGAGATATGTTGTTGTGTTTGGCATTGAAAATAATTTGGCAAAGCGGTAGTTTCTCTGTAACATTATGTCTTTAAAATGAGCTTTGAGGTTTTGCTGTATATGAGTTGAATTCCAATTCTGCTGCGGTGTTTGTTGTGTAAGAGTTAAATTAGGTAAAACGAAGTTTAAACCGCGGCTGACTGACACTGTGACGTTGTTGTTAAGAAAGGTCCTCCTCCATGTTGCTTTCTGTGGACTCAACTTCTGTATTTCTTTTTTCCTTTCCTGCCCACAAAAACACACAACATCGACAAGACCACAAAGACTCCCAAAAATATCGTCGTTGGACTTGCCTAATATCTTTTTAAGACCTATCCTGTTCCAGATTTGTCTGCATGCTTGGTGACACCCAATGTGGTGTTCAAGTCGTTCTTCAATATTTCCTTCGAGTCTTCCGAGGGGAACTCACCGGGCTTGACCGCATCCCCTGTCTGCCGCCAGCAACAACAACAACAACAACAACGGGTGCTATATTGACTGAGGTGAAGATCGGAGATGGATCGCGCAAGGAAGAGTTTGTTATTGGCTATTCTCGGAACCTGCTATCTCTTCTGCTATTGTGTATACTGATAGATCGTTGCGTGTAAAAGGGGAGTTGCGTAGCTTCAATGAACGGGCTTGGGCTGGAGAAACTGGTACGTTTATTAGCTACCTCTTCCCCACCGTATACTATCAAACGAACAAGGCAGATCTGATTTGTGATTCAAATAAAAATTCGTTGGCAATGTACTAGGTGTCTTCCCGGTAACCAAATCTCTCGACTCCTCCCTCAAGAAAAACACCGCCTTTATCAAACGTCTCCGAACCGGTATCACGCCCACAGCCCTCCCCACCTTCCTTGCAGATATTCGCACCCTTTCGCTGCACAAGTATCTGTCCGAGATCACCTCTGCGTCCTACGAGGGGCTTAGCAAGCTCAAGTCTCCTGGAGAAATCGCCACGGGCGTCGAGATCGCCAGCGCCCTGCACCAACGGTTTGGTCCTGATGAATTTACCAAGCAACTTGGATGGCTGCTGGGTCGAGGCTTGACGACACCGGATAAAGCGCAGTTGAAGGCGTGGACTCAGGATATCCGTGAGAGGGAAGAAAAAGACCGCCTGGCTAGACAGCGGGCACTCCTTCGCGTCGTGACGGAGCTGTGGCTTGTCGGATTCCTGCGGAGCTTGGATGATGTGGAGCGTCCGGAAGATCTGGGGACAAAGGGGAAGGATGGTGCATCTACTATCGGCGGCAAGGGCTCTTCTTCTGATGGGATGACGAAGTCTAGGTCGTCTCAGGCTGCGGCGAAGGGTGATCAGGACAGAGAGGCAGAGCCGTTCCCCCTGGAAGTGCTGAAGGATCTTCTGGGGTATGACCGTGAGCACGTGAATTTGCCGCTGGCTGTGTTGTTTGCAAGAACCTACAGCTGGGATATTTTGGGGTCGAAGGGACTGGAAGAAGGCAGGAAGAATGTGGAGGCAGAGGGCGCGACCGCGGCGGCTTCGGGGAAGGATGCGCCGGAGGCTGGATCTGGCGATGAGTCTGCAGGAGTAAATGGAGAAACAATGGAAGATGATCCACCCCTGGCATCCGAAAAGGTCCAGGTCCGGTTCAAAAATATCCTTTGCCGGTATCTCGAGGATGTTAAAGCGCATGTTATCCGCGATCAGAAAGCGCTTGCAACGCAGAGTCGAAAGAATGCGGAGGCTTATGTGAAGAGCGGCGAAATTTTCGAAGACCGTCAATCGAATTTCGAGAAACAGACAAAAGCCCATGAAAAGCTTGTCTCTAACACCCAAGTTCTTTGTGAGATTCTTGGCGTAGACATGCCGGATCTCATGGAGAAGGAAACAGTTGAGACTGCTCTTGGTAGCGGGATAGGTCTTGTCAAGGCCGGAGATTATCTACGTGGACACGGCGAAGGCCCTGGCATTTGGGAAGATGAAGAGGAGCGCCGGTTTTATGAGAATTTGGTCGATTTGAAAGGCAAAGTGCCAGCTGTTCTTCTTGAGGATGGCAAGAAGAAGAAAACTGATGGAGACGATCAGGCCAAGAAGAAGGCCGACAGCGAACTCCCCAATGACGTGGGGGTTGACCATTCTGGTAAAGGAGAAGTTACGAAACCGGACAACTCTTCTTCGGAACCAGCCAACCAGGAAGCTGACAGCCAATCTATTGCCATGGTTAACAAGACCGTAGGTGCCCAACTTGATATGTTGTTGGCAAAGCTTCCAGAACTGCAAACCAAGAATTCCGTCGACCAGCTGGCACTGGATTTCTGCTTCCTCAATTCCAAAGCGTCCCGGAACAGATTGGTGAAGGCCATTCAAGAAGCCCCCAAGGGCCGCACGGATCTCCTTCCCCTCTACGCTCGCCTTGTTGCTACACTGGGCCAGTACCTCCCCGACATCCCCCAGAGTCTTATCAGCTACCTCGACGAAGAATTCCGGAGTCTTCAACGCCGCAAGCTGAAGGAATTTCTTGGCCAGGTACGCACAAGCAATATTCGATATTTGGCCGAACTCACCAAATTTGGCGTTGTCCCTGAACATGTTATCTTCCACTGTTTCAAGGTCAGTCTGGACGACTTTTCTCGTATGAACATTGAAATTATTGGCAACTTGCTGGAGAACTGTGGTCGATACCTTCTCCGCAATCCGGAAACAGCACCACGGATGGCGTCCTTCCTGGAAACTCTTAGCCGGAAGAAAGCTGCCCAACATCTTGGTCAACAGGAGCGCATGATTATCGAGAATGCGATGTACTACGTTGACCCCCCCCAGCGACCTGCTATCCAGCAGAAGGAGCGCACTCCGGTCGAGCAGTACATTCGCAAACTCATCTTTCTTGATATGAATAAGCGGAATTGCTCTAAGATTTTGAAGAGTATTCGAAAGCTTCATTGGGAGGAACAAGAAGTGAGATATATTTTGTTGAAAAGCCTATATATATATATATATATATATATATTTTTCTATGGACGACATGGTAACTAACAGCCCTAGGTTGTCCAAATTCTCGAGCGAATCTTCAGCAAGCCTGGAAAAGTCAAGTATGGGAACATACATATTATGGCCAGCATTGTCAGCGCCCTCTACCGCTGTCATCAAGATTTTGTCATTAGGATTGTAGACAATACACTTGAATTCATTACGCTTGGGTTGGAGCAGAATGACTTCAAGCAGAATCAACGAAGAGTTGCCGAGATTAAGTACCTTGGAGAGCTGTACAATTATAAAATGGTCGACTCGCCGGTCATTTTTGATACTCTCTATCGTCTTGTTACATTCGGACATGGTATGTTAATATGTGATCTTGCATGTCCATCCAGAACATTTCAAGCCACAAGTTGCTGACATCAACATTAGAGGGGGGCATTCCGGCGCCAGGGAAGATTACCTTCTTGGATATGCCCGATGATTTCTTCCGGATCCGATTAGTGTGCACCCTTCTTGATACCTGCGGGGTGTGCTTTGATCGCGGGCCTGCGAAGAAAAAGCTCGACTTCTTCTTGACATTCTTTCAGGTACTACTTTCCCAAGCAGCAGATTTTGTTGGATGTCCAACTGATATGGTATTGCCGTAGTATTACCTGTTTACGAAGGACCCCTTGCCCATGGATGTGGATTTTCTCGTTCAAGATACCTACGCTTTGACTCGTCCGCAGTGGAAGATTGCTACTGATCCTGCTGAAGCTTCTCGGCTTTTTAGCGAAGCCATAGCGCAGAATTACAAGCTAGAGGAGACTGCGCAAGAGACTGATAAAGCCCCTGAACCGGATGATGAAGGGGAAAGTTCTTCATCTGACGATGGATATGAAGATGATGCCATCCCTGATGCGGATGAAGAAAAGGATGAAGAACATTCTTCCAGTGAAGAACTCGAGGAGGTAGGGGCTATTTACTTTATCCAACGGCACAGCGGAAAGTGTCGAAAGTATCATATCCAATTAACTCTTCTTTGTAGACCGTTCGCGATCCAGACCAGGAACGTGATTCCGAATCCGAAGAGGAAGAGCAGATTTTCGTTACCCGCCAGGAAGAACAGCTAGATCCCGAAGCTGAAGCGGAATTCGATCGAGAGTTTGAGAAGATGATGGCTGAGAGCTTGCAGTCTCGAAAATTCGAGCGCAAGGCGATGTTTGACGTTCCCCTGCCAATGAGACGTACAACGCGCGATACATCGACTTCAGAAGATAATCATGAAAGTAGCCAACATGCACCAAACACGATGGCATTTTCTCTCATGACCAAACGAGGAAACCGACAACAGGTCTGTCTCCGCTTCTCTTCTGTAAAATATATCATTATACGACTCTTCATGAGAGTCTCTAACCATTTTTTTCTTCTTTTCCATTCCTCTTTTTTTAATAGACCCGCACTATCGACCTCCCCTCCGACTCCAGCTTTGCCCTCGCGATGAAAACGCAACAACAAGCCGAGCGCGAGGAACAGCAACGCATCAAGAATCTAGTGCTAAACTATGACCTAAGAGATGACAATGAGCCCAGTGACGGTGAATTCAACATCCTTTCCTCCCCTTCCCCAAGAACATCATCAAACCCATCACCCTTCGTGCTGGAAGAGAACCCCAATACTAAAGGAATCATACGCAATAATAAAGGCCCGGATAAGCGTACCCATCGCGGAGACCCGAGGAGCAATAATGATAAATCGAACTCGAATCGCAGCGGGTTCCGTTCCCGCAAGTTACAGCTTAGCGACGTTGATTGGTACGGTGAAAATTAGATTCCAACTTCTTTTTGTTAACCTTTCTGGCAACGCCCCCCCCTTCCCTTTTATTCCCTGTACACAACCTCCCCCTCTGGCCCTGGGGAGAGGAGGAAAGGTCATTACCCGGGCTTTTTCTCCTGGGAAAAACTGTCCACCGGGAACCAACAAAAAAGAAGAAATGTGAGATGAGAGATTTACTAATTTTATATTTTGGTTTTCTTCCTAAATTTTATGGAAGAAAATTCTTTACACGTACAGGACATGAGAAAAACCGTGCAAAAATAAACCGTGTTGATGGTATAGGTTTTTGATGAAACATCTACTCTTCACGTCCCCCCGCCTAAGGAATAAAAAAGTAAAAAAATAAAACGAGATATGAAACATGAGTACCGGAGATTATGAGAGAAAAGACAAAAGGGAGATCGAAATCGAATAGCGGAGCCAACACTCTTTAAGTCAAGTCCCCTAAGCCGATGGGGTGGGCACCCAGGAGAAGCACCCGGACGCAAAACAGTGTTACACGTGTGGACACACGCTCTGTTTGCACGCGAGGGTCGTCTGCAACGCCCCAACAAAAACCAAAGGGGAATGTGGAGAAAATGAGACCCCACCCGTTGTAGATTACTAGTGCTGTTGAGTTTTCTTCTTTCGATCGATCAAAAGGCCGAGACTGAGAGAGTGATAGGAAGGGGGGTGGATAGCGAGAAGAGAAAGGCGTGATGGGGAATGAGGGAATTTGCTGTTGTTGCTGCTAGTTGCTGCTACTCTGCAAAACTGCATGCATGTCCTCTCGGTGGCCCGCGCGGCCTCCCCCTTGGCCACCTGCCCAGTTTCCACAAATGTACGTACGGCGGCTGAAGTGACATGGTCGAGAAGCGTTTTTGTAGAGGCCCGTTCGTTCGTTCGTCAATGCTGATTTACGCGGAAGTGAGTGGGGAGTGGGAGAGGCGGGCGCTTGGGATTTTGCTGTCACGTTGAACGGGCAGGGGTTCGGGATTGGATGGGATGGATGCGGGTTGCAGAGGGAGATTGGACTGAATAAGTACCGTGTGAGAATATATTTGATATCGGATTTTATTACATGCTCAATGGCCTTTTTTGATGAATGGTGGTGATTTCGGGGTTGTTGATGTTATTATAAGATGGTGTGGAGGGCGGAACAAAATGTTTTATTTGCTCCTCGAGAAAGGGGTGGGTGACATAAAGAAAAAGGGGGAGGTTTGG